TATAACGTTTGTTCCATTTATCTATACGTCCGCTCTTCTGTTTGCTACCGCCGTAACGCCTAAAAAAGGCTAAACATTTTTTTACCTGATCTTAATTATATGGCGGAGTTTCTTGAAAGGACGTGACATGAGTAGTTTTTGGACGAATTAAATCCAATGACAACGCGGAGAAGCTGCATCGTTTCCGATTGGTTCCATTAAAGCGTGCCGCATTTCTATGATATCATTAATCGCCCTTTACAGTTTTCCCAGGACTTAGTAAAGCCTGTACTTTAAGAATGGATACCTAAGTCTCATCAGATTCATTACTGATATGATTTGCAATGCTAGTGATTATCTTTTTATACAAAGCAAGCCTTCCAAAAGCTTCGCTGACACTGAAGAACTGATCAACGACTTACAGGAAGTTCCGTCAAGTTTTAAAAATACTTCAACTTTTAGATGGGCCTGTATGACACATAAAATGCTGTTCAAATATAGGAATAGGCTGCACCTATTCAATTTAGAAACGATCGTGATCTAAACTAGAAGGTGTAACACCGTCAGCTATTTTTAAATTTATCCGTTTTTTCTATTTTTTTGCACAACATTCAAGCCGTTTTCAACACAAAGGTTGCAATATAAGGATACACACTACACATTTTTATATTATGTAGAATAAGATATCTCTACCACAATTCCACTTGCTAAATTATGCCAAACCATATGGTGAACCTAATTACCCTGGAAAACTCAGGATAGCTTTTCCATCGTATCTAGCAGCAATGTCTTTTTTAGCAGTCTGGAGGCCTTTTTGCTTCTTAATAACCTGCCGTAATAGGCATCGATTACGAAGTAAGTTGCCTGTTTTTATAATGAATAGTGCAGATATGCATGTGTGTCTCCAACAGAATTATGTTAATTGTTTGTGCTTTGCTTAACTCTATTAATACGGCACTGTTATTATACTCAGCTGATGATGTGACATAATTAGGAAAATTCGTGATGATGCTCCAGTGATTCAGTAGAGAATATTGGCCATAAAGGATTCAGTAATAGAATATCACAAATTGACGATTACAAACGTTTGTTTCACATCGTGTTGTAGCAGTTTTGTTTTAAGCGTACGTACTTGCATCGTCGGAAAAAAGCTAAATTCAAGCAGTGCTGAACGTTAACGTTTTTGCCCAATGTATTTTGCCTCACACTTCATTCAGGTGTTTCTCTTCATTCCGATCCCATTCTTAGCATCTTCGATAGATGGCATCTTTGCCTACGATCGGCTCGTGGAGATTCTTGCCGCCCTCCTCTCAATCTGCTGCATGATTTTGCTAGGATTTGCTGACGATGTCCTTGATCTCAAATGGAGGTACGATTGCTAAGGTTTTTGTTAACCTCAAGAATCGCTTTCTAGTTAAAATTTCATACAGAACAATGTGTAACGTTGATTTCATTTATGTGAGAATCTATGTAGATTAGATTCTTACAGGCAATATATTTCGGCTTCTTCACGACTTGGCTGCTAAACGTGTCCCATTTCAGCACCTTTATGAAAACGAATAAATGAGTCATTTTCTAGTAAAGAAGAACAGCACATTTTAGTCTACAGTATCATTTGTATTAGTAAACGCGTGCGTACATACAAGTGACCCTATATTTAAACGTTCCATGGAACAGATCCGAGTAAGCTAACCGATATCAGTAAAACAATAATTCTTGTTAATTCTGCGTGTTCTAGAGATAAACTCGTCTTACCGACTCTTGGAAGTCTTCCTCTACTTATGGTATACTATGTTAATTTTAATGTAACCACTGTCATCGTGCCCAAGCCGTTGCGCTTTCTTATCGGAGGTAAGAGTTCCTTCCTGTTGAATGTTTGTCTGCTGTTAATTGTAAACGCACGTAACCTATGTAGTATACATTTTATTGATTGTCGCTGTTATGATGCTCAGTGTCGGTTCGCGCTGTTTTTCGAATTGCTAATAATTTGTAATTTTATTGCAACTAACTCAAAATGTTTAGTTTAAACACTCCTTATTATATTGCCAAATGTATTGTATAGCTAAAAAGGAGGTGTAAATTGTTTAAGATGATTAATTCTGTTTCTATGTTAATTTCATTTTAATTCCTCTTAATGCTGGATCCCGCTGGAATTCAACGCGCGGACCAATTACGCCTGCCGCGCCGTTGATGACTATCACTCCGGCTTCGCTGTACCGAATGATACGTCCAGGCACTCTCTACCTTGGACCCCTATATTATGTTTATATGGGGATGTTGGCCGTATTCTGTACAAATGCAATCAATATTCTCGCCGGAGTCAATGGACTTGAGGTATAGCTGAGATATCAATATATTGAGAAACTGAAAGTACTTAAATCCAAGTACACTAGGCTATGCGAATAGAACAGCTGGATGTTCAAGCTAAATGACCGCTTATTTTAATAACTGAAATCTGGTATACTAAAATATATCTTCACGACGTTCTTAATTACAAGAGGGACCACTGTTCGAAGGAACACAGACATTGATGTAAAATACGTTAGCGCTTTTGCAATAACTTTTTACACTATGAAAAATAAAGAGCGATGGAGAATTCAGGACTGATATGAGTAATTAGACGCTCCGTAATTCTGATTATGTTGTGATTTTGCTATCATTACTTTTAAGCTATCTAAAACAGGCTTGTACCGTTTTTCAAATCTAGGTGGGCCAGTCATTGGTGATTGCCGGCTCGATTATGATCTTTAATGTGGTGGAATTATTCGGTCGCGGTGAGACTGGCCACCTACTGAGCTTGTACCTGATGCCTGCTTTCTTTGCCACCTCATTCGCTCTTTACAAGTTTAACAAATATCCTTCAAAGGTTGGTAGAATAGACGCCTTTCATTATAAAGATATGCAGCTTGCTTCAGCTTATTCAATGTTGCACTATTACATTGCCGAAGCTGTCAATATAGTAAAAATCTCTCGATGGAAGATCTCCTTTGCGGTAGCAGAACATTAAATGATGTTTTCTTTTACTAGCAAAAAATGGAAACATTGCCTTCACGGTGACGTTTTGCATGAACTGAGCTACTTGTTGATTGACGCAGGTATTTGTAGGGGATACGTTCTGTTACTTCGCTGGAATGACGTTCGCGTGTGCGGCCATCCTTGGCCACTTCTCGAAAGCCATGTTGCTCTTCTTTGTTCCACAGGTAACAAGTGTTAACAATTTACAACGTCACAAACTTAGCAGACTCTGACGCAGAACTTATGTTTGTTTACCAGCTACCCTTTCATTTAAGAATAAGGAAGTAATGGGACTAAAAATTGTGTAGGACAGCGAAATGAATATCCACTTCATTTTGACCTTCGTCAGAAAGAAAGGAACGAGAACATAAACTGTCGACTTTTTTTTTGACCTGAATAGTATGTTAAAGAAAATAGGAAATAAATCCAATCTATGAAAACATGTGCATATAGCACAATTTGTATTACTGTTGAATAGAAGCTTCCGAAATACTGGAGTATGACGTGGTAAACATGCCTTGGAAGACTATTTGCTCCCACTTTAATGAACCTGAATTCGGATTCGAAATAAAAACGAAAAGGTCAAGATGCAATTTTAGCTCGGATCAAGTACGAAAATATTTTACTGAGTTTACTTGCATATATTAGTTCCTAACACAACGGTTCCACCTAACAAAATCAGCGGTTCGCTCGAATTCTTTCATTAATTTATTACGCATTCGACGTATCTTATTTCAGCAATTATTATCTGATGTACTGTTAGAAATGTGATTCGTTAATAATCAAGAAAAACGGCAGCCCGTAGATGCTAAACATATGGTGTGTAAAAAAATTTCCCATTTAAATCCTTGCAAAGAGCCTTCACTAACCTTGGCCATATGCGGCTTGGACCTGTCGTGGAGAAAGATAATCATGTTATAACCTATCGAGTCATTTTTGTTTGGTATCCTCATCCACTTAATGCAATTGAGCCTTGCGCAGATCCTCACCAACGATGATTGTTTTGTTATTTTCAAAGATTTCCTAGACATTTTCAGTAGTACCAAACGTGAAATATTTCTTTTTCTTTTTCATAGATTTCTGGTTTAAAACTGGATTCAAGCTTACCTTACGGCTCTACCAAATCCTTTCCTCCGCTGTATATCGACGTGGAGACACCAGACTACGTGTTGCCCGGTTTCGGACTAAATTTTGATGAACAGTGAGAAGCAGTCGTGTTGTTCGCTTAGCCCAATTTATATATCATCCAGGCTTCTGATCTTTGATCAAATGTCATACATTCAGGATTCCTGACTATAGTCAAATGTTCGTAGCTTATCCACTCGACCAGTTAATGACCTGTTTGCCATCTGAGGTTCTCGTTGGCCATGGATGGTCGACCAGGCTAAGGTGCGCGAGCTCAGAATCATATCGTCGAACTTTCCAAGTCCCTCCTATATACTAACGTTTACATTGAGGATGACCTATTCCTATTGGAAATTTGACTGGTGGCTTCCGCGTGTTTAGTATTTTCTTCAGCCCTTTGTAATGGAGAAGGGATTGACTAGATGAACAGCTAATCGGTCTCCAGATATCACGTATCAGTCGTTTCCGTACGTTTAGTCAGACATGTGCTTTGCTGCTGCTATCAAAATACTCATAAGAAAAGAAGATCGGCCGAAGTTTTTATACTCTAGTCGCATTGGTTTCTTTGAACACTTCAAATAAGATCGCTACTGTATCTTCAGATAATCAATTTCCTCTACTCGACACCGCAACTCTTCAAGCTCATCCCATGCCCAAGACACCGACTACCGGCATATAGCAAGTAAGAATCTCCGATTTTCATCCGATTTTTTCAAAAAGGCCTGAGTAATATTCGCATTCAAATCATCGAGAATTATCAAATAGTTTAATTAACTAAGTCATTAATAAGCATTCTATATTTGAACCTAGTAACAGCAGGAAGGTGATTTGTATAAAAATCGAAAAAAATTAAGGTAATTATATAACAACCGATATTTCTGTGAAACGTATTTGGTGTAGCTGTTGTTGTCCTCTTTGCAGACTTTAGATAGTTTTTCATATTTGTGGGTTATCTTGCAGGGAAACAGGTCTTCTCTCACCGTCGACAGTGACATTTCGTGAAGATTCGCTTTCGCGTCTCGGGCGGAGGATTCTCCGAGTCTTTAAGACTCTTAAAATTGTGCAGATCAGATCGGTAGCCCATGCCGATTCCACTACATTCGAGATGAACAATCTAACTATTATTAATTGGGCTCTTGCTTTTATAGGTATATATCTACTAATACAGTTTACTTTTTATCATTCTTGAATGAGAGCCGAAATTAGCAGTATCGTAAAGCGTACATTTGAACATTCTAATCTAATTAGGAATCGGATGCTGTACAGCTTGTGCTTATCAGGATAACTGAGTTCTCTGACCCCCATTTGTATCGTTGTTGCTAAGTTTCGCCTTTGTTCTGACATTTGCGCAATTTCAGATCCGATGAATGAAGGCGAGCTAGTTCGACTTCTACTAAAATTTCAAATAGCTTGCAATACGATAGCGTTTATATTATATTATGCACTGGGCCATATGCTCTTTTGAGCTGCCTCACCATCTTTTGCTGCATCGAAAAATAGTGATAGGGAAAGCAGTGCTCTGTAGAAGTAATGCTGCGGCCATCACCTGTTACAGTCGATAGTACTATCTGAAAGTATTACATGTTCTTTTGTAAATTTATAGCATAACAACTCTTAGTTGGAGTAAGTACCTGTGTGTTATCCCTGAGAGTCATACGATGGTGAAAATGGAGGTGAGGTAATGAAAACGCGCCTGTTCAATAGAATAACGAGGAACCTGATTTTTGCGGTAGGTTAAAAACCTGTAGATCTGAAAAGCTGTATATCCGAAAGTCAAATGGGATGTGTGAATATGTGAATGTATTATGTAGCAACCATGTTGTTAACCAAATTTATTGGATAAGAGTAGTTAGATTATCGTGACAAGTTAATAAGACTTTGAGATGTTATTATGCATTGTTCATTGCGCCCGTACTTATTAAGTATAAATTAATAAACGGAGAACTTTCCAACAAGAACGTTGGATGTCCACACATTGGCCAATTCTTCAACAAATGATAGGTATTGCACTTCATAGTGCAAACAAGATGTTAGTAATATAGGCTTCTCTAAATATGGCTTTACTGATCTTTTTCTTTTAACAAAAACCGCTTGTGCTTAAAAACAGTAACGCTGCACCGTAGCTTCCCTTGGCTCTTTTACCTCCCAAAATTTCTAGATGAATCAAATTGCAACTTCAATACGCAAGATATCAGTCGAGCGCTTCCTTGGAAATCTAACCATATTGACCTTGACCTTTTATCAGATCAATTTTAATATGCCATATGTTTTATGTTAACTTAAAATTGTATTGAGCTAAACAATATTTGTGAAATGACTGTCTAGGATACCCTTCACAGGACTGTCTGTAAAATGGCCGTTCAAAATATTTGACAGGATTAAACAAGCATTACGGCGATTGTCGCGCACTCTAGGCATAATAAGCCCAATTGGTTTGCTCAACGCTTATTAAGTTTTCATGACGCTGGTAGATTTGAGCTTAATCGCAATTTTGTGTTATATGTGAAAAGAACCAGAAAAGAGATCAATCTTAAAACGTGTTCTCCTTATAGATCATATGTGCCTATTTATAAACAGTCGCGCAACGCTTTGTAGAACATGCAGATAAATTTCTCAAACAGTAATTTCGTTTTCTAGAAAAGTACGGTAACATCACTCTTCTTTCACTGGACGACACACTATAGACATGGAGATAGATCGGAAATTGGATTTTATGCACTACAGGCACATTTTGTGAATGGTGAACAAGCCAACAGCCGTCTGCGCAATTGATTTTTGCCTGTTTATTCAGCGAGAATAAACTCTTTCCCTTTAATTGGGAATCAAAAATTGCCCTTGACAGAATTGGAAACCATCTGGACTGAAAACCAACTAGAAACCAGAACGTATCTCAACGTTTTGTTGGCCTGAAAGATCACCTGTTTAACTTGAATGGCATATGACACGTGCCTGAGGCCTTCGTGAACAATTCATAATGTAGTAGCCATGTTCACGAAATTTCTTTTCGATTGAAACAGACGGATTATTACACACGCATTTCCGGACTGCGTCGATTAACTCTGGTGTCCAGATTATTTCCTATCTATCGCCGATTTTCCGTCAAATAATGCTGGAAGTTGTTTCTACTACTACCAATCTACGGTGCCGTACATTGTTGGTTGACGAGAATAATTATTTTGGTAAGATGTAGCTTTGGACAAGTAATGCTTATAATTATCCAGCCAGTTCTATGATAGGGCTTAGTAATAGAACAATCTAGAAAAGAAGCGTCAGCCGTTAGTTAGAACTTGAACAAGGTCGTTATTATTCAGTGTCTTTGTAAGAACAAAATTTCTATACTTTTTCCTAATTAAAATCTCTATCATAAAAGATGGAGAAGCCTAAGGTCAATATTTTAGGCTTCGAAAACTTCTTTTCGAAGAAGAAAAGAGATTTTTTGATTTAAATTTAACTTTAAAAGAAGTTGTTTTTATTGAAAAGCTACAAAAATTACGTGTATCGTTTAGTAACGATGATATTGGATAACTGCATGCGACGAAATGACTCAGCGCAAACGAAATACAATGTTTTTGTACACAAGAATTCGTTTTCAAGAGTTTATTTAGGAAAAAATCATTATTTGTTTATTAACCAATGGCCATAATTTACATTGTTACCATCAGGAGACGAACATGGTTTCCAGTATTCAGTGACAACGTTGTAACCCTCTCCCTGCTAATGAACAGTTTACCTTCTCCTTCAAGAATCGTTCGCTTTCTTTATTTTGTGAGCAATCATAGAAGCGATTGCTGAACGATTGATTGGTGATGAAATGATTATTTCGATTAATGAATAGCCGTGTTTGTTTCTCATTTGATTTGATCGTATCTAGCCCGCGCCCTTTTCCATCGCTCGCCTCGGTTGTTGTCATCCGAATGGATTGCATCCTCTGAACCTATCCCTGCACGTTCGTTGCGCATCTGAAGAACAGGGAAAATTTTAGGACAGAAAAAGATAATAAATATGATGCTCATATATATTACGTTTGTTTCTGAGAAAAATTTAAGTTTTTAGTATAACTTAGATGTTCACTGATAGTAGTCAGTGAACATTCTCATATATAGTTTTCATTACAAAAAAAAATTTCCTTGGTACTCCGCTGTTAGTGCCTGTGCAATGTTCGCATACCTGCACGGGAACGGGCTGTGTTCCACCTTGATTAGACCGTCCCAAGCCCTCTCCTTCTCGCCAGCCCATGCCTTGGAGCATTTTGAAGCCTTTGTTTGATCGTTCCATCGGCCTGAAGTATTATAGTAAATAAGTACACGAGCAAAAAGATACGTCTTAGAATCTTTCTAGGGCTTAGTTTCTAAATTACAATTGAAAGTTTCTGTAATAAGCTGGTTGGTAAGATACTTTCCGTCTTTGTTTTTGGCATAAGCCAACACCAATTACAGAAGACTGAACGTCGAAGCAGCTACAAAGGGAAACTCAATGGTGCAATGGTACATTTTTGCCTTTCTTAGTTTAAATTAAACGATATTGGACAAACCGGTCACTCTATTTTAACCTAGCTACGAAAATTGGTCTAATTCTATATAGTTTTAGATATAAATATCTATATTAGGCAACATTTGTCTGATATAGCACATTTTATTAAAGTATATGCGAGAAGAATTTCATGATAAGCACTAAGAAATGCTACTTATGCATCATGTTAGATTAAAAGAGTACTCACGAACATTTTAATCTAAGTGGTATAATGTCACTGGAAATTTCTAATAGTGGTCGTACAGTATTATTTGCTCCGACTGCTCGACCGAACTAGACTTAATGTCTCGTATTGCTAGAATTAAAGGTTTTTGATTAGGAATGGTGGGCTGTTCATACTAGAATAGTAAGTGAAATGACCCGACATAAGTTTACCAGATACCATTATCATCTCGTTTACTACGTAGCTGAAGCTGTATAATTTTAAGAAAATGAAAATAGATCACGTAGAATTGAAATACTTAATGATTGATTATTAGATATAGTTTGGAATGCTGTCAGTGTTACCACAAAAACGGTAAATTTCGTAAGCCAACATTATAATCAGTTAATAATCCACATTCTCCAAAGCAAGTACGAGTTACTCTCACTCAAATTTTAAATATGACCTTCATATATATAATTATGAACGAGTTATGGAATGGATTTTAATGACACCGCGAAGACGAAACTACCGGAAAAAACTTTAAAAAAAAATAAAACTTCTGCCACTCGCGAGCAAAATTATTCAACGTAACCAATTGTTTTTGAAACGGCAAACGTTTGCGATTCGCTCTATTTATTCTGTGTTCTGACTTGATATTTAAATAACCAATAGCAGGTTCCATATGCGCTAAGTTTGTGGCAGCAACTGTCAGAATGGTGAGCAGCTGTGTACCTGCTCGAATCCTATACAACCGGTCGTGGTCGTGCGATTATGTACTCTCTATGTACGTACATGCGACTATGAGAATAAAAATGCAACTAAAGCAAAATGATTATGACATCGTGTGTTGTATGAAATATCCATAGCCTTTGTAACGTACTTAATCGTTTTGCATTGGTTTCAATCGAGCCTCTGTGGATCGTCTTTCTGTCGTCACGGTCCTGTATGATCACGGCCGTTGTTTGCCAGAAACTATGCTGAAAATGCACTTATAGTAGAAGTACTGAGTGCTACTATATAAATATCAGGCCATAATAGGTGTAATATAACGGTGCAGTAAAGTCTGTCTTAAGGGAAGTTCAACGTAGGAAATCAATGAGGATCAATGAGATGCGCAAGAAAAGCTTGTATCGTCAATCGATACGAACAGAGTAACACGTTCGATAAATTTTAACAACTTCTGTTTTTTTTATTGTTTTGGTTGCTTCTCACAAATCAGTTTCAGGAACATCAAAAGACCGATGATTTGCGCCCAATTTGTTTTGATCAATAAGCTTCTCAAAGTTTATCTCACTTTTACTAATCATATTATTACTGTTATCTGTCAGCTTTTATTGAATGTACTAAGCTTATACATGCAAAGATATTATTGAAAACAAGTAGACAAAGCTGCAATATAGTACTACTAAACGTTCTTTAATTATTTACAGCAAAGTGTGCACTACACCTGCGCCACTAATGGGTTATCGAATCATGAAGTTCGATTTCTTTTTCTAGCTTCTTTTCAGCCTGGAACACTACCGTCTGAGAGACCTACGATGTCTCTTTGAGTATAAAAATCCGTCTTTCCTTTGCGGATTCGTTTTATCAAATTTTAACTATTAAGAAAAACACTGTACAAAACAACAGTAACTGACCCATCTATACAAATTAAGCATACAACATTCAAGGTCATTCCCAAACAAACTAGATTGGTTTAATTACTAATTTGCTGTGACTTATGCCATTGTCGATTTATGTGATTCACAGATTCTATAGTTCTACAGGATAAAAAAAGCTGCACACGATCTAATGGAATACCATTGGACATTAATTCCTAGTTATTTTCATTAAACACGCCATTTTATAGAACGCCTCAAAAGTCTTGTTAATATGCAATCTTATCGAATGAACGAAAAACTCGACCAATATATGCAAGATGCAAGGGTTTTTTGCTAAAGTATTATACTTGGTCCGTCTACTCATACTGTGCCAAAACCTTTGCGTTGCCTGGATGATCAAGGCGTATCACGTATTCACGCAAGAGCAAATACTGCATCCTGATCTCGACTTCATGCCTTCAAATGTACGATTGCAATCATACATACAAATCCTCAGGATCTCGTTGACAAATTTATGTGTTACTAAACTTCAGATCCGTTGCAATCAAATACAATTTCGCAGTGCATTAACCGGAAGTAACAGCTTTACAGGCAGCAAAGCTTCGACACATACTAATATTATATTTCAGACGCATTTTTACAAGGATTTTTACTAAATCATCCTAGGGATGATTGTTTCAGTACATTTCACAACAAAGGTACTGGAAATGTAAAGGAATGTGTATATACTAAGGGATATAATATTCGCTAAGGTAGAAGCCTCGAATGGTAGGGAAGCCTTTCGACGTTAAGTAAACAACGCAGTGAAAGCTTAACTCTCGGTAAAAAAATTTACTGCATTTTTCAGTTATACTGTAATTTCGTTTTCTCCAACACGTGACGAGTTTCCTTTCGACACTGCCAGAGCACTCCTAGTGGACAATCAATTTTGTGTTCAGTTCGAATAAGCTCGGGGTCAATCTGGTGCCACATAGTTCGCAAATCAATGGCCGGAGAGACCCTGATGTCCCAGCTGGAACAGCTCCAAACGTCAGAGTTTCAAACAGTGGGGTACACGTTAAATATTAATTATTACCGCCGAAGATAAGTTCCAGATGAGAAACATTATTTTGCAAATTCATAAAAAAGGCTAGGTAGACAATTAGTAACTAAATATTCTGAGTTTTATGAACTGTATTTTCGCCAAGGCAGATAACTTGCTTAAAAATCCTGTACAGACAAAACATAATGTAAATTTGTAGACGAGAACTTACAGCAGTCACGCTGATGGAGCAAGTTGTTGCCGATTTAAAAACTTGTGTATGTGCTTGGATGTCATAAAACCATCCGAGTATAATCATGTTGTCATGAGTTACCCCGTTTTTGCTAAGTAAAGGCCACAACAATCGAACGCAAATGCGTTATAGCTGGGCAAACATGTGTTTGAAACATAAGTCGTAAGATGTTGGGGTTACACGGTAATGGCTAACCCACCATCGAAAAACCACATTCTACTCTATATACCTTCCTTTCTTGCTGTACTAGTTGAGTATATACACCGAAAATATTTTACGTATTTTGCAAATAATTGCAGTATAAAACTTCATCGGTCATGTTGCTATCATTCTGTTATCAGCTACATAATATTCAACTTAAGATCATTACTCTGCAGTTCCAGCTTTAAATGGTCTTTTCCTAGGAAATTATTCGAATAAAATAAAAAAAGACGCAATGCATTGTGATTTACCGAAAAAGATTGTTTTCGTGTTATTTCATTCTCAACAGCTTACACATTGTCAATAACTGTTTATACAGTTGTGCTATAATTATGGGCATAACTCGTGAATAGAATACAGTTGTTATCCTAATCGTATATCTGCACGTCTGTATATTTGAGAGATAATTATAGTATGGTAACAATATGTCCGCCATCAGCTCATCAAGAATTGGAGTACATCCAATCATAGATGAGTATATCTTGTCTTTTCAATATTTCGGTCATCTACATTTCCACCCTGATTCGGTGTGTTCATTCGTAAACAGCATGAACCGGGAACCTCAAATTACAGTAGCCTCTGCCCTGAACATTTCAGAATAGGCAACACAGATATCTTTTATTGGTTACAATGATGGTTTCATGACAGTTCATTGTCATCCTGGACCTTCAGCCATAGAGACAAAGGCAGAGCTGAATTTCAAATAAGATGCAACTGATATGAGTTTTCTACTAAGCGGGGAGGAGCCGAGCGTCATTTTTCTTAAATCACCCTTCTCTCAAAAATTGTATTTTTTTTGAGAGACAGAATCCCCGTAGCGTCACATTCGCGATTGCAGCTACGGCGAAAAATTGGTAATTAACCGAAAAGCAGAGCGGCAGAGCAGCCACAGGGTGTATTAACAGATCATCTATTATTAATAATATAGTATTTCCCACTGCCTAGCATCAAGTTCGATTTGATCCGAACGAAGAGATTTTCATTTACATAACAGTTTAATTTTAAACGCTGGCTAAGCTACCTAGAACAAAAGATCGTAAATAGGTACACGCCTATCCTATAAAGCAATGCCAGTAAGACAAATCTTATATCGCCTCTATCAATGCGACGAACCCATCTGCACTGTTTTATGGCAGGCTTCCTAAGCCCGCGACGAATAAAATTCGCGGCAACAATCCTTCTGTTAAAATTAACAGAGAGTTAAAGAAGGAATAAATAAATAAATAAAAAACCTAAATAAAGAGTTAAAATTAACTCTTTATTTAGGTTGTCCATCCCTACCCAGATTTACTGTGCTTTGTTCAGTAATTAGTTTCTGATGTGGTTTTATTATTTTTTTTCTGTTTTGCTGAAGGGTTGTGTTGCGATGATACGTGATTTCAAAATAGCTATGGATTACGGAAGATATTCCCACTTTCTATTGATGAGTTGCGCGTTTAACGTCACAGCATTACCCAAGTTTTATTACAAATATGAGGCTGGTGGTGTAGCGCAGTGAAACACGTAGCCTAATGATTAGCATAATTTATTTAAGTAACTATAAACGAGGACGTAAGTGTCTTAAGACTATAACAGCTGATTGTTTGGTTTTTCTGTCGATCCTGTTCTTGAAGAAAAAAACCTGCCAGGGCTCACGGCAATAGCTCAGCGCGTGTGTTAAATCCCTCTACTATTAATAATTTGTTATTATTATTAACACTAGCTATAATATCGTTAATAACATTGTTACAAATATTGTATTGCCATCATTGCACTGTACATAAGATTTCTTCTGATGACAACTCATTTATCATAACTCGTGCTCGTTTATAGCAATAAACTTCGTTAGACTTGTTTTTAATAATAATGATAACTATAATAGATAGGCAACATGTTCTGCGTTGGTGTTGCGTTCTGAAATTCCAGGGATTAAATCATGCAGGCGAACAGGGTTACAGGCACCGATTACATCAAACTATCTGTCATTTTAAATCCGCATTTGTTTCTAGGTCGGTCTCAAATTCAGATATCAATGATATAAGGTGAATAGTTACAGTGACAAATATTACGTCAAAAAGCTATGTATTCTCAGACACATTCTATTTTCTCATTTGTGTGTCAGTTACTATGGGCACCAAGGTAGAAACGGTGTTAACCCAAACGTAGTCGTCATATCAATTCTGTGTATCTAATTCAAATTATTGACTTTCCTAGCATATCCCTAAAGTAGTTACGTTAATCTTCTTGTCACTCTGCCAGAGGCCAGTACCGCCTACGCCGCAGAGCAATTTCAAGGATGAAAACTTCTCATATGCGTTTCATCTCGTGTGACTAGCTCATCTCAAAACACAGCACTAAAAATTTAAGCAGATGTTCAGTATGAATACAGGAAATATATATTTCTGTTTTCTGTTATTACTGAAATCACTATAAAGTGCAGGTTTTCGAAAACTAATGATTTCATTGTTGCAGACTATTTGACAGTCTTATGCGTGCGTTAAAAGGCAGCAGCAACGGCAAAAGCTCGATTTGATAAATCCGGTTGTATCGGTGCCTTACTAAAGATTGATTGAAATTATTTCTGAATGCTAATTGCTGCTCACGCGGGGGAGCTATAGGCATACAGTTTTGGCTAGCTACTTGTTCTTAAATACTCCTTTTTGAACACTAGCCACCATAGAAGCGAGGAATTGTTCATAAAGGCGCTCAGAGAAAAAAGGTAGAAACGGTAGTAAGCCGTCCATAAACCCTATGTGACCACCACGCGTCGTCACAATAAAGGCAAGATTCGCGTTGTCCTCGACAGCTGACACCGGAAGTGCATCCGCTGGTTGGAACATGTCATCCGCAGCGCAAACGCAGAGGGTCGGTATTCTTGTTTTCCTGATCTTATGACTAAGTGTCGCCGCGTCATAGTATTGATCGACGGACTGAAAACCGAACATTTTCGATGTGAATCGTTCATCGAACTCCTTGATCGTGGTCGACTTTTGAACATCATCGAGGTTTACCCGTTTTCGGAACTCCTCAAATTTATCCTTATGTGGTTCGACGGTTAGCCACAGATTACGTGCGAGGTGACGGTTAAGTAATCGATTGAGGCCGGGCAGCTCCAAAGAGTACACTGCCTTGCCGACATCGTACACCGACGAGATAAGCATGGCCGCATCGCACATAGCTTCCTCACGAGACTCACTTAGATAGTGACCAAGAATTACTCCACCGAGAGAGATGCCGCATGCTACAATGATAGATTCTGGGTAGCGTTCTTTAATTTTCCGTAGTGCGAACCCCATGTCGTCAAAGCTAACTGCACAGTATGTTTTAGCCGTCCGTAGGTCAACGCCTCCTCGACCGCGGTTGTTCAGAACAGCTACGCGACAGCCTTGTCGGCAAGCGCCAGGAATTATCGATTTAATGTACTCAGTCTGTGAATGCCCCGTCAAACCTGCCATGAAAAATGCTATCGGCGCATTTTGAGGAAGATCACTAGGAAACCAATCGAGTGCCAGAACGCCGCCATCTGGGGTGTCCAGAAGCTCCCGCTGATATTTGATGTCGGGAAGCAGTGAACGAAAGAAATTTGACAGAGCGGTTTGGCTATGCGTACCGAAGCACCACGGTGTGGGATAGTACTTTTCGTTGACTGCTGGTACCATCGCTTCAAGTACATTGCGTAATTTGCCCGCTTTACAATACAGCTTAGGCCTTTGGGCTACTGAGGTCAGGTAGTAGTAGAGAAAAGCAACCCCCATGCTCATGAACAGAGCTATTTGGGGGTTGGAGTAATAGAAAAGACTCGATGAGTCTACAACCCAGTTTAATACTGTTCCTTCCTGAGTCTCACTCATTTTATGCTGCAGTCTGTCCAGAATTCTCAATTTTGGTGTCTAGTTAGCTCTATTATTGATCGCTAATATGAGAATCTCTTGACAGTCGTAGGCCCTAAAATAATCAGTTGTCTTGCTAGATGAAAAAAGAAATTCACGCACTTGTACACTGGTACTAAGGTAGAAGTATGACTGATCTGGCTCACACGCCAATTGATATAGAAGGCAGGCAGGTAGGCACGAACAGAGTACAGCCTGTCCTGTGGTTAGTGCATATAAGATAGAGGCACGGTTGAAACTTTTACAAGCACAAACGAAAACGTCGCCTGCGAGCGTGGACGTTTAGACGATTTCTGACTGCTAGCGTTCGCGGAGTCTCGGAGAAGGACTTTTGATTGTTTATCCGCCTCGAGTCCAGCCACACCAAGTCACAGTCGCTTTTGCTAGATACTGTAGCGCCGCCACTGGATGTTGACCCACACAGTCGCTCCCGGCAGGAATAGCAGCAGTTGGCTGCTACTTTCAGTGGAAGAGCACCGATTTGCCACTTACCACTACAGCGTCGAGACTTCGCTCTGTCTACTCATACTCATAATTCGCAAAAACAGACACTTAACAAATGCCGCTCGGCTCGGCTCGCCGTTGCTTAGTTGAGAGCAAGGGCAACGCCGTGACGGCTGTGGGAAGAGGGAGAGGGTCAACAGCCCAACAGAGCTGCCGCGATAGAACACACGTAACTAATATCGCAAACAACCATCACAGCGAGCTGCTCGAAGCTACTGGCAAACTAATACGGTGGAATTGTCAGCGAGTGCGTCACTGGTGCTAACACGCGCTGCGACTGTGGTACAAACGCCTGTAGCAGGACCAGCAGCGATAGTGCTACTGGTCCTGCTACAGACGTTACTATAGCAACGCTCACCAGACAAAACCTGGCTGTTTTACCAAGACCCGCCTCCGGGGACAGTTATGAATAATGTTGTTGCGGGGCATTCATGGGAACAGATTCTCATTGTATTATATCCATCAAAGGACATTTAAGGTATTGGGATTTCAAATTAGAATTTAGATTATCTGGAATCTAAATATATATAGTTCTGTAAAAGATAGAAATTGAAACGCATACTACGACTACATCATTGTCGCAGCGGAAACTTAAATAACAAAACTAAATCCAAATAAAAAATGTTTTAAACAAAACAATTTTCTGTTTACAACTTTCTTTTTACATTTTTTTGGTATAGTACATAAAACCCTTGTTTTCCAAGTGGTTGTTTATCCAGCTCAAATTGTTATATTATATGGAACCGATTACAGTCATGTTAATAAAAAAATTTCCTTACATTACTGTTTCGCATAAACTTAAGTTCAGCCTCTTCGTACCTTAGAATATTTACATGGTTCTATAAAAATACTACACACTAGTCACCACCAGATATGATGTAAGTAGAGGAAAGTTGGATCGATCTCACTAAAACATATTGTGGTTTAAGCGCTATTTTAGATCGCTATTTGACAGGCATATACTGCAGTGACAGGAGCCTAAATCCCTCATGAACTGAAGCAGAAATAGTGTGTGGTAATTTTCATAATATTCATATATGAATATTTTACTTACACTTCAGCATGTGCAGGTGCGGCATCTAGTTCATGAGGGAAATCTGATCCAACTCGAGCTCGTCTTTCGCCCGCGCGATCTGCGTACTGTGGATTGTCGTCAAGCCAAGGTTCGATGTACGGTTCTTCAGCTAATCCGTATTGCTTTTTTAATCCTTTAAGGTTTCGCCGACGCTGAGCTTCACTGCTCAGTGAGCTTGCATTTGCTGAACTATTTGGTGACGGCGCGTCTGCAAAGCAGGATAATTCCAAAGAATGCAGTGGATATGTTGTAGCGTACTAATCTTCTTCACTATTATTGTCTATTTAACTACAATATTTAACGCTCGTCACTATTACGATTGCGAGCTATGAGCGACAGCTTCCTAATCCTAATAAACTGGGAGTTGCCCGATTTTTCTTATATTCATTATTAGATTTTCTCTTTCACTGTTTATATTATAAAGCATTATCCGTATACAAGCAATATCCATTAAATGCTACTCATCATCAATGAGCTAGCAGTCGCGGATAGTTTGACAGATAAGTGTAATTACTACTCACCGAGCTCTGCCCGTCGCTGAAGAAGCCCAGGTTCGCAATTTCCACACGTGTCCTTCCTATCATGTAAATGCACTTCCAATTGAGTGCCCTCTCCAAGCTCAAAACGGTCCATATGTACCAAAACATGTTTTGCGCCCTGAAATATTTCCAAAACCCAAGAGACTATTGGTGTTAGATAATGTTCAGTATAACAACAATATACTGAATATCTAGCTGAAAATTTTATACAGCACTAAGTGGTGCGAGCTTCAGTGTGTAGAAATAACGCTTCAAATAGTGATTAAATGAAGAAATGGCGCACCTTTTTTAGAGGCTTTCCGTTGATTTTGGTCGGATTATTCCCGTCAAGCTGTTCGACCTTGTACTGTTGTGAGTCAGACTCGAAATATATATTGCAATGCCGCTTGCCGATACCAGCGTCGGGAACACAGAGATCACTTTTTAGAGGTGCTCCAAGTACTCCTCCAGGGAATGGAAGCATTTGCACCGAATGCGGTGGTAGCTGCTGTGATTGCTTTACGACAAAACGTATACACGGTGGATAATTGGTTATCGCATCTGCAACATCGGAATTATAAATAGTAGTAATACGGTTAACTAAACTGATCCAGTGTAGTTCTCAAAATATTTCTTTACCTTTTCTTACCACAAATTTCTCTTTAAGGCTAAATCTGTATTATGCCCCTATTACAACATACCACAGACATAGCCCTAGTGAATGAATTTTTTTCTTCGTTCAATTGAGCCCATGCGGCCTCTCTACACATTGAAGTAGGATGTGTATACGATGGGTTTCTGGATATGAACTCTAGTAGTTTATCATGTCTTACTAGAGTCTTCGTCCTCGCTGAGAATAGCCATCTCGATAGAACCCTCTTCCTCGGTAATAAGCTCGCCCTCATCAGCGCTTCGCTCGGACCTCCGGCTTTTTCTCGGGGGACTCCTTCGTTGATCCCTCGGGCTGCCTCCAGCGGCACCATCGTCGTCCCGGCCGACGTCACGGTTTCCCCGGCCACCCCTGGGCGAAGTGGGACTCGGCAACCTCTTACTCGGCCGCGATCTGCTGCGCCTCCGCCGCCGTTGCTGCTGCTGCTGGTGTTCCTATGAAGGGTTAGAGATCAAGCAGAGGGCCATCGTCAATCGGGTTTCGGGGGCCACTTGCCTGGGAGACCTCGTGCGGTTCTCCGCGGGCCCCTCTCCACCATGTAAAAGAAGGGCCCATCGACGAGACTGCCGGAGAGCGTCAGTGCTTCAAGCTGCGCTGCCACGTCCTGTTCTGCCTCGCCACGCTAAAACGACCATATCAACCAATCAATACGCACACCTGTACTACGACTTACCACCTGCACCATTAATCGCCAATACCAAAAAAAGAGGCCTAGCCAACGAAAACAAATCAACTGATCATTCGTCCCCGCATTCACCCTGCTATAGATTAAGATCCACTTGTTTGGGCAAACGAAATTTGATTACACCAAGTTCAATAGCTTTATACTTGAAGCAATGTGGACTTCTCCTACTATACGATAGTCCTGTGAAACCCGTAACTTTCCCCGATGGCAAGGTAAGCGCATTTGTAGCTTTCCCTTTCTTCGCTGCTTCTAAACTAGACACTTGGCGAGAATGAAATGACAGCGGCATAAATCTCATGTGAAGAACTAATCATCAAATATGATACTTCAGGTGTCCGGCCGTCTCGCTCCATCTCCAGCAGTTCTGTTGCTGTGATTGCTAAGCTCCGCAACAGCAGCAGCGGTGCGCCACATCCAACTAACCCGCTCCCGGCTGTTGCCTCGACTGCGCGATCGTCGTCGTCGTCGATCCCTCGAACGACTTCGTCGTCTCCGATCTTTGTCCTTTCGATCTTTGCCACTCGCTCCCGGGGGCTCCACAACGGTGTAGCTTTGCGTATCTTCATCGTAGCTGTAGTACGTACCCGTTGTAGGTTGGTAGAAAAGTTTCGTTTTCTGTGATTAGACAGTTAAATGATACAAAAAAAATATAAATAACCACAACTTCAACAAACAATTATTTGGTATGATCCGATTTGGCGTATCCGTTTCCCATGTTTAGTTAGCTTTCAAGACTAAATTGATTCGTTTAGACCTATTGGAAAAGCAGGTATAAGGAGAAAAAAGCTATCTAACCTTTTTTGAGAGCCAAGTGCCAATACTTAAACTGAACCCACTTTATTAAATAATTGATGACCATATAATGTACAATCTTAATTATCTTAAAAATCATACCGGATCCCAGTAGTAGCCTGTTGATTGCGAAAAGAACATGTGGTACTGGTCGTTGTAAACATAATCGCCTCCGGCACCAGCGGGACACATCTCTTGCGCCGCTTGTGTCACCATATCAGCCACAGTCAACTGTATCAGTCAACATACATAAAAAGTACAACAAAAAAGCATACATAATCATTAATTCTTTTTTGTAATAACCGTTGAAGTAAACGCGCTCAAGAAGTTCAAGCAAAGTACTTTCGCTTGAGAACTATAACATTCTTGATGCAGTAGGAAAATCGCATTAACCGACTTCGCTGAACAATAGTACATATAACAAATCGCTATTGCTAACAATAAGTTTCCTCACACATACCTTCGAGCCCTCCGGAGGTATGAAATCAGTACTTTGTTGTGCTTCTGTCTGTGTCTCGGCCTCCTTTGTCCTCGCCTCCTTTGCTTTTGGCTCCTGCCCGCCTTCAGCCGCCTGTGACGCATTTTCCTCGCTCTCGTGACACTGACAGCAGCAAGGGGCTCCGATTAATGAATACTCCAACCGAAAACCTCCAGCTTGCTTGAGGTCTGTTAGAATCGACTTCATTTCCTATAAAAAGCAGCAATGTTGCCCTTTTTAATTTCATGTCAGCAGGCTCAGAAATGAAACCTAAGGATGGTGACAATAAAAACAAGTGAATACCTCAACTGCAAAAGTATGTCTGCATTGAGTATCCTATCCCACATGTACACTATTTCCCAATAACACAACTACGACGTTGGAGTTATCTCCGAATCATAAGTTATATTATCGTAAGAACGCACCTTGGTATACTGTTTCATACGATTCTCATATACCAGCGCCAGCCCACACATGCTCTTCAGGACTTCGCAATTTTTCGAGAAGCTAGCCACAAATGTGTCACCGGCTATTTTGCCCTCCAACTGGGAAAGCTTGTTGAGGTATTCCTCCTGAACCTGACCCGTGTTGTCTGGCATCGTGGAGTTGCTGTATAGAGGACGAAACTTTTTATCAGTGCGATACAAAACAGTCGTGAATATGGAAAGTCAATAATCACTAATCGTTTGCCAAATTTTTTAAAGTTTAAAATTTAAAAAGTCCTTCATCTATTGTCGACTGAACAGCGCATATATAATTAAGGTATCTGATATATTTAGAAACGATTAACTCACATATAAATTAATATTCTTATAAATAATGTTAAGTCCATAATTTTTTTCAAACTAAACTCATTTTAATCTAAATAGATATCAACTAAGAAATATATAACAAGAACTCACTTGGGTTCAACATTATGTTTTAAGTTTGTTTCCCAATACTTAAGCTCAAATCTATAAAGTCATTAACAAGTTTTTCGCTCGATCAAGTGAAAAGCGTCATTAGTAATGTAGTGTATAGTACCGTACGTCATCTCAGGCTAGTGCTATAAATTTCAACACTGCAATATGAATTAAAAAACTATGCAAACGCCTAAGTTTTCAGTCACTAGTTAAGTTTATTTTTTCTAACAATGTGCAGATAGCTTTGGTAAGTATTATCTATCTACTTTAACTCAACGTGTAGAGATAGGCCAAACTAGCTTTTTTCTAGTCAACAAACTATATTTTGAACAAACAAACCTGTAATACATATGCCTGCGGCGCTTAATCATGAATGCATGTTAATAAACAAAAGAAAGGTAAGGGCGTCTATGCAGTTTCAGTTCAGACAGCCGGTCACGTCGTTTCAACATGAAAGAGGAGAACTAACCATATGGATCTCTGTCAATAAAAGATTTCGGGCTTGATACCTACCTAATCCATCACCTTCGACGGCTTTGTCTTTTATATCCAGCAAACAGGTCGGTAGAAACAATAGTTTACAAAACGCTAGCCGAAAAAGTGCTGCCCAGTTGAAAGATCCACTTCGTGTTCAATACTGCGGTTTGTATTTCTGGACATGTCAAGGAGAAAGTAAACTTTATTCATTGTTTACTAAACCCCTTAAGAACACAAAATATGTTTTCGGCTTGACAGAAACCAATCGAATGTTACGAAAATAGTTGTATGACACTCACTCATAACGCACAAAACCTTGCGAGAGTCGTAATAATAAGCATTACAGTGTAATTAGGCTAATAACAAATCGACTAGATACTGGGAAAGGCTTCATTGATATATAAGAGAACTACCTAATTGAGAATTGGCCAAGTAAGCCTGCCTAGAATTGCAATATAGTAAAGAAAATCACCTCTTATTGGCCGGTATCCAAGAGTACTATAACACCTGCACACAATCCTTTGGACACCAACCAGTTATCCGGTACGTTTACACAACGCTGCTGACAATAATTATGTACGATCAAAACGAGTATTTAATATAGTCCACTGCGTAAACTAGGAGGAAAATGCACAACGACATTTACTTTTCAACAACGAAACGACATTACCTTCGCATCAGCAAAAAACTATTCGCTTTCTGCCACCGCTTCCCGTAGAACACACAGCCAGATACACACCTTTACGGACACACTTACACACAGACACAGAATAAACAACATTCCCTGCCTAAATATAGCTCGTCCAGCGATCTGTCGTCTGCTTCAAAGTCCCCCCGCGAACCGCGGACATCAATTACGAAAAAGAAAGGTAATTGTGTAACTCAGTACGATTTATTCCGAATTTTTACGTCAATCAGAAATTGCTGGTGACGGTTAGCCATAACTACAAAACGGAGTGTGCCTTAATAAACGCAGTTCTAAGTTTGAACCGCCTCACGTGTCCCTAAGTTTAGCAGGCAAACGCGTTACCACTGCACGATTCTAGTTACAACTGAGTATGATTTAAGAATACTAGAGGATCTTTGATTAAACCGGAACAACACGAAATCTAGACGAAAAACCAAAATTAAAAGAATCAGACAGTGAACCGTTGGACAACACCGAAATTTGGCGCGCAAATTTAAAAAAAAAACGTACGAAGCAATCCGAGTAATATAACACTTATGATCTCTTTGTTATTTGCTTTGCGTAGTTGCAAAAAAAACAAACACCTTTGCTTTCACAAATTTTATGGACCTAAAGAACAACCAGGAACTTGAATTTGAGGTATTGCTGATAAAAAATATGTTGCTCCTATAGCTACTAGTCTGTCTTGCATGCTGCTAAACGAAAGCGAATTCTATTTGACAATATTCGTCCATAATCTGCAGCAGAAAACAAAGATCGACTTAGTCGGCTTCATTATCACACAAAATCTTTTTTTCAATTATTTGCGTAGGGCTCAGGCATTGCGCGTCACATGTCATTATGATTAACTTTAGTGACAAAACAAACGGCTAATCTTATTCAAAAGCAGTCGTCTTTATAAAGTTCTCTCATTATGGCGTTAAGTCAGTTTTCGTTTACTTACGGAATCTCAGACTGCAGGTTACAGTATATCGTTCCATTTTGTGTCATAGTCGTCAGTTATTTTAAATATTTTTACAGTAACGATAAGAACACGAAAAAAGATACCGGCAGACACTGAGCGTAAAATGATTCAATTACTCAGCTCGCGCGCACGGTGAGACCTATAAGTAGAGAGAACTCCAACAACAATATGGTAAAAATACAATAAAGTAGTCTTGGAATGCCTGTGCCTCTTTCTATGTAATAAAGACAAACTGCAATTTTAAGAATAACAACTCGTTGTTCGAAGTTTTATAGATTCACACAAATAATATATACATCAAAAACTTATTAAATTCGTTGAACATATTTTATCATTAGCTAAATAGTGTTGAGATTGAATAGCACATGCACACGACATCATTTAAGTGTCGACGATTAACAATAACAATGACGCGATTCGCTTACAATTCTGAGATAACGTATGCATGGCACATAATTATATAGTAGTCTAGCGTTGTGGTATGATGCCGCCCCGTATCTTTAATACACGAGGTTATCTCCGTTTTGCTGCGCATTTCGCAGTCACTGGCGGCCACTGTCAAACAATCCCCAATCGGCGACACAACCAAGGCTCTCCAGTCAGATATGGTCACGTGAGAATAAAAACAACCACCATCGATATTTTTCACTAGCGTAGCCACCTAAGTTTACCGAAATTTGGGGCCAAGCATTTATGCCAGCGTTCGAGTTTCGCAGCTGGCAGTAGTTTCATCGTATTCGTCAGCTACCTACACGCTAGCTATCGATCAACCGGGGCCATTCCAAGCACGTCCTGCGGATTGACCATTCTGTGTTCCTCCTTTACCGGCGAGACCATTAACGAGCCCTGCTGCGAGCCAAGCCCGCTTAGACTGCCTATTTTGCCTATTGAGATCGGGTTCTTTGGTGGGGAATTATGGTGGGTCCCTTCTAGAAAGTGTGGCTGTTGCTGATCGCTCTTTCTCACGTGAGCTGTAACTGGCCGCATGTTCGATTTCGGTAGATCCTTGGTGAGTACGCTGGTTGCAGTTGTTGCGGCAGCGTGGGTGACTGTCTGCGATGGCTCGAGCACAGGACTCGTCTTTGAGCTCGATCCAGTCGCTCGACTCTGAGTGCTTGAATGTTTTGATGTTCGAGGTCGTCCAGGACCCCTTTTCGCGTTTGAGTTTCCCATTGTTCCGTCGTCGTCTTGGCTACGTTCCCGTTTACGGTACTTGCGAGGATTAGCGGGTGTTGGTGGCCCGTCAGGTTTGATTACCAACGAAGGGGGTAACGGCTCGGTGGGACCTGTGGTTTTCTTCTCAGGTGTTGGGGGCACAGGAGAACCTGGTGGTGGTGGCGGTGGACTGGTAATGCTGCTTAATGCGTGATTGAGGAAATTAAAAATCTCTTCTACGATGCAACGGTCGACCATAGTCTGTGTCATGCCGAGTAATCGCTTATGCTTAGTACTCATGTGTAGATTGGCATCGCCACCGCCGACTACTACAACACCAGTTTCACACTTCATATAGCCACGGAAATCCTCGAGATCATCCAAGCTGCACGATCGATCGAATTGCCCCACGCAAAAAAGGATCGGTGTTCGTGAGTCAAGGATAGGGTCGTCAAGCTGCTTTGGTCCTTGCAGACCAGTCATTGGGAATCCCATACAAACGACAGCAGAGACCGACTCGATAAGAGAGGTTTGAAGTGCGACCAGTGCACCACTGTTCCAGCCAACAAGAATAATGGGTCTCTGAGGGAACGCAGTCTTTACCTCGCCGATCTTGCTCTTGACAGCGTTCACCGTAACTTCAAGTTGTTTAGCCACTGTCACCGAAGGCTCGTTCACGATAGGAATCGGAATTGTAATTAGTTTTCCTAGATGAGCTAGATGATTGTACCAAAATTTTACACGAGCAAAATGTGGGTTCTGGGTTAAACCACTTGGCACCACAATAAATATGGGAGGGCCGGGAAGCTTCTTCGGTCGATTTACACTTAGCAACGATGCAGCTGGATCCCATGGCCGTTTCAATAGTTGCAGTAAGGAGTCGTTAGCAGTAGAGGATTTATAGAAACCTCCCGAACATCGAGAAAACAGGCGCTGAACAAGTGACGGAATTTTTGCGTTGAGTGTTTGCAGAATTTCGACATAGCTACTGCAATAGCTGACCGGAAGGTTTTCAATGATAGTGGCATGAAGCCATTGCAGAAGCACCTGCTCCCAGTGTACGTCTACATAAAGCTGTCTCACACGTCGAGCCGCTTTGTCCAGCGAAATCCTGCGAGATACAAATTCGTTCGCGCTACCATCATACGCAAGTCTGGCTACCCGCTCCATGTCAAGTATCTTGTACATTCGATCAAACAGTGAAATCTGAGTTCGAGTCCAACCGTGACGCGAGATACGTTCTTCATCCCATATCTCATCGGGTATGCATTTCTGTTGTGTCCTTACGTGTCTCTCCACTTCGTCAATGAGAGCCTTGCACTTTGCTTGCTCGGATGCGGCGCCCAGCGAAGGGCCAGTTCGTTCTGCTACTGACTCCACATCGATGAAAAGCTCCTTGCCCACGCGGCCCAAACGCTCTGTAGAGCCTATCTGCTGGTCTTTGCTGTTCACGAAGAGTAACGTGGCGGGACGCGCATGAACCGACACCGGATGAGAGTTCCATGAGCGGGCATACGTATGGTCCATAGCCACAGCGTCCACCTCGGGAGCTAATGACGTGGTCTCATCAGGCAGGAACGACAACACACTGCCGCACCCGGCAGCAGTCAAGGCCTTCGACGGCATCGATATCTGTCACGTTTTGAATCTGGAACACAAAAAAAATCGGATGTCGAGATGTCAGTCCAAAACTTAAGCAGACAGTGAGCGTTTCATGTCTGTTTTGTGCACAAATTTAAGCTTTAAAATATTTCGCAGCAAACCTAATATAATTCAAATAAAGTAAATTAACAAATATATATAATGCATGTAATGTAGGTAAGGCGCCGGCCCAGAGGGCCTCGACCAGCGGGTGAGGCAGGATTTCTCAACGTCGTAAAGGGCAAGGGTTCCTAACCTCCTACAGGGGGCGTAGGAGTGCCCAGTAGGTATGATGAGTATAGGAAGACAAAGTATATATCAAAACCCCTGATGCGGACCAAAATGAGACCAAATCCGCGGCTATAGTAAGCAGAAGTCTCAAAGGTATTCAGGACTGCAACAGTAGGTCACTGACTAGGGAAAATGGACGTCTTGATGTAATGCCAAAGCAGTTCCAGGGCTTCATACCCCAACCCAAAGATTGAGGCATACGCGTTTTAGTACTGAAGATTGTCCTACAGTACTCGATTTTCAAGTGCGCATCAGTGTTTTCGCAGTCAGCCTCGCAAAACGCAAAAAAGGGGTAATAGCTCGATAATTACCACCTGCAGATTTTTGCGTATTAGTTAATGTAGTCGTGGGTATTACCCGATTTTCTTAACAATCACACTGATTAAACTCACAGTTGGTTCATCTTCAAACCAGTAATTGCCAAACCCAATACATATACCTTATTTTGGGGACATACGTTGCTCTAGGTTGAAATTGGCATTATGGACGTGATTCACCATTATTAGTAACACCAATAATATAACAATGTGTATTGAATATAAAGTAAAGTAGAATGCTGAATAGATTTTATTCTGAAGAGCCGCACTATTCTTATGACTTATATAAGAATATTATCACCTCCGGCTTATTCAAAGGTTGACTAAAAATAAGCTACAGAAAAATCATTCCCGCTAATTCGTTTTATCCAGTGTGCGAAGCGCGAAGCTTTCCGCGCAACCGGCGAAAAAGCGCGGTGCGCGAGTCAGCCCAAACAATAATAACCATTCAACAGTTCAATTAGGAGGCACTATCACCCTCCTAGAATGCAGCCCTGTTTCCTGTACACGTCCTGTAATAGGAGCTTTGGACTTGTCTACACGTAAAATATTCACTTGGCATTATCTCAGTATTAAGGCGCTCGTATCTTGGTATTACGACATAAGGTCTTGCACACAAGGTAGAGTCCATATATATATATATATATATATATATATATATATATATATAGAATGTGCAAGTAGTTAAGCACCACAACTGTCATCATCATTGTAACCTGTAGCAATAGTTGTCGCGAAGTGCGCCCTTTAGCGCTACTCGTCAAAACCATGTTATTGTATGTATTATATTCGCTATAGTGTTGTTGTCTTTGTAAAGTGGCAAAAACTCACTTGGAATCAGTCGGCAGGTTTGTTGGGTAGACTGACCAACCGTCGACCGCATCAGTTACCGTTGTGGTATCAATTGCAATCCATGTGGCGAACAACACCCGGTGTCACGCTAAGCGTGCGATTTAATCGCACGATCTTTTGCGATCACGGCGGTCGTCCGACGTAGGCGCGGGCTTGCAGCAGCAGCATTACGACAAGCGGACGACCAACTAGTCAACCAACCAGTTTCACGGAGTAGTTGTAGCTCTCGTTGTGGCAGTCAAGCAATGGATGTATGGGTGGATCTGATGACGGACTCGCTCAGCCAATGATGACTGTGATTTCGACCTACTACCTGTTCTATTCGGCGACTTCAACAATATTAAAAGCAAGAAAAACAATGGCGCTTCTAGTGTACCGGTTCGTGTGTTTACCAACATTTGAGCACATGCGTCGACACATGCCGAACTGCTGCGGTATCTATGATTCGACTTTGTTCTAATGCAGAGAAATTGTGTACTAATCTTGTGTTCATATGCTGAAGTAAATTTCAAGGTGTTCGTTGAAGTGTTAAGCTTGCATGTCAGTTGTGCACGTTAAAAGGGTGAGTTACATTACGCAGAGTTTAGGAAGAATGTTATTGTTAAATTTTTAGATTATATTTTGTATAGATTATTTTTATAGGTAATGCATGGTTTCTATTGCTGTCTTGAGCGTGGTTGTTGTTTTGGTGAACTTTTTCGTCATTTAGGCAGACAATTGCCGTCACATTGGAGGTCGAGCATAATTAATCGGTGTAATCGGCATCAGAAAATGTCTTCGTTCAATTTTAATCTGTATGTACGATCATTCATTTTTTCAGCTTCATAGAGTGCAATAAGTGCTCATTCAGCTCATTCAGGGCGTTTGAAAGGAGCGATAGAAGCTCCTTTCTCTCTCTCTCTCTCTCTCTTAGTTCTGATGGCGTCTGCTAAACGAAACCCCCGCTTGTCACACCATATTGTGTTATTCGCCGTGAAAGGAACTGTTCATGTTCCACTGCCTTACGAAAGCGCACTGGTGCATAGCAGTTGCAGCGAATATTATTTAGTTGAGGCGAGTACATCTCCTGGAAAAATCTGAGCTTACCTGAAAGTGATAGATCGACGCGCTTGCGAGCCTGACGCACTTAAGCCCAATTTCTACCGAGCAGTCATCATTTGTGGTGGGACTATAAACAATTCTGGTAAATAGGAAGTGCGGCCTTCTCTCTAATTATGATTAGCGTTGTCGTCTAATTTCCCATCCACTATATGTGTGTGGTGTTAGGGCAAGAGTGGGTCGACAGCACAATGAATTCTGTAAAGTTTAGTAAAAGTAGCGGATCGTTTATTTCGTATATTAACTTTGAAGAGAGGAAAGGTGAAACACCGCCAACTAGCACAACTACACCACTGTCACAGGCTGACGAGGATATGGCGAGTTCGGCAGTCAGTTGGCTCGAGGACTGCTGCCAACCGCGTTTATCGCCTAAAGAAGTTGTGCTCAACACTGTTACCAGAGTGCTCAAGTTCGACACGTTCGGCGATCTTAACTCAGGCGTTAATGGTGCGTTGTATTGTACCAACTTGAAGCTTAGCTTCGTACCAATGAAGAATCTTTCCGAGCTGCTGGAAATCGGCACAGACGAGTCGTGGCCCCTGGGGGCGTTTGATGTTTGTCTCACAAACATCGAAAGCGTCGAGCAGCTGAGTGGCGGTCGACGCAAACGGCTAGGCGCATCGGCGGGGCTTGCCGTACCCGTGGAAACTATCCAAATTATTTGCAAGGATTTTCGAGTGTTCACGTTCTCGTTCCGCTTTTCGCCGGCCGAAGATGTGGTCAAGGCGTTGGACTATCTCGGTCGCCATCCGTTCGTTAATTCGCCTGACCGGCTGTTTGGGTTCGAAGAGCCGCTCCAACAGACCGTCGCTGGCTCGAAAATGCAGATATCGAAAATCACAGATGACTTTTTATCATGCTATGATCCGGCAGCCGAATGGGAAGCGGAACTAAAGCGCTGCAATGCCACTGACGCTTTTAGAGTGACCGACCTAAACAAGAGTTTCAGTTTCAGTGAATCTTTGCCACGAAGATTTGCTATACCGAAGCATATTACGGATCACAAATTGGATATCGAATCTAAACATTATAAGGATCATCGGGTACTTGTGTGGAGCTTCACAAAAGGCTCGACACATCTTCTTCGCGGCTCATCGCCGGATTCGTCAAGTTCGAAAGACTCCCGTTATCTCAGTTTACTCGAGTGTCAACGCTCTGAGCTGGAGGAGTTTGATATCGAACTTTCGTGTCCTGGAGTGCGTGAGATCCAGCAGAGCTATACTCGACTAATGGCAATGTGTACGCCAAGTAACATGCAAGAATTGGATGAAATTGATGCACACTTTTTGTCTAGGATCGAGGAGACCCGCTGGCTAACAAATGTGTCGTTATGCCTTAAAGAGGCTCAAAAGGTCGCGGTTGCTGCGGTGGACCCGAAGTATAAATTCGTTTTAGTTCGTGAACGAACTGGAGTGGATATGTGCGCCGTAATTTGTTCTTTAGTGCAAGTGATTCTGGATCCCCGGTGCCGAACGCTACGAGGTCTGGAGAACTTGATTAGTCGGGAATGGGTAGCTATGGGACATCCATTTGCGGAACGACTTGGGCATATCCGCGGTATTAGCTGTAACAACACGCCGCTAGAGCCTGCGCCGATGTATCTACTTTTCCTTGATTGTGTGTGGCAATTGTTACAGCAATTTCCGACCTGTTTTGAATTTTCGGAGACTTTTCTCTGTCGCATGTGGGATCATTGCCTTGTTAGTCTCTATGAGGCTTTCGTATTTAACAATCACAAGGAGCGAAGTAAGGCAAAGCAGAACGGGTCGATGTATCGGCGCTTGTTTGACTGGTCCGATTGGTTGGGCCCACAAGACCTTGAGCTGTTCCGAAATCCCTTCTACCTTCTCAGTAATAATTTTCGAATAAAGGAAAATCCATTAGAATTAGACTATACGGTTAAAGGTCTCGACTTATGGTCGCAGTGCTATTTCCGTTGGATTCCGAAATCGGAAGTCGTCAATGGCGATCCTGCGATGCTGTTCACCTTTCATCTCCGAGTCGCCAAGGACATTGAATCATTGAACAAGCAATTGGAATCGTTAAACATGAATGCGCAATCGGAAGGCGTGCAACTTCGCAATTGCAATAAGAAACGACTGCCTTCCGATGAATTCTTGGCAAACGCGCGTCGAACGTCGCGTTTGATAAAACCCGGCTCAGATTTAAAAATGAACGTAATCACCTCTTCCTTCCCATTTGCCCCTCCTGGTCCAATTGATTGGGGTTCATTCCATGCTAGCTGCCACACGTCGCAATTGTCAGCTGTTCTTGGCGATATACAAGAAGATGGAGCTGATGCCCAAGAAGCGCCCCGATGATGCGTCGACCTCGTCGCTTTTAGTCTTTATTATCATTATTCACCCTTTTTTGTTCTCGGGCTAACTAAATTTGGGCAAGAAATAAAACATATATAAATTATCTGTATAGAGCACTAAGTCAATACGGGTTAAATATGTATGAAGTGAGGGAAGCAATACAGTGTGCAATGTTGCTACACGTATAAAAATACATTAGAATATATATATTGCACGCAACAGCGTGTGTTGGCAAACCATGATGCATTTGATTTTGTCAAGTTAACCATTCGCAAGAAGACCAACATTTGCTATGTGCGTTCAGGCTCTGTGAATTTGTCTTGTTATCGAGTTTTGCAGACAAATAGAATCCTAGTAGGGAGTATTTTCACCAGGAAGTGGTTCCCAAGACAAATACGGGCAAGTTATCGCAAGATCCAGCTTGATCGCTTTTTAAAGTGTAAAAAAATACCCGTTAGTTAAATAGCTGATATTGGTAGTTGTAGTGGCGTTAGTTAAAATATTAGTTACCGATAAATACTACTATCAAGCTCATTGGACTAGCGATACTATGAACGAAAATACCACAGTAATAAAATTAGTAAAAGTCAATGTTAATATTATTACTGCAATTATATTGTACTAATTAGCTTAGTAGTTAAAAGTCAGTGAGGTGGCTGTATGTTGAAACAAAATTGGTATGAGAAGAGTATATAAATGGAATAAAAAAGCTATTGGAAGAGTCCGCTGAGGATGTATGAAGCTAAAAACCAATGAAAATATTATTGTATGAGAAATGAGTAGACTGAGATTATCAATAAAGATTTTGTATCGACATGGTATGCTGATGTCTGATTTTGTCGTATACGTTCTGACGTAAATGCACGAATCAACATTACTTGAAAATTTCTTGCAATTAATAGTTTGAGTGGTAAAGTCTTCATGAAGAAAATATTGTATCAGGTGCTTAAATGGCAGAGAATTAGGCTAGCTGCCTTTCATTCAGCGACTTGTGGCGCTAAAATTACGATTGATTGATTTTGGAGACTCATGTTTATTAATAAATGCTTGGTCCAATAGGATTGTCCCATTCGAAGGTTTTTCATCGATAGCTCTTTATGCACTTAACACCTCGCTTGTTAAGGTTTCTAGGCCAGATATAATTTGCAAATACTTAGGATTATGCTTTTCCGGTATAACTAAGTGACTAGAAAATATGTCTTTGAAGTTATTTGCACTTCAGTGTGGGTTGAGCTGATTTTCACCTTTTACTGAAGCTTACCAACTTACAAAGTGACTTTAAGGTGTTTTTACAGGCATTGTTCGTGTATTGTGTACATGTTTCGTATAAGCTAAAATTGTTCAGTGCGATAACCTTGTGATTACAGATAAGTTCATTATGAAATTAGGAAAAAATGTGAGTAGTCTGTTGGACTTTACAGATAAGTACAGGCTGAAGCGGTTCACGTCGTGTTTTTGTTTTATTTTTGGTGTTCTGCAGTGCGATCGGAGAGAAAGAGGCAGCATTTATGCATCCTATGGTTGTTTGTTTCGTTATTTAATTACACTTATACAGGCGGTGTTATTATTGTAGCATGAACCAGCCCACTATAAATACGATCGGAGTGTGATAAGTGTATTTTGAGGAAACGTAAGGGCAAATAACAATTAGATGATAATAGAGGTAATGTCGTTACTAAAGGTACATGCTCTCCCTACGTTAATAATTATGCATTGTCATTATTATTAAAAATACGTAAGCTATATCAACTTACGGCGATTTCCATAGATAAGCGATGCTGCGCTAGATCTTCGTTATTATAACGATGGCTTAGCAAAGATACACAATCTACTTTTGACGCTTCAAATTAATATGTCGTTGAGGACCCATATAAGTTTTTGGAGCATTAAGTAACATTTTGGAAGGTTACCACTTTAAATGGAATTATTTATTTACGGATTACGTATTTCATATTATCATGCCAACCAATAATACTGGCGAGCGCTTTGTAGGAAGTGTCACACGGTATGTCAGCTAAAAAATGTCCACTTTTTTAGAGAATACATCATGGAAGACTGACAAATAGTTGGTGAAAATGCACTGCGAAGATGCACATACTTTTCACACTTCAGATATGGCTATATGTTATCGCAAAAATACCTCCTGATGCATACATTTAAATCGATGGTGATGGGTTGGATTTATATGAGATTTATCAAGAAAAATTACCGAGAAAGAAGAAGCTCCAAGTGTGGTTCCATTTTTTCGTAAAATCAAGAGTTGCTGAATGTTGTACCTCTCAAGTCTATCTTCCATATATAGCGTCTATTTCGAGACATACATTAATGTCAAATGTATTTGGTTGCATAATCTAAATACATGGGTTCTCAACTGTTAACAAAAGTCAGTCGAGTTCAATTGAGTTTTCGAGCAGTCTCGAATCCCTTTTTGACTGCCGGATAGTTTATATACTGACCTTGGTTACACATAATTATATATCTATAAGGGGTTTATAATTTATAATCGTGAATAATAAGTACGGTAAACTGAAACTGATATGCAAGCCAATGAATTAAGCTATAAATGGCTATCATAGCATGCCCCCTATTTCTTGAGTTCTAAAAGCTTTGTACTAAGAATTGTTTGTTGCAAACTACTTAATTTAAATCATTAATTTTTAAAACTGTTGTGAAAACATTTTCAGGTCATCCTAAATAACCGAAAAATGACACGCTGGGCTCGTATAAAATCAACACACGGGACAAAGCGGCAGCCGGAGGAAGCAACGTCATGGCAGGATTTCCAAAAACAAAGGAAACAGCTTAACGAAACTCAGGATCCCGACACCAAGGTAGATGTTAATGTATATATATCTTACAAATTATTTAGTTGTTATAAAGCAGGAGATCGGTGGTATCGTTAGTAAGTAATAATTTAGCGTCTCGAGGAATCGCAATTCATACCTGGATTATTTACAAGCGAGAAAAATGATGACTATTATTATACTTGCACGCCCTAGGCAATAATGTTGGACCAAATGTAATATTGACAGGAAAATATTCACTTTCATTTGTAATCGAGGCAACTATGTGAGCATGTATAGGAAAAAAACATTAAAAAAGAAAGGTTAAATAATTCTTTGAAGTATTATATCTTACTGCGCGATGAAATCACCTAAAAAGCGCTGGTAGTACTCAAAACGCTAATTAGACTTGTCTTACCGTATGCATAAGGCATATCGCTTGAACTCTCAAAGCTTTCTAATACAGACTTGCCTGCTTTATCCTACGTACAATGATTTATTAGGGCCTGTACTCCTTTACCTGCTGCTGACTTTTACCATGGCACTTACTAAGCAGAATAAGAGTACATATATTAGGTTGTTTTGGTGACGGAACTGTAGTGTTTACAGTCATGGATTCTTGATACACACATATGGAGCATCATCGCTGGGTTGTCAGTTCCAGCACAGTATCAATTTTTGTCGGTCTTGCAAAAAGCTCTACCAACGATATGTAATGAACGCAAGTAAGAGGAAGTCACTCTTTTTGTAAGAAAGCTTTTATTACCGCGTATGTTGGGCACGAAGAAGCTCATAGAACGAGCTCATATAACTCAATGTGAAACATGATCGATGTAGAGGTCTGTGCGCGTCATTGTGTCGACACCCTGCGATCCTTATCTAGCTTGCCCCAGGAAACATCAACCTTGTTTTAATCGCAATTGCTACCTTCCCCGTCGCGCCCAAAATACCTTTAGGCTACTGGGGCTACTACAAGCTACGTCGGAGTCCCTGATTGTAGCATTCAAAGTGATCTCTCCGAAAGCATACAAGACCCAATGCAAGATACAGTTGGAACAGCAAGAAGTTATTCTTATGAGAGAGGTCAAATGCCAGCTATACAAATGGCTTGTATTTTACAGGTCGACGTCGTGTCCCATCAACTCATCAGTGCCTTTCGAACACTTCGCCGGTATGTTCTTATTTAGTAACACGCCCGCACTTTGGAGGTTTCAATGCTCAGTGTACGGTGGGACGTGCAGATAACAGGCGAATGTGAATTGTTGAGTCGGGAATTTTCCGTCTTACTTCTAAGACGGAAAACTTCTGAAGTTAACCGAGGAAGTCACTCCTGACTTCGGCGCTGGAGAGCCTACGCTCGAGGTGGGTAGCTGGGCCGTATCAGAGCCAGAACGAATACTTCAAGGCTGCTCTAGCTCTGGCTTCGTGCTGAATCGCTTCGTTTAGCGAACATCTCCATATCGGGCTGCTTTCTTTTCAATGGCAAAACCCAATGCTTATCGTTATTTTCAAATATAAAAATGACCCAAACAAGTAGGTATCTTAGCGAGGGATCGCGAAAGAAAATATTCGCAACGAGCTTCTCTTGTATCTACTGGAAAGAAGACTAAATGTGTTCCGAAGGGCGTGAGTGTTGTACTCTGAAGGAACACAAATTCAGAAGGGATTATTTGACCGAAACCGTATGCGAGATCCTACTTGTTGATATTAAATAGAGTAGTCTTTGGCAATATACGTACGTATTCTTTTTAGATTTTAAAGTAGCTTTCGGCTTCACTCCAGAAAAATCGATCTTAAACACTCGCCGATGTCGGTGTTTCCGTGAACTTGTGTAACCTAGTGGCACCTATACCCCAGCAAAACAGAATGACAATCGATGGTAGAGTATCGGAACTGCCGGCGTTCTTTCGGACTGTACGAGTTTTTTTTTTTTCAGTTTTATTTGAAGATTTAGTTGATAAGATACGTAGGCCAAAAATATGCTAAAGGTTCTTTCTTATGCAGATGATTCAACCATTTATGGAAACAGTCTCTTCTATGACCAGCAAGCCCGAGCCAGGTTATATTTTGCCGTCAAAAATTTGAGCCTTACCGTTAATTTAAAGAAAATCGAGGCAATTAAATTTGGGAGATATGGGATAGTTGCGGCATCTAACACACTATAGGTCTCGGCTAGACCGGTGACATATGCTAACTCATGCATTTATTTATCGTTGCTGATTCGTATTATGCCTACAGTTTCTTCTAGCGTAGTACAGAAAGATAAAGAAGGGCGTTAATGACCTCAGCCTCAACCCTTGGCGACTATCCCTCTCATCTGCGCTACAACTTTTTAACCTCAAAAGATGCGACGAGCAGCGCATATGGAACTAGAAAATTCTGAGAAGGTCTCACCGTGGAGAATCTTGAGCAACTGAACCGGATGCAGGCTTCCTTTCTCTAAAGAGCTGTGGGACTGTACCGAACAACCCGTGATAAGCTTCTTTCTTTGTTGGTAGCGACGCTAGTGTTCGCCGAGGATTTCCCTTACCGTTCTAATCTACCATCAGCCTAATTCTATTTAAAATGTTTTAAAAACATAGTGATTTTTATTTTAAATCTGCATTATTGTTGTCTATAATCTTCTACTTATTTGTCCCGCAGCTGTAGCAGTCTGAAAACGAGAGTCTAAGCCTCGAAAGGCGACCTCGACGTTATATTAAGATTTGAACGATTTTTTTATGGTGTAATTTTTACGGTGTAAGGTCGAGTGTTATCACGTAATAGGAGCAGTTTGATTTTGCATATTAATCTTGGCTGTTTAAAGTGGAGTTTACTTATTATTTTCCCCAGCACCTAACAGTGCGTTTCAGCCTTAATCGACAAACCAGGATTTCTGAAGCTGTAATGGATAATGCCTACACTTGACCATCAAATAGATATGATAAGATTTTATAGCTGTATATTTATTTCAGGTGATGTCTCGTCGGTTAAGTTGCATCCACTTACTTGTGTGATCGTCTGTGATTATTGGAAAAGGTCTATTTTTCATAATACTCACAATTCGATCACTTCTCTCAGTTTATCGGTATCCCTTTTCATGTCGCGGATTTCAGTTGGTCACGGTTGAAAAGGGTATTCACCGAGAGCCTGATAAAAAACGCAAGATTACGAATGAAGAGCACAAGAGGTTAAAAAAGAAAAAGCAGTTGAAGAAGATGCGTGAACAACGAGAAAAGAAAGGAATGGTCTTATTGCCAGAAAAAATTGAGCGAAAAATCTATCGAATGAAGAAGGCTATGCGCGCAAAAGATAAAACTGCACAGGAAATCAGAGAGGAAATCAGACGATTCCGCCGGAAAGAAGAATTGGCGTATAGAAAGCTTTGCTTAAAGGTACATACATCATCATGGACTAACATATACTGTATTAGCTGATAAGATCATTTGATACGATTCAGTAAATGGTCGTGCATGCGCGGGCAAAAGAAGTTCTTATCTGATAAGTTTGATGTACCGTTTGTGTTCACAGGCATGTTTGCACTGTCGCCAGCCCGGCCACAAGGTAGCAGACTGTCCGCAAGCACCTAGAGTAGGAATCTGCTATAAATGTGGCGCATCAGATCACACTTCTGCTAACTGCTTGCAAGTAGCAGGGGATTCATATATGTTCGCCGCGTGTTTCGTCTGCGGAGAACAAGGTCACATTTCAAGGGAATGTCCGAAAAACGAAAAGGGGGCTTTTCCTAAAGGAGGTGGTTGCCGGTAAGTTTACGCTATTAAGCTAGGGAACTCCGTCGTCAACATTATATCTGCGGTTTTTTGAACTCTTCTCTCTCAGCAGTTACTTTAGGTTCATTCATCTACAAACATATTGCTAAATATTAGTACTTGCAGAAAATGTTTTGATTCAGTAAGGTCAGATTGAATATACGAAATAGTTCTTCCGGATAATATTGCATGCTATTTCAAAATAACATCGCAACATCTCACAGTGGAATAAATGCAGTCAGTTACTTTTCAGACGGCACAACATTGCCAACCAGTTATTTCTTATAGTACCTTTATAATTTGAAATAATATATCTTTCGGACTAGCTACTATTAGATCTGCCGCCCAGATGAGTTTATATGGTACATTTTGATGCTGTATGGAATTTTATATAACGGATTGTACTCAAAACTGTATGTTTACAGATTCTGCGGGTCTAATAAGCATAAAAAGCAGGATTGCCCGGATCGAAAAGCTGCAAAGCGGATAAATAATGAGGAACAGGATGAAGTTGTTGCGGATGTATTAACGAACGATAAGGATAGTGCTGACAAAGAAATTCATCGCGACACCTCTTTGTTCATGCGTTCCGTCAGAACATCGGGCTTATCTGGTAAACCCACAGGAACATCCAGTACTAGACGCAAGCCAAAGTTTGTTAAATTCTGAGTTTAGATTAATTAGTTTGGCCGGTGGCCTGACATGCAGCTATCCGGCTTTGATTATGTTTGATAGGTTCGTGTTCGTTTTATTACTGGCTTTGGTTTGCCGTTTGGAAACAGCTAGAAGATATGTGCCTAGTATTTGCTAGTAAGATCCCAAGGTACATGGCATTTTCTTTACATGCATCTATTTCTTACTTAAAAGACACAAATGACTGAGTTTTTATTTAGTTATTATAGTGTGAGACAGACGGGTGGTAGCAGTGTTGTCTTGGGCGACTTAATCATAACAATGTTTTTTTCTATTAAACCAGTCGCTTCCTCTGTCTTTAAATTCAAGACGGGATAAAGTTATACGCCTTCTGTTATTTGTTATCTCAAGTGAGCACTTAGATTAGCTTGCTTGATAGAAAGTGCTTTTAGAAAAGAATAAATTTGTGCTTTGTGGGTTAACGATCATTACAATATCACGTGGCCTACTTGTTGACGTACAATGGATAGGGCAAGAGCAGTTCGCATTCTCAATTCTAATCCGATTTGCGTTCATGCCCTGACTGTATCTAGCTTAAGGAATTCATTGGAGTAAGAAAAATACTGTTAACTTATACTACTTAGGTTATATTATTTTATTAACATGTTGAGTTCGATATCAATGAAGGAACGAAACGAAGACCCTGACGTATTTGTCAACATTTATAAATTGTTCGCACTCGTTTACATGAGTCTACATAATGCCCTGATTAATATTTTATAAAATTGTGTAGCTGTAAGTGCTTTAAAGGTATTTCTGCACGAACTTATCGAGTTCGTGCAAATAATAGTCTAAATAGAGAACTTGATAGCACTACATATATAAAAGTAACGTGGTAAAATCCACACGTTTAGATATTGTTTTGAGCATTTGCCTTGCGTGTGTATAGAAATCCGAATTGAATCATATTATACCTAACATCATGAAAGAGGCCCTGTGTTCTAGGTAGGGCTGAGATTAATTGCGGTTGGCCTATTGATGATCAGTGTAACGTCTATTCAAGCGCTTACCTCAATCAAACGAAAAAGTAACGGCGGGCTGCGCAGACTGCAGACGCTAGGGAGATTGCGTAGACTGAACGTACACTTTACGACAGTATCACCCAGTGATTAATGCTTTTGTGAGCAAAGAAATGTTGTGCCAAGTACACGGAGTCGATAGAAGACCTCGTAAAGCCGAACACTAGATTGTACATTATTTTCGGCTCATGCGTATCTATACGCTCGACTATCAGATATTAATATTTAAAAATCATTTACAAGGCCGGTCTAAAATTAAGCAGGAGAGGAAAGCCGAGTTGGGCTTTAATGATCGTATGTATCGTTATGGCACATAAAACAGCGTAAGGCAGCTTTAGGACTCAAGTATATCGCAAGAAATCGGCAACCTATATTCAAATTCTTTTAGAATATCTCGATGTTTCTTACATTATAGCGTAAGCCACCAGTTACAGCTATACGGGGAACGCGTATGTTTTGTATGGTATCAGAGGCAGGTTGTGGAGACACGCCATTAATGGCCGACTACGTGCGTTGTACCAGTCGCTATCTAACCGTGAAACCATCTCATCGAAAAAATAAAAAATCTGAAGCTTCAGTCGACGACATTGTTTTTTTTTTACTGCTAACATAGCCTTTCATCTGACTGTTATTATTAACAGTGTTATTTCAAAGGCATACATATTGCGTACCTTTGGTATAGAATAAGTTGCGTTTTAATTAATTAATAAAAATGTACCTTTTCGTTTTGAATAAATATTGCTATTAAAGCGTTTATGTATGTAGGATAATTCAAAGAGTGAATTAATGTAGCTATCATTATTATTATTGACTGAAAGTGTGCAGACTACAGGTCCTGACGTGAGGTTAAGCGCTCGCGAAGTTATGAAGGGTAAAAAAAAAGTAGGGTCCAAATCACCGTTAAATTGATTCGTTGACGCGACGACTTAAACCAAATTTTCAAAACAATATATGTGTCAGACTTATAATACATTAGTTGTATATTTTTGTCATAACCACTGTTGTGATTCAGTTGAGGTGCGTTTAGGTTGCCGGTGTGTGTCTATTGGTGGCTTTAGCGGAGCTAAATATGTCCACTCAACCTAACGACATGTAAAATGGTCTAGGTTCCAAAGCAAACGTCGACGTACACTATGTCGTGCTGGAAGCCAGCTGTTGATACAATGCTTAATGGCAGTACGAAACGCGAAACTCAGTCTTCCACTTAAAGACTTTTTATCTTGCTTCTCGTTGAGCAACTGTAGAACAGCGAAAGCAAATGTGAACAAAGCCACGCCTCTGTATTGTTTCGGAAAAGCATGCACTTGAAGATCATTAGGAATGCCCCTGTTTCCGGAGAATGGCTTGTTTTTGGAAGTTCGTTCAAGGTGCATTTTTTTTTTAAAACACTAGCTATGATACCAGTAGATAAAGCCACGTTAGCTACAATAGGGTTACCATATTCAGCCTAGGGTGCGCAGCCATTGTGTGCAGTTTAAGGTCACTGCATGAAGGCTACGCAAACAAGAAAACAATGGCACCTTGTCCTCACCAACCGCAGCCCGGGAACAACCTCGTTTTGAAGGTTCAAATTTGTACGAAGTGCCAGTTTCTGCAACGCATGTAAGTAACGGAGTATTACGCGCCGAAAACTTCGGGCTCACATTTTTAGTACTTTAATGGTAACGTGTCTTCAGCACATGCATCATTCAGTATGCAAACTACCTTATGCAAACTCTACAACATACCTGCATATAGGTGTTAATAAGGATTTCGTCAATAGTCATAGGTAATTGTGTAGACCAATTTATTACGCTTTTCCATGGAAAACTCTACATTTTAGACACAAAAATACAAAAGGTTTAGAAAAATCTCATCACATGATTAATATAACAAATATGATTAATTTTCATATTCCTCTTGCCTTCATCCTTCCTTTATTTTATTGTTCCGTCTTAGAGATACTGCGTTCAGTTTAACAGTATTAACACTTTTTTTAGGATCAGGCCGAAGGCATACCTTGTTGTTTTACAATTACTTCTATGTATTACATATTAAGATACAATTGTTCATTTTAATAAACCTAGTTCTAGTGATTCTTGCCGATTATAATTTGTAACTATATAATTTAATGTATTTTGACTAACACTGGCATGGAATCAGTAAATGTTTCAGACCTGTTCAAATCTCATACTAAATTCATAATTACAATTTACGTTTTTTTGGGGTGCCTTCGAATGTGGCCGAGGTCAATAGGTATCGAAGGAGAGGAAACGCGATACAATGCGGAAAAAAGAATGAGAAGCGAGAACTTTTACTAGTATAATGCTGTAGTGTCACCATACAAGTATTTGTTCGGGGTTGACTTCTTCTCCCTGCTTCTATTAGCGGTGGGCAATTTTACAAAACTGATCACTGTATGCTATTTAAACATGCTTTTCACCTGACTATTGAGCAGGGCTTCTGATCAAAGCTGTTTTGCGCATCTCATTGTGCTGTTAGATGACGACGTTTTAGTGAAGATTTTTTGTCGGTATAGGGGTTTCTTCAAGTAAGAGTAAATCTAAATGCGCATGATTATCTGTGTAAAATAATACATATAGATATACGCTGGCAATCGGCTCACCGCCAGCTCATTTACACTAGTAACATGAAAGTTATTTAACGGCGCTTTCTCATTTGTATTTTTTTTATATATGTTTATCTATTTTTATATTTTTTTAGATCATACACCGCTAATAAATTATCGTCAGTTCTTTGCGAAAAATCGATTGATAGTCAGGCCGAAGACTGTTTTTTCCGTACACTGACAGTTAGCATCAAGAATTGGTCTTACATATTCATATTTGAAATTATATCATATTCCAGTATCGGTATAATTACACTCTTACTCGTACTCAAAGTGTTCCAGTGCAATCGAAGTTCATGAAAAATATGTCTAGTGAACTCAAAGAAAAGTCAAAAAGCCTTTAGTAAAAAAAAATGTTCAAGGAGCTATGATACTTTATTCAATAAGGTTACAGCGCTTACATACCATGTAATGAATTATCGTATAATTACACTCTTACTCGTACTCAAAGTGTTTCCAGTGCAATCGAAGTTCATGAAAAATATGCCTAGTGAACTCAAAGAAAAGTCAAAAAGCCTTTAGTAAAAAAAAATGTTCAAGAAGCTATGAAACTTTATTCAATAAGGTTACAGCGCTTACATACCATGTAATGAATTATCGTATGCACCGGTTTGGATAAGCTAGACTAGGAAGAATTACATTGAAAAAGCCAGATCTATAGTGTTGATTTCTAGCGAAGAGTCGAGTCCTAAGAGTGATTTCGAAGTCAAAAAGGCTCGTGAATCACAAGCGTCAGTAATTGAAGCCTCTGTATCCGAGTGGAAGTATATATTTCCGAGATGAAATTCAAGCGGACCGAGGCTGATAGGGACCGATCCAGCTAACCATTGTCGACAGAATCTTTTAGACGGTCTCATATCTCTCATTAATAGCGCTGCGGAGGCAGCACGAGAAGATAATTCCGACAACCTGCTCGAATAAAATAAACAGATATGCTTTAAGTGTCAGGATCAGCATATCAGGGATAATAGAGTATTTTGACAGATTCCATAGTGGTAATGTTGACTTCATTATACGAAGCTGACGCCAAAGTTTTGTGGGCCACCAAAAAATGCGGGTTTATCTAGTTTTATTATTAGTTATATTCTGAGAATGGATTTGTCTTCTTAAGAACGACTGTTTATTATTGTCAAGGGCTATCAGTTATAAGCTAAGTATAATGAAGTTTCTGTAAAGATTATCTGAAGCATAACACGCATGTTTGTAAAGGGATACATACCTCAATGAAGGCTACGACGATCGCTGCTACACCAAAGTTAAGGTATTCTTCGCTCAGCTTGTTTTTGACCTTTTTAATACATCCGTCCTTGCTGAAGGACTGAAGTTTAGGTGTGCACTTGCTAATTTTGGCTTCTTTGCAGCAAGACAAGGGCAAATCGCCTTTGTAATCTTTATAGCTGTGAACTCCACAGCATGCGAGCTATAGCCAAAGCCAGCGGCACAAGACAGGTAGTTAGTGCTTGCCCTATCGTATTTCACGCACAGATTTTCTTAGCAGTGCACTGGACTTACATATGTATATTCATTTACCCGTTTAAGTTGAATATTAGGCGTAACTACATGCTAATCGAATGAAGGAAGACGGGAAGAATCAGAATAGCTTTGGCTTGATACCTTAAGTAGAAGGAAATATTTTATGGAACTAATGAAGCCATCCACGACTTTCGGTTTTGAGTCATTTGAGTGACGTGAGATCATTTAAATGAAACTAAATGTCCGATTACACTAAATCTACGATACTTCGAACTGACACATTTGAATGTTTTATTTTTTTAAAGACATATTAATTATGATGGTTGCTAGTTATGGGTTCTTAAGCCTCAGTTGCGGTTCACGCCCATTTTTTTTTTCTTTAGGTTAGCTTATAGATCAGAGCTAAATAGATGAAATAGAATACTGACGGAATATAGGAACTAGAATATTTTGTTCTAGATGAAATATGTCTATGTTATTAAAAATATTCACCGAAACTTCAATATCGTCCCAAGCCTCTCTGGTCAGCGAACTATTCCTCTTCTCAAATGATTTCACCATTCCTTTTTCGAGGAGGTCTTTTAGTTGGTTACGGTTTGTGAACGTCACACCAGCGACAGCTAGCTCCGCAATCAGAATCAGGATCATACACAGCATAAACTAAAAGGATAAAGCCAAATACTACTGAAATTCATATTCTAACTGGTGAATGATAATGCTGAATATTAGCAAGTAGCACCCTATACGAAATTCAAAAATTTTGAATTACATCGATTCTGAAGTTATCGATCGGTCTTCCAAGGATTACTATATCGACTAAAGATGGCCTTTAAGGTGGTATCCACAAACTGACTTTGGGCGTCACTTACCGATGTGATCAAACATGAGCTCTCCTTCCAAGCACCGCAGAATCCCATAAAGGAGATGATAAAGATGATAGCGCCAAGCACAATGACTGCCACATTGACCACTACAATTATTCGTAAGTGATCATACCAGGCGATCAAACATGTATGATTTCGGGAATGGCATGTAACATGTAACAAAAAAGGGGATATGCCGGCATTAATAGTACTGACAAAATCAAATGCAGACACAAAGCTTTCCGAAAATACTTGTCTGTAAATGGCCAATTGGACAGGACAAAACTGGAAGTAAAGAGGCTGAATCAACAGACACAGGGTGACTACCAGGCAGAATTTTATACTTCTTTAGAACTGACTCCACGCTCCGAAAACTAACTTATTAAAAATTAATTTAGAGAATGCCTGATCATAATGGAATTACGAAATAAACTACTACTAACGGAAGAGCCTATCAATATCCCACTTCTCAACCTAATGGAACAATGCATTATATTTTATGGAATCTAGCATAAGAGCAAACGTATTTTCGTATGTGATGTTGGATTATTGGTATGTACAATACACCATATATATTTATGTGCAGTTGTAGAAAATTGAATGAATCCTTACGTGAGAGTTCTTGAACAATCTCCCTGACGTCAGAGTTGAACTTTACGCCGTTGACTCCCAATACGAAGATACCGATTCCATTCACCTACAAAAAGATCATATAACACAACCACTAACAGTCACTGAGATGGATTCACACTAGAGCAAAATCTTATGCAATGTAATACCCATACTGAGTCGAACACTGGTTCTGCAATAGCCAGTAAACCTCGTGGTCCGAATCAATTTTACTGTATACTTGCACGATAAAGCTTTAGCACGCACGGTTAACATAAGCGGAAATAAATAACTAAGAATAAATCTGATTGTAGCCACCTACCTGCTTTACATTTTTTAGACGTTCATAGAGTTGACACTCAAAGACAGATAGAGATCAATGCTGCTAATCCAATTTAAAAACAAAACCATAGATGCCAAAATATGGACGCCCCATAAACGTTATGACATGATTATGACTCACATGATTAGCAGATTACTGCGTTAACCTCGCAATTCGCGAACTTGGACCGTCCCAGATACGCTAAAGCACATAGGCTAAGTATATTACATAAAATAGCTACTTGATAGAATCATATTGTCGTAAGTTGCCTCGATTATGCATATATCAGAACGAGCATATCGTAGATAGATTCCAATGATTAAGGAACGGATTGTCAAACTATTCTAGGACCCAAAAACAGATTCAACAACGAAACTCAACAAAGCAGAAATTCAGCGACAAGTAGCTTTATTTTTATTGAGAAATTCAACTAAAATGTTCAACAAAAGCCTTTTTACTATATTTGATGATACGCCATCGTACATTTAGGAAATGATCAGTTTTTCAGATTTCATGCATGCCTAAGTACTACGTAATACTATAGTTCGATCACACGCTTTCACCAAGAAGAGAAAATATGAGTACACCGTGTATTAAGGGAACTAGGTACCTAGACAGGAAAAATGTGACCGGTGTTAATGGCACATTACTTGGGTAGCACCCTTTTTCTTAACTATTCAAGAAACAACAAACGCAATCATTGGTGTATTTAAGCGAGTTATACTGTTTCGTCTCCACTCCTGGTACCATACGGCAACACAAAAGACTAAAATTTGAATTCTTATAAAAATCGTTCAGGTCACCTTTAGACAACCTATTCGTTAAATAATCGTTGTAAAAGGCGTATTTGTTCTGTGCAACCATTTTCGTGTATCCATTGTTACTAAGGAGCATTAAAGCTAATACATGCTCGTGACAATCATCATTGCTTGGCTATCGTCGCTATTTATTTTAGCAACTTCAGCATATTGTAGCACATGTTATAAATATTACGACTTCAATATAATTTTTTTTCCAAAACGGTGTGTCGCGTGATATGGACTGTATGACAACTAGGTTAGTACTTCTTGTACTTCGCTATGCCTGAAATACTACATTTTGGCTTGATACAAAACCAACGGATATTTAATTCGATGCATTCGCGAATGCCGTTTGAACGCGCAACTGCTTAATCAACAAAGGGTTCTTGGTCTTCTAATTTGCAAATGAATTCCCATTCCTTATCGCTAATTGGTAAAACACTGAGTCTGGCTTTGGTGAATAAGAAGAGATCTTTTAGCGGGCCATTATTTTTTTTGTGCTCGAGATGCCAGCGCTTAAGCTCCTTTAAGGTAATACACCTTTTAAAATGACGCACTAGCTTTATATCAACCATAAACCAACGGGGATTATCTTTTGACGCGCTTTTGTCGAAGTAGTGGTTGCCCTTCTCAAACTGCGTGTGGTCAGGGTAACTTTCCTTAGTGATTTCAACCAATCCCACTATCCCAGGCTCCTTGACGTTGCTATGATAGAAGAAGACCTGCTGTCCTAATTTCATGAAGTCCCGCATGAAATTTCTTGCTTGGTAATTCCTTACGCCCTCCCAGTGCGTTGTCTGGTTTTTCGAGTTAGCGAGGTCATCAATTGAAAATTTGAAGTCATGTCCATTTTCGATTCGCGACTCGCCCTCAGATTTCACTAGCCAGTGAGTGAAATGCGAATATTCTTTAGAAGGATCCTTGGACTTTTTGGACGTCACTTTGAGGGTTTTTGTTGGTATTGCAGTCTCATATTGCATAGATGAAGCATCGGCAATGCGCTTCCGGCCTCGAGGCATGATGACAACACGGTTGTCTACAATTAAGAGGCAAGCGATAAAACAATTTATTCCTACTCAAATGTTCTTTCGATGCCTATGAAGTGAATATAAAGTCATAGTGCTGTGAAACCTTATTTCGTTGTTAAATTCATCTATTTCTAATACATTTGCAGAAGCTTCGTTTAAACTACACATACGAAAGCCTTCGGTAAAGTCAGCTTTTTTACGGCAGATTCAAACAAACCTAGTGCCAACTTTGCAGAGTTTGCCTCAGCCATCTGATTTTCCGTACTGATGGAAAAGACATTAGAAAGCAAATAAACACTATTGTCTAATAAATAAAAATATTTTAAATGATTTAATGACATAAAACAATAACATGATTTGAAACTCTCAGTATAATGAGTCAAGCCTACACGTGTTATCACATAATACGTAAACAATTTTAGCAAATACCACGTACCAGAAGACAAATATTTAATTTGTATTTCTTCAGCAATATCTAAGATATAAACTCATTCTCATTACCGAGCAACTCACATAAGTTTACCTCCATTGCTATTACTAAAAGTGTTTATGCATCTGAGGTTTGCATGTGGACGTCAACTGTGGAGGATGTCAACTTTACATATAGCTACCCGCCTTCGAGATTACTTCAGGTTTAGACAACCAACATTCCTATTAAGTGGGCAAGATTTTTAGCTAAAACTAAATGATAGTATCTAAAAACAACTAAATCCATTTACCAAATTCATTTCAGACGAACTTTACATGAATATCATATATATATATATATATAAAGAACAACTTAAATTCCATGTATACTCATAGTGTATATTTTGGAAAAAATGGTTTACCATATCAGTAAGCCACGACAAGCCATGCGACAGATGATTCAGTCGCAGCGTTCCGAAATAGCGCAATCACTCTATGAATTTCGTTGACCGTTTCTACTGTCAAATATCTAAACGTGGCAAAGTAAAGCTGCACGAATGAAAGAATAAAGCCGAATGAGCCCGTAGAGCCAGAGTGAGCTTGTGACTATCATCAACAAAGCGACTGGCAGTACTTTCGCCGAAATGCAAAAACTTCTTATACTATGTATTTGCGTTCATATTATGTAATATCACATACATACGTGTGTACATTGTTTACTGGCATGGCTAACATTGGCGAGAGAAAGAGCGAAACAGGGTTGCAAGTTCGTTCTCTTAGCAAGCGTGCATTGCTGGGATCACCTGCATAATCGCTGTAGCTCAGGCACTAAACCTATTTAGGCGTTGTTTAGGCGCCCAGCGACTAACGACCCTGTACATTGCTAGAATGGCTACATGGGGCGTCCACAGGCGGTCGAATTTAGCAGTCATTATTGTTGGCAGACCTAGAGAATTCAAAATGGCATCTCCTAATGTTCTGCTCGTGTTCCAATATTCTTGCGTTTCGTAGCGTAATCTACCATTTTCGAAAAGCCGACAATAATTTTGTTGTCGAAATTGGTATTCGTTTCACGTTTTAGACAGTTTTTAAACCCAAAGTCTTTTATCTAACAAAGCTGTTGTAATCACTGTCCCTAAATTAAAAATAGAAAAACTCAGCTCACATCTATCTGCTGTTCTGTCGCCAATGATTAAATTTCTAGATGGACTTGCAAAAGATGCTGACTAGGCCATACGAATCTCAACAAAGATTACTAATTTTTTGTATCTTTCGAAGCTTCGTCACGACGATGACGACACGTGGGTGTTGACTCTAACGCGTCTACAGACAAATAACGTATTCCCACAGTGACCGTTTCGAACCCCAAAAACGCGAGAAATATAACGGTATCTACAAATGTCGCTACAACTTACGTTTCACCTACCCGTATCCAAAATATCTAATGGAATCTATATTATTCGAATCTTATTACATGTCTTAAAAACGACACATTCCTTATTTTCAAAATGAAGTCATTTGCGAAAGGCTTTTAGTGCCGAAGACGGTACTAGCGTATCATAAGCTAAGCATTCGACTTTGAATACTACTGTTACAAACTTTAGAAATAAAAAGATCAGTTTCGTCATATATGCGAACTGTAATCACGAATGTCTTCCAAATTGCAGTCAGTCTGCTTGCCTGCCTACCTACCCGTTAACTATCTGCGCGCTATAACCGTCCCTTTTCATTATGCAAATTTGAAAACGACCACTGTCACTACCATAAGAATGAAGTATGTTTGTAATGTCAAAATTCCGCAATCCCGCGTTTATTGAGAGAAAAACATTCCTAGCGACATAAACAACTATCAGCGCCTACTATACTTAAATTATAATAGAAAAAAATGCGGGCTTCAGTCAAGCAGTGTCAATATTAGATCAGTAATCTTTTAGGTGTTTTGCTTTGCAAGTTACCCATGAAAGGTCCACCCCCCTGAGATTATGCAAGACAACATATTCTGCTCTTAAAACAGATGTTAGCTATACTGCAGCCGTTACTAGCAATAAGTTATTTTAATTATTGTCCATCTTCCGATTTCGATGTCATGGTTCGGAAAGCATTCGAAATAGCTATATTCACACATCTAGCATTATTTTCTGCAATTGTCTAAACCAGTAGTGTCCCCTTAACTCCATATCGAGCGTGTGTTGCTTGTGCAAGTAACTCGACTTAATCTACATTTAAGGGTTGCCAAATGTCAAGCTCAATTTTACAGATTTGGCATGCGCTCAGTATCAATGTTTATGAAATTAATGGCATTCACTAGCATTGTGCCTACTTTTTCATCGATTTATTTATGTAACTTTTACCAATCGGACCAGCCTTTTACGAGCGGTAAATTCGATAATTTATTTAACTTTGTAACATCTGGTGTAACGCTGCTAACTTTTTTGACTCGTTTGAGGAATTTATATTACGTATCTACAAACATGACTCACGATTCGCAGAGGCCAATTTATTTACGCTATAAACTACATAACGTCATATATTGATTTTAATTTAAGCAAAATGTGTAGACATAAATTAATATTTTTTTTACAAATAAACACCCAATTTTAACCGTGTCGGTATGTTGTACGATCATGGTCTAGTAGCACATCAGGACACCGCCAAGACTTTAGTTCTTATCGACATACATCAAATACCGTCACGTCATTATATATTATAATCGTAAAGCTTTTGTGCTATGTGGCTGCCTTATGTCACAGATACTGGTAGCCCGCTTTGTTCACTTTGCTGCTGTAATAATTATGCTAAGGTTTGAGTCCTGCCATCTTCCTCTATGGTAATGACTGCGCTGCCATGCATCGCATGTGTATTAGGTGCAATGCGATACTTCTAAGAACACTCTAAAATTGCGCACTTCAGACAGGTTGCGTCTCTTTTAAATAATATGTATAGAAACTCTTCTCAGTCTACGTAACAACTGATAACGGACTGTCCTAAATAAAACCAGTCTGTTACAAAACAAAGCATTGGGCTTGATATATATATATCTATTTATACGAAAGTGTTAAGTCACTCACCACTTCTCGCATTACGAGTAGTGATATCTCATATGCAACAGGCATTATAGATTGACGTATCAGACGCATGGATTTACAGGTCAGAAGTTGAACATAGGCTAACAACCGTACAAAAACACAAAATTACAGAGAATCTAGATTGAGCTCACCATAAAGACTCCATTGAAGATTATCATTAACAGCTTGGCCAGTTTATCGCTGCAACGTCGCACCATGGTTGCAATTGGTATTATGCAGTGTCTTTCTGTTTGAATTCAACAATACGGAACGTAACTATCCAATCCGGGCTCAGCGCCGAGTTCTCGACACACTAATCATATACGAAAAAGTCCACGAACAATAATAAACCCTCTGGAAGCACTGACGCGACAGCTTTTGAGTGCCCTTACAGCAATAACAGCGGTATCGACACGACAGAACTAACGCATGCGCTTCCTTCTCGGACGGGAGCTATATGCATCCACATGAGACACTCACACACGACGACGATAACACGCCTCTAATCGTCTGTGTTTGGTCCGTCTGTCTTCCTACAAAGCCACTATACACATCGGAGGAGGCTCACACGTTACCTATTGTTGTATAGTCGAATTGCTACAACTCGATCGATGATTATTGCAGTGTTATGATGCTGGTGTAACGCGATTTTATGCTGTGCCGATGCACCTAGATACTGACGTACTCTCCCCCGCAAGCACAGCAACAATCAAAGCAGGCCAGGCAACAGCAGCAGCCAGAGCAGCCGACAACCATAGCAGTAGCGCCAAAATATGAACAACTTTTAGGCGACTAAGAGGCAACAAAACGTCGATAAGGCCTACCGCAACAGGCGCTGCTAAAACCCTTCTCTTAACCCTAGAAAAACTACTACTAAAACTACTACTATTCCTACTCTGCACTGCGCTGCGATTATGACAACTTTTAATGAGCTCAGTCGTATAATACCCTAGCAAAGTTTTCTGCTAATAACGTTAGAGCCGTATGATATATCCGCATTCAAGTCAATAACATAAGTGTAATAATGAGCGTGACCATGTCCGCGTACACGAAACGGTTTTTGTATCGACTGTACAGTTTGGTTTGTGCATCTGCCTGCACCTATCGCATTGCATATATTCGGCACTACATAAAATAGTTGCATGAAATGATATGTATTCAACCTTAGTCAACTAACGCGCCGTTGCATTGAATAGGAAAACACGTTACCACTGTATAACCACAGAGGTTAGGAGTTGTCCTAAAGAGAGTTAAAGGTCGTATTTAGCTACGAGAAATATCAAATGGCAATTACCATTAGCTCTAGTGTTGGCGAAAGCAAAACCAATTTCTTAGGCAACTTATAGGCAAGTTATAGCCACAAATCCAACTTGCGTAGTTAATAATGTAACAGCTTCAGGCAAGGACACATGACAATTATTACGCTGGCGAAAAACTTCTTGTAGTAACAATAGGTCAATTGTACACAGCGCAGGTGCGCATTCTGACTATCTTTACAACTCACACACTGCTCAATGAAACCACTTACGAATTTAGTATTTGGTATAGCAATAATAGATATAAACGCGCCAATGCATAGTTTGTGCGCCTCTACCCTATCGCCACATATTGATTAAAAATCACACATTATAAATGAGCGCATTTTCGATTGGTGATTAGTTTGTCTCAACGCTGGAGGAAACTATCAGTTTAACACAGTCTCTGTCATTACTTGAAAAGAATACTTACATATTGCTGAATTATAAGACGATATGTACCGGTGGAAATTAGTGTCAGTTATAGTTGATCATCTGGTAGGCGCCAAACTGGCGCTGTAGTCAGTCGTAGCTTCAAAATTAGGTAGAAACGCTATTCAAGCGTAGCCCGCCGAAATTTCGGATACACAGCAAAATAACAACCGTGCTAGTTTTACCAAACGTGGTCTTAGTCTATACTAACAAGACCTTTGTTTATTCACAAACAACTAAATAACACACAATAATGATACTATATGTATACTCAACTTAAATAGATACTCGATAACAAAAAAAAAATAGATAAACTGGTTTAAATGGGCAATGCAACGCGTGTTATCATAGAATATTGTATGTACTTTTTTCGTTTGAAAAACACACCCATACTTTATCGATTTAATACCGATAAAAAAATCACATACTTTGCAAAAAACAGCGGCTCCCATTACAATAGTTAGGTTTACCGAAGGAACGTTTCTGATTAGAGTGAAACTGAACACAAAGAAACCGCAATAGCCTTGAGAGGGTGAAACACCAAGTAATTTTAGACGAACATTTATTTGATTGGAACATAAACATTTTTATTTTGATTTTGGAGTTTTCTTACCCTTCTATATCTCCACTGCTTATTTACTTTTATAAACCATGAAACTGTGTTTTATGCCTATTAAAAATCCCTTAAAATTTGATTGTGCGCTACACGAAATTTCGTCTCAAATCATGAAAAGAAATGTATTTTTAACACCTATTCTATTTCACTCTTTGCCGAGGTCAATCAACTGCCGAAAAGCCTAAGGTATTCAAGCTATTTACAGGGAAGACTCTATAGATGAGACGACTGCTCAAAACTAGTTTTTTGAAGTCTGAAACTGAGGGGTACAGCTCGCTTCGGTCAGCCATCTGAGATCGATAATGACTTATTTAAGGCACTTTTGAAAAGAGACGACACTCAAACAATCTGTAAGTTGGATGAAAAAATGAATAGCGCTCATATAACCATTAACAGGCACCTTCCATTTATAGCATCTACTTTTAAATGCGAATCTTGAGTGATCTATATGCAAAGCGAACATGACAAAGAAACATCGCTTCTCAAACGGCCTTGAGCAACTTGAAGCCATAATGACAGCCTTCTACACAAAACCATCATCAGTCGTATCTTTTCATCGACAATAAAGGAGCTAAAAAAATTACTTGTTCCAGGATATAGACCTAACCCCCAGAACTAAGCTAGACCTCTATATGAAGAAAACGATGATTTTTAGTTTGGTTTTGCATCAGAACTCGTTCCGATATGTAAGCACTTTCCCGATCGCCGGCAAGTAACATTAGTAGCTGTATATCTGGTAGTGAAGTAGCTCTCAAAATCCGGCTGGACGAGTTTTCCAGCAATAGACCCATATATTTCTGGCGAGAAGAAATCAATTAATTTGTTAACAGACGGGAGAAGACTGTAGAAAGTAACGACACGTATATAGAAATTTAATGTGATACTAGAACGCAAATTAGATGCTGCGTTTTTCTTATTCCTACATGATTTATGGGCCAAAATTTGCCTAGCGTTACTGGCGAAAACAAAAATTACACTAGAATATTCATCAGACGGTATTCTATTATGTGACCTGATAGGACTGGATTACTCTTTTTCGAGAAAATACCAGTTAAGGATACCTGTGCCATTGACTTAGAAGTGGGACTATACGGACTTCACTGAAGTTGGGTTTTGGATGGTTTAAGTGTTGATACGTCTATGAATTTCATTTTGTTTGAGAGATGTGAAGAAACAGTAACAGTGGGCGCACCATACGCCAAAGTCAACACGGCCCTACTGAAGCCTATATAATAATCGTGAGGCATGATGCTGATAAAAATAATAGATCAGAATAGTAAATCCTAAGGTAATTTTCAGCGTAATGTATGTGTCAGCGATATTGTGAACTATGCGTTCTTCTGGAAGCAACCACATGTGAAATGTCGTTAAGAACAACGATTTGAGTTACAGTGATTGCCGAAATGCAATGTCTTAGTTTATGTGTGCGTACATTTACGTAATTTCGCTAAGCTGAATTGTATTTTGAAGTGTAAAATTAGCCTTGATGGCATACAATTTTACATATTCTCGAAACGAAATACCGTACGTCACCCTGGCTCATGTAATGACGCCACTTAACGTAATGAGTTTTGTAAGGAACGTGCTTTGCTCCCAGTGCATTGTACTTTCAGAATAGGAGGATGTGCGGTAAAAAAGTTTATTATCGTTCAACGAACGTTCGTTGATGTACGATAAAACTATTTAACTATTTAGCTGTTCCAAATAACTTGACCTTTAAAGGTGGAGTTCCTTGGAACAGCTAAATAGTTATTAGTTATTATTATAACAGCTAATAGTTATTAAGTTAGGTGGAGTTAGTAGGGATATTTAAACATTTGCTCAAAAAAAATATACAGTAACATGAATTACACTAAATTTCCCTTAGTTTGAATACAACCAAAATGTGAACATGTTATAACAGACGATAATCGATTTTTGCTCAGATTTGCCAACGTAAGTTACTGTGCAATAAAGAAATAAAACAGCGGGAAGCTTGCTAACGGTGAAGAGGCTAAACCGGAAAAAAATTTAACCACTGTTTTCGAAAATGCACGCTATCTAGCGCAAATGAAAGTTGTCATTCGAAAAGTGGCGCTTATCATGCTAATTTACCGCGCCGTTGTGTAAGTTGTGTAAGCAGGCAGAAGTTATGTAAAAAAAAAAGGGCATTCAGTTTCACCGCGCCAATAGGCCTGTACACACACTTATTTTTAGAAATACCAAATTGATAAAGAGAACCTTGTTAAGAACCACTTAATTCTAAATTTTGGAGCGTGAAAGTAGTACAGTATAGCAGGCACATTTTACTTCTGAAAAATTATATCATGCCATCATGCAATAATAATAATACACCGTACATGACAAATTTAATGAGTAAATAATAAATGGCACTTATAACATGTCCAGTATTTGTGAAGGGTGCGTTCGTGTTCGCACAGCAGCGTGTAGATTTTTCAAACATGCTTCGTTGATATTACACGTATAGCTTACGCAACCCTTCATAGAATCCCTTTGCGAAAGCGAACTATTTTGCAGAGAGAAGTAGCATACAGGCAAGCTGTGCTATATTGCTCCGAATGCCCAGTGATATACTGAGCATGTATTGTTGTTTCTAGCATTATTATTATCACTGTACACGGACTTCATCAGTAATATATCCTTAATTTTAAAACTTGGTGCGGACATATGACCTATGGTGGATTTCGAACGAGTGATTTCGGTTTGTAAAGGCTAATCAAAGCTCTAGATCAAAATTTTCCGCGACGTATACTTATTGAATTCGCGGCTCAGTTAATTTTATCGTTTGTGATGTGCTGGAGAGATGATGCCCTAGACACTTTCTTGTATTGCGCCTCTTTTAATGACTCATACGAGCAGTATTTTAGGGTGTCATCTTGGTTCAATCAGTTGCTTCGCAGTTGCATGTTCTGTAGAATGTTGTTTACCTTCGAGTTTGTATTAAACAACCAAAAATCATTGGATATTTTCAGAAAAACACTATCAGCTTTTATGGCTGTCAAGCGTTTGCAAAATACCATTCAAGGTGGTTCCTATTATTCTAATAAATTTATTTTGAAATACGCTTTATACTCATAAATAGATAGCTTTCTGCCGGTGCATACCGTAAGACTTAAAAGAGAGATGGCGGGTTGGCTTTACTGTTGTAAACAATAGCCAATAACAAAACGACGAGGAAAACGAAGCAGATACTAAGTGCTGATTGGTTGTTTGTTATGATTCAAAGGTTTCAAAGATTTTTAAATCTGTAACTTCAGATGTTTGTTGTGGAGTCAATTATAGCAGAAAGCTGAAACTAGTTGGCTTTTGCAGGAGTGAGTCCATCACAAACAGCAACTTGTCCCTAACACGAGGTTAGTGATGTACACCTTCATCACTGGAGCTACCGGTAGGATGTGCTTGTGGTATAACTTTGTCTTTTATAATTTGCTATTCACGGAAAAAGCCAGTTATAGGTTATTTGATGTATCAATATGAAAATATCGATAAAAACGTGTCTAATTAGGTAGTTAGAATATTCACTGGTGTATGTTTCCCAGCTCTTATCAGCACGTTGGTGTCTGTCTATCGTCAAAAATGTTAAAAAGTAATATCCTTGCTTGCATTTGAATTATTGACGCTAACAAAAATGCTCCATGATTCTAGTGCCGACTTCGTCATAACCATGTGCACACATTTCACTGGCATGACATCAACCGATGAATGACAGTGTATGAGCATCCAGCTGGCATTGCTCTGTGCGCTCTGATGTCAACCAAGATATGTTCCAATGATAAACATAATTTAGAATAGTCGAAGTACAGCAATCGTTTTTGGTAGTCATTATTCTATAATGTAATACAAATGATATAAAACAAATCCTAATCTACACTTCATGCAACAATGGCAATAATCTAACTAGTTTTTATGATATAAGGCTATCGTCTTCATTCATAGAGGTAAACTTGAGTACTGAACATACCATTTCGTTTTCACGTACTCACAGGTTGTAATACAACGTAGCTTCATAGTGTATTTATTCCGCTGCCGGTCAATTAAAGAGGTGCCGTATTTCAACCACATTAAAAATATTTTTAAGATGATGATCGTATGATACTAAGTATGTCTAAAACCATGCCACTTTTATACGCTATAGTATTTTAACACTTCATAAAGGTTTTATACCTGGCAGAAGACTGCTTGTCAACTCGGCACATATGCTTAGCCAATGTTCCAAGTCATAATGAATTTCAAAAAGAATTTGTGGGAAGCGTACGTTATTTGTATTGAGCTGATCGGGCGCTAACAAAATTCGAACTTACACTGTCAAAAATCAATGAGACACAAACAATACAGAAGGAGCAGTGATTGCTGTATCCTCAAGTGTTTATTGTACATAACAATAAATCAGAGGCTTCCTTGCTTAGTGAATAATATTAAATGTGACCACTTTAAAAGAAAGCAGCGTTCGGTTACTGAGGGCAGTTTTTAGCTAAAACAAGAACGAAGGAGGGCTTCAAAAGGTTCAATTTAGACGACAGTATATATATAACTATAAAAAAAAATACAAATGGCTTCCTATTCTTTTGTGAGACTATTTTGACTAAGTGTAGTATATTTGAGAGATTTCCTATAGTTTACTCAGATCTATGGGACAAGAGTTTTTTCTTGCAGGACCGGGTGAACAATGGAAATATGCTCTTCATACACTCGATTATCAAGGCTTAGATTGCAAAGCTCAGCACTCAACAAGTCGGAATTTATGCAGCAGATCTAATTATTTTGCTAAAGTGAATAAATACACAGAACCACTTCTTTTCTGGTGCAAAATTAAGGACTTACCTCTATTAGGAGTCTCACTGGATCTTGTTGAGCCTGTCTGGGGCCTTTCCACAAGACTTGAAGACGGCATGGCAACCATACAAAGAACTATAAAAATTCATATTAGCATTTGATTTTTTCCCTTCATTCATTCTTTTCCCCATTATTAATACTTAGCGACCATTTTTATCAATGCTACGATTTGAATTAATGTAAAAGTATGCTTGCTAGTTATGGCTATCATAGCAACGCATACAAACAGGTATGCAGTATCCACCTAGATTTCTCCGTCACTTTTTTTCAGGATCAGATTGTCGACAGACGAAGCTTGTGCCTTATATGGGCTAAAAGGGTCTCGATGTAAGCGCATCACTTGAGACCTGCATTAAATTAGACGATCCAATCAAATAAATAGAACGAGGGTTTACGAAGAACAGGAAAATCGCGTTTTTCACAATAAAACATTATTATTATTTCAAAAGCGGCCTCGAAACGGGACTGAAGTTATTAGGTGTAGCGATACAATGCCGAATTGGTAGATTGATAGAGTGCCAATTCAGCATGGAGTATGTATTGACAGATTTATCTGGATTTATACGATCCTGTGAACTATCCGTTCGCGAAGACGTATCAGATGTTCACAACGCGAACTCAAAAAGTCATAATTTTAGGGAAAAGGTGATAAAAAGTCGCAACTTTATTTAATATATATATTTTATTATTATAATAAGTATTATACCGTTTCATGCTGCTCAAATCGTAATACTGTAGGTGGTATTTAGCTTCATAGAATAAAGCAAACCTTTGCCTATTCTTGTTTGGCAACATGGATTACAATGTGATGAGAGCTATTTTCCTACTTTTAATTCCCAAATTTTCACCTACCGTATCTATATTTGTAAGCTAGTTAATCGGTTGATAATGCTCTTTCAAATGCTATGTGTTGTATTTTTTAAATGTCCGAAAGCCTTTGTGTGCATTTCGTAATTTAAGATATTGCCTAAGATGTTTCCTTTAACCTTGTATAATTAACTATGATATTTGCGATATCTACCTGCTACTACAGATTATTAAAATCCACTTAGTTGTAAATGGAGCCGCATTTTATTCCTAACAAGAAATTACTTAAACCCATGTGCCATTCATGAATCCGGATTGGATGGGTCGATATATAATATAACTGTCTAGTTAGTTTTGCTGTTTATAGCTGAGATGGGTGCGACAAAAGTGTATGCGTTTGCAGAACATGCCGAACAAGGTGGCGCCATTTTGGGCATTCTATAAACGTTACGAGAATGAACAAAGGTAGGTACAGCGATGTTGTCTCTATTTCGAATTTCCATATGTCGATTAAACAGTTGTGCAACTTCAAATTTCAAACCTGTTCGTTCGATAAGACCTAATTTGGAGTTTTACCTGTGACCAGAATTGACTTTGGATTGTATGTTACTTTTTCTTAAATGATTAAAGTTCTTAAGTTCTTAAATGATGTACCTAGTATGATTATCATGCCCAGTATACGTGTTTCTGGTAACGTCAACTGTGCCTTATATTACTTGTAACGTTTCTTTTAGTTGAACGTGTGTTCAACTTGTTGGACTTCTCGTTTCTATGTTTAATTTATATCATAATAAGTATATACCTATGCGACATGATATAAATAATGTCGCATAGATATAGAAGAAGAGCCAATATGTCAATCAAGTTGCCCTAAATTAGCTGTGGGTATCGTAGGCGAAGATAACTTAAGCAAAGCTAACGCAAGCTGCATATGACGAACCTATCTGGGATTTTAGGAGAAAAGGACGTAGATTTACAAGGGAAGAGATGTACGATGAAGCTTCGCAGTTCTGGGGACAGATGAACCAAGATGATCGGGCCTACTTCGTTGATGAGTAAGTAGTTAGTATAAACTTCACAGACTTGAATAGCAAAAATCAGTAATTCATTGAAAGTGCGTTCTTTTCAATTCCTCACTCATTTCAATTCCAACGCCATCATTAGGCAGACTTTTCTGATTAAAATGGATACCCTGTAGTTTGTTTTTGTGTCACAAAGAAATTATTTCAATTGGGATTGTCATCCGTACTTGTCATAATCAGTGAGAGTATAAACATTCGATTCCTCAAAAGATGCTCACAACAAAAGAAGAACATATCGTTTTCTGATGTTTTTAATTGTAATAGCTGATTACCTGCCTGCGGATACTGATTTACATAATCAGCAGATCTGTTGAGGAATCAACGCTATGTGGACCACCGATTAAGAGAGAAAAATCAAAGAATCGACTGCTAGACATTGTACCTGCAGGGCAGTAGATGTATTTAAGAAAGTAAAAAATGAACGCTTGTTTGCTGGCTTAACAGTGCGAAAGAGGCTACGAAAAAGCTCCGAGAAGATTTATGGAGTAGGCTCGAGAAAAAGCGCGAACTACAGAAGAACTTGCAATGTACTCCACAGGACACGTACGTATGTGTAAAATTATATGTAGTAGAGGGCGAGAAGCTGAGCATGGTCTTCACTAATGTATAATTCTTTAATTCGTTGAGTATCCGCTTGTAAACTATGTGCACTGCAAGGTTTCCGCCGTAATTTTGTAAATATTTGATCTTTTAGCTAGTGTATTCCTCATTTAGCATTGGTGAAGGCATAAAATAGTGTTAAAGCACGTGCGGCTTCGCTTTGCGTTTTCTGCCTAATATCCAGGTCTTTTCATAGAATAAATCTCTGCCTTTGGATAATTATTTTCCATTTGCGTTTTAATTAAAATAATTTCAAATGTCGTGTAATACATATATTTCAATTATCATACCCGATTTATCAAAAAAGCTGGGTTGAATGATTGTAGTCTGAAATGTATATCACCGTCAATACGGAATCCCGATTGGACCTATGTATTAGGCTATTGTATGCGAATCTGGCGAGCTTTGAAATTGGGGAAATGAGTTACAAGCAAATATTTTACCCTCCCCGAAAGCCACGGCGCTACGGAAATTTATTGAAGAATCATGAAGATATTGGTAAAAGAGATTTTAAGCGAAGGCATTATACATGAATGGTGTAAACAGATAAATAATAAAACGAAGATAAATAAGGAAGTGATCAGGTACTGGGACCCGGAAGGCTGGAACGCATTGCTGGAATTAAGACTTTCCACGAAAGCAGAGCTTGGAGTACAAACATTCGGTCATCCAGAAACATTCTGTCGGCCAGAGATGGCATCTCATTTGTGTTTTGGAATTATACCGCCAATACCGAAAAAAATTAACGTTTTGTGGATCGACTCCTAGCCAGTTAGAAATACGTGTTGTGTATTTCTCACCCAATCTGCGAAGCTTTAATAAACAAAAGTCAGCCTAGAGCATGCGGTCGCCATACACGAGGCATGGTTTAATCATTACCGCGAGCTGAAAAGGAACCCGTTATGAGAATGGTGCCGCTCTGGAAAGAGATTGAGTTTGGTGGCAGCAACATTGATTAGGCTCGACTATAAGGTGATAGTAAAATGCAATACACTAGTTGCATGTGTTACTATGAGATGACCTCCGGGAACTAAACAATGAATGCATAGCGCTATCTATCTCGAGTTCTTCAAAAGACCTGACGACTACTGGCACGGCGATATAAACTAAGGCCTCTCGTTATTTGGTGACAATGCCAATATTCGTAGCCATGTCTTAGTTACTGTCTGAATCGAGCAAAGAAATGTCTAACGTTGGTTTGAATTTGCTAATTCTCCCGATCTGACTCCGTGCAATTACAGGGCTTTCCATGCCCTAAAAGGGGCAACGGGTGGGCAAGCACATTTCACTATCGGTTTATTTAGTTTCTGAATCGAGCAAAGAGATGCCTAACGTTGGTTTGAATTAGCTAGTTCTCCCGATCTGACTCCATGAAATTATAGGGCCTTCCATGCCCTAAAAGGGGCAACGGGTGGGCAAGCACATTCCACTATCAGTTTATTTAGGGAAGCGATCGATAGAGAACTTACACGTGGAGTCGTGAATGGTTGATATAGGTTTGTCCACAAGTAACCAGAGCGCTGGGAAAAATAAGTGTAAAAAAAAAGTACTTTTAACATATCTTATTTTCTTTTTTACGTATATTTATATTATATATTTATATATTATAACATAACCTAACTTACATTCAAGAGTTATCATTCTAAACCATCTAATTTATCACAATCTTCCGGATTTGCTCCTAACAGCCTAACATTTTTAACGGATTTTATGATATCAAAATCTTAGAATAGGTTACTCAATTGCAAGTCTATTCTTCTATTATTCTATTGTTCTAGCTTAGTTGGCCTTCGTAGAGCTATTAAAAGGTATTTCGTGTGGAAATATAAGTGCCGGTACTATCCGCATGGTATCCCACGGTTTCTATGATTAGTGTTGTAGGAGAATTAAGAAGCAACGTAGGTTAAGTCATGCCAAAAAATTTTCAATATTTATGGAAATCTATTTTTGTTTTTGGTTAAAGCTCAGAAGGCTTTGAAGAACTATAATGGTACTTGTAAAACACGCAACGAGATCATCAGAGACTCTAGCTTTACTTGTAATGCTAAGATACAGGTCATGGTCATGTCATATACTTTTCGTAAGATAACAGAATAGATATAAAACGTCTCAGACTAATAGGAATTAATGTTTTATCGTTACGTTAAGAAATTCTCAAATACTGCTTTTATTTAACAATTTTTATTCGTAATATAGCATATAAACGTAACTTATTCAAATGACAAGGAAAGGTTATTAGTTTGACACAGCATTTCTAATATTATATATAGAGGATTTTATATAAAATATATATATAGGCCTATAGAAGACATAGGTCAGCGCTCCGATTATATTTTATCTGACAAGTATCATCACAGGCTGATGATTTAATCCATATACTTCTCTTGTCTATCTTTGCTTTTCTCTCGATGATTAGAGGAGTGGAAGATATCTTAGAATTTAATATAGATCGAGTTATGAAACAATTGGCGGAACAACCTAAAGTTATTCGAGAAATGGAATTCTGTTTCTTCGACGCAAACATACAGTGCTTCGTGGAAAATCTACGCGCCGATGGCTCTATGACAATGGTAATGCTTGGCCCGATACATACAACGCATATGAAATTCACGTTTACAAAAATCTATCATTGAGGAAGACTTATTAGTGAAGAAGTTTTAGTGACCAGATCATTGAACAAGCTGTCCAGAACTTAGTACATTAATAATTACAGTTATCACCACTTTTAGTCAGCTCGAAATACAATATTTAGCAGTACCTATTATTAGATGTTATGAGATAATAACTGTTTTTGCCCTGTATGCACTTACTTTACTGGATGTTAACAGTTTGTTTAGTCAACTAAAATTATACGCAATGTTTCTGTTTGTAGGACTTGCGTCCCTGCGAGATAGCGTTATGTCGGTTTTCCATCGCCAATGGCATCATTAACCGGTGGCATGGAATTATCTATCCTGGCAGACCTTTTGGGATGTCTCGCAACAGAATAAAGGAGGCCAAATTCCAGTGCATGATGACACACGGGATTCCTTTTGAAGGTTATAGACATTTAGATTTAACGTCAAGCGTGTGACCACGCTATTTTTTATTCAAGGTCTTGTAAACACTATATTTTACATACTATATAAAAGAAATGTGTGCTTTATTTAGTTTCACGTTTGTAGAATTATTAAGTAGAACATATGCTATAATACTTTATGCAACGGTCTGCTGGGCGTACATTTGTATCTTCGAATAAATAAATCAGCAACGTTTCTCCTATGTAGGTTTACCCAATACGACGTGTAACATCAAGAAATTTTGGCACTCGGCTCAGAAATTCTTCGCAGGTGCTACTCTAGTTACGAGCTTGGACTACCGTAACGCCGTGGGAGCGCTCATTTATTTTCTACAGAGATGCAATATCGTTGGTAGGACACATATACAGTATGAACGACCGCTTTTAAAACATCTATTCTTACACATTTAAAAAGGATAAAAGTCCTAAAGATTATTCCAGCTCCGGCAGATTCATAGCTTGCAAGAATATTCGAACAATACATATCTACTCAGCTTCAACCCCATCTTGAATATAACAGTATTCCCACCTTTGCATCAGTTTGACTTCAAAAGGCCTGTTCACCCTATGCCCTTATCCAGCTATCACCCCGTCTCATATTCTTTGACAATAGCTGTTCGTGGCTCTTGTTGTTATATAATATATATATATAAACCACGTTGATCCAAGCCAACAGCAAAAGTTCTATTTGCCCCAGTGTAACAATTGTCCTAGACCTCATCTGCTCTGCGCGGATTCGCTTTTATTCATGCAAAAGAAAGACAACCAGAACCAGAGATTTCGCTGATAATACCACAATATTCTCAATGAACACCAGATAGTAACAGTCTATTGCCGGCTTACCTTTTCTCTCCGCTATACTCAGTATCTATCGTTCCCAAAAATTTTCAGGTAATGTTTTTGAACATTATTAAATTGTTGATTGTTGATTGAAAGATTGTTTTCGCTAAGCTTACCATTAACAACCATAAACTTTATTTAGTGATACCGCCTTTCTACTTATTTCCTCATACACTACAATATTACTTAGCAAGGTTACATTGTCTCCATTCTATTCTTCCACCTCAGATTCCGAAGGTACTTGTCATGTCAATTTACCAATCTTTGATTTTCTATTGCGTAACTGTGTGGGGAGCGGGCCGTAACTCCCAAGTAAGGCAACTAAGTTTTGTAAGACGATGCCTTACGGGCCGTCCGTAGAGCTTCTTCTGCGTCCTTTAGATTTTCTTACCGTTCACTCTTGATATTCTTTAACATCTGCGACCTTTATAAACCTCATTACCACTTAGCCTATCATTCAGTTACTTAACATTCCTACTACTACCCTCTACGCTCTCAGAAGTTGCTTTTTTCTCCTACCAATGTTCTTTTCCCGTACATTTAACCATACCCGACGTTAAACAGTTTAATTAAAACTGATTTACTCTTCCATTATTATTATATATATATATATATATATATATAAACAACAAAAAGTAAACGCTCATAATAGCAATTCCAATATCAATAACTAATATATATATATATATATATTAGTTATTGATATTGGAATTGCTATTATGAGCGTTTACTTCTTTATTCTATTTTGTATTGTCTTGTTAAATAGATACCAAGAGCCACAAAATATTACAAATTATAGATAGATTTTCTGAACTAAATTCCATATCGTGAGGCACTTCAACTCACTGGAAAATCGATATGAGTTATGAGTATAGGCCACTATAGACAATTTGACACTGACACCGGATCCTGTGAGGCTACGTTGTCCGTTACATTAACGACAATCTCGTAATAACCTAGCAGTCGTGAAAGTATGTATTCAGAGTTATTTATTGTATTCAGTTTATGATGTAATAACGTGGTACATAATCTTCTCGCAATTCTTGTCTTCATTGTGATGACCTAACGTTGTAATCACTAAAATTAGCTAAACCTAAAGAACCTACTTTGTAAAAATATTGGACAGTTGCTATCCTTGTTTGTCATTGTTTTCCAGAGACACCGTATATTATTGATGCTGGAAGACTAATGGACCGCATTCAAGAATCACTTGGATGTAAGCCGCCTCCCTCCGCTAGAGCTGCTTTGGACAACGCTGTCAACGTTTCGTCTGTCAAAGGGGTTTGCTTTAAATTTGTGAAAGGAATCTCCTCCGCATTTCTCCCGTCAGATTTTGCAATATACCAATTTTAACTTGTATTCTAAGGGCGCTGTATATTATGGCTGAGTCGAGCTTTGTACTATGGCCTGTACTGCATCGTTTGTAACCTGAGTTTTGGCGCATTTGTCGTTCCCTGCACAAAGCAAATATGAACATAGTGTCCTTTAATCTCGATAATTCGCAGTCGCCTTACTCTGTGCCGTTAGATAAACAAATTTTAATATAACAATAATATATAATTAATATAATATAATAATAATACATTTTAATATTATGTAATATATATTGTAATATAACCTCTATAATACAACAGTTAAGTGTAAAATCACCTAGCTTTAAGCGTTCTGCAAACGATTTGAATTGCAATTCGTAAAACTTACTTGTGACACATAAGTTTAATGTCAAGTGTAAATTACTGCACTTCAGTTGTATCTATCGAGGTTCTTTTGACGTACTGAAGAGCATCAGCGTAATCTAAATCTTTCTTTGTGTTTCTACTGTATGTACACCGTTAATTTATCTTGATTGTAGGACGAAGTCGACATGTCATGTAGCTACCACGTGACGAATGTCGGCTGGAAATATTGCGTGCTTCTTCGCATGACCAAATTGGCTTTCGAGTTCTCACGACAACTGGCGGAGCCCTTCCAGGTTGAACCTTTGATACCCGGTGCACATACGCCTGACGATCGAAACGACATACCTGTAGTCGAGTATCAGGAATCTGCAGATAACCAAAACAGCCATGACAACGACGCAGCAACAGGGCTACTCTCAAGTAGCAGTCAAAACTGAGAACATGATTGAACAACAATTGTGGAGAAAAGGAGAAATTCGTCGCAAATTTTTATTAATATTCTTATACACAGACCATATATAACTATTAATGTTGTCTCTATAAATAAAAGACCCCTCTACGGTGAAAAACAAACAGTCAGAAGTAGTGCGCTTGTGCTGTCACTCCGAGAAAATATACAAATCAAACGAGACTATATATTCGATCCAGATCGCTCACATATGAACTTTACGGGTTCTAGCGCCTTTGAAACACAATTGAAACACAAATAAACAAATTAAGACCATTTAACGAATTATAGTGTATTATAATTATCATTGTTGTCTTGACATAATAATGAAACTCCTTCAAAGTAAAATTGACGCATCTAATCCATGCATAAACACGAGAGAGTAACAAATACTTAGCTAGATCGTAGACCACTCACGTTACAGCTATTCTAAATCTGTACGGACGCACATGTATATGATGTGCGTACGGATATAAAACAGACATAATGTGAATATAGGTAAAATATGGAACGCAAGGACTAGTTATCTTTTGCTAGGCTCCCAACGACTTGTTATAATTTCACACACTTCCATTTTACGAAGGCAAGAAGGCATGCTTAAATCCACTGAGTTACTTGGCCGCAACACGTAACATAGCAGGAGAACCTTTTGTACAGTTCCAGAAATGCGTGTCAGAACGTCCAGGTCGTGTTCCGTTAGTTCTGCATTAAGAGAAGTCAACGAAAAAAAACTTTAGAAGTTGGTATAGCAATGATGTAGTGTAGTATATGTGGTTAATATTACAACCGGCTTCAAGTCTTCTGCATGTGTTAGAATTACGATTATTAGGCATAGCGCTCAGTAAATAACAGGTGTATTACAAACAGCATTTTTCACCAATGTTGTACAAGTTTATAAAATTGGCAGCTCATCATGGCATTGAATTTTTCTATTGTTAGCTCTTACTATAGAACCCCGTCCGACCCATTGGACTGCTAGGCCAGTTGGCGTAATAACGACGACTTAACTGGGTGAAAAGACCCATTGGACTGCTAGGCCAGTCGGCGTAATAACGACGACTTAACTGGGTGAAAAAAAAAGAAACAAGATTTTCTATTTTTATGCTCCATTGGCCTTTGTCGGGTGTACCGCTTTTGGACATGTCCCCAAGGGTTGGTTTGCTAAACTATCCTTTTTTTCTGCATCTCTTGTTCCATAAATAATAAAAATGGCAAATATTGTAAAAAAAACACTCACCCTCCATAGCAAGTCTTTCGTCGTCATCGTCCGTTCGAATTATGACCATAAACGATGAGTGAGTGAAGGGTGGTCCATCTTTGTACAACAGAAAATCGACGCCCATCCTGACACCAGGACGCACAACCCAACCCTTATGTCGAAAATGGTGATATGCTGCGTATCGTAATGGAAACTGGTGGTTGTGAGCAAAAAGATCTGCATAGAGTTCATCCAGGGATATATCAGACCCCGATCGTTTTACCCTGAGAACACCTGAAAAAAATGAGTACTTCAACGAACATGTTTTCAAATAGAGTAGGACTATTGTAAATAAGGATACCGAGGTAATGACTAAATATTTGTGAGTTAGACAGTTGATCTTTTGTCCGCTCAAGCTGATTAATGTTGCGAAAGTGTAAGAACGATAGGATTATATATATGTGTCAGAATCTGCAATATGCAGTCAAGTATTGCCGTTGTGGCTCTTTATGTGCACAAAACAGACAATGTCGCAAAACTAGTCTTTGATACAAAAAACGTGCAAACTTGAATATCGCTTTCCTGCATGCAGTTTGTTCTCAATAACCAACATGAAAACTAAGGCGCGTTTAGTTTTTTGAGCAAAATAGTGACGAAGAAAATGCTTTAGATCTATATATCCTTAGAAGAAAAACCATTTATGAATTACTTACCTAAGCCGAAGGCTAGAAAATATGCCTCCTCCGGTATGAGAATCAATTCTTCGTTTTCAGTTGTCTGAAAGGGAGATTCCTTTTTGAAGTCACTGATCGATGCTATGGCCTGATTGGTTTCTTCGATTTGGTAACTTTGGCATTCATATATAGCTTTCATAACGCGATCGTGCGAGCCTGCTTCGAATCTGAAAAAGGAACACTGCTATTAGCACGATGAACTTTTCCTATAATACAGAAGAGTCATGCTCACATCAACTGCGTTTTCCTGTATAGACTTCAAAGATTGGAGCAGACGACATCTACATAAGAGATCGCATTTTATTTCTTCGTCGCCTGTATCCTTGAGGTACCTAAGTCAACGGTCTCGTTACACCATCCCAGCAGAGCGGGACATCTAAGTTAGTTGCATTTAGCGTTGGAGCAATGGCTCAGTCAACTCTTTCATATTTATTGTGGATTGATAACACAGGCTATCGCTGGTTCGAGCTCGCGGTGCAGAAGTACATAATTTGGCTCAATGTAGAACGATGATAGACTTGACCGCACAGTGTTGATATATTTTTCCACAGTAGTAAATATTTAAAACGGCAAGAAATATATATAACCATATAATAATAATTACTTCTGTTTATTGTTTTGGAAGCAACCTGTTGCGAGAAACAGGAGATATTTTCTCCGATAAGTTTTAGTCATAATCAAAACCTGCAGTTACTCGTTCTGAAAACTTTACATACTTGTGCCTACTTATACCATGAGTAAGACGTTTGAATATGCTAATATCTTTGTTTATACTAAGATACCTTAAACTTACTTGGGCTCGCCATATGAGCAGTTGCCTTTGCCGAAAAAGCCACCAGAATATATGTCCTTGACGTGATCCTTGTTTGAGACAACAACCACTCCGTCGCGAAGTTCGCCCTCAAATATGCAAAATTTTGAGCTTATGGGATCGCCTTGTGGCGCATCGTCCGGTAGCAGTTGACTCACGAGAGGAAAAATTGAGCCTTTTTTTGAACTGTTGTTTTTCCGTCGAATTGAATAGAGATCCATCTGTAGAGACGGGCTACTTTGAATAGAACCGTAGCTTTTCTACACAATCCCTCTACCAAAAATAAACGAGACTCTCTAAAAAATATTTTCGTATGTTATACGGTAACAATAACAAATAATAATGATCATACATAAAGATAATTTAAACATGCACTTCTTGGTGCGATCTAACAAGTCGTTGTTAAAATGTCATCTATACTTTAGAACATACATAGAATCAAACATCTAGAGGGAAAAAAATTGAAATAATTCGACCTTCTTCGGACCTTATGTTTATGGTAAAATATAAAATTGTTCGAAACTATTAGTGTTGTTAGAAATATTATTATTTTTATTTATTATTATTAAGGTTCTCAGGCCAGAGCACGAAAAAGATTCTTAGAATGCTCCGTTTAAAAGGATTTTTGCTCAAATACTACTATGAACAGCATTCGTGCAAATATAGAGTTTTTCGGCTTGACTAAATGCAGTTTATATTTGCTGATTTTTTGTCTCTAAAATGATGTACCTAGCTATGCATGCGATTTTAAATAGCTGAATGGGAATTCAACTAGGTATGCATACCTGTCTTGTTGTTTTGACGGAGAACGATCTGGAGGGGGCGTAGTAGAGAAGAAATCGTTCAAAATTTATAGGCCCTCTCGAATTAGTAACACGGAGGAGTTTTGTTATGGTATCAAATTGAGAAGCCGAACAAATTGTATTCACATTACTTTAAAATCTGTCCGGATTGCTGATTAGGATCCTTATTCTCTGCTTTGCTTGGTGCCAGTGTCGTCTGCTAGATCATTGACAAACATGGCGAGGTTTCATATCGAGTCACCTGAGGAGCGCAGGCAAAAGGTACATTTTATTTAAGTTGAACCTTCTGACCACTCAGTAATCTGTTCTAATTGAGCACTGATATTCTACGAAAAGCTATCTTAATTGCATTTCTGGACTGTGAGTAAAAATGGCCAAACTGAGCTAAAAACGTGCTATTGATTTTGAGTTGAGCCTACACTTCAATATATGTAAAAGAAGAATCGATTATCCAAGGACACGTGTGGCTAATTTGGTTACTAAATAATGCGGTTAAGTGCCGTATCTAACAGTCAATTGAAGAGCGAACTTAGACTGCATTATCGCGCTTTGATCATTGTACCCAACAAATAAGCACTATGACAGAAAATTCTCGAATGGTTGGTGATAGAACAGCTGACTATACAAAGCTGTATTAACGCTACATTGATACGGCTTGTGAAAGGCTTGTGTTGTCGTTACGCATTCGGTTCTATGTAGCTGCTAGTAACACCTAGTTTTAAATCAAAATGTTAACCTAAGTTGGTTTCAAGCAAATGCGCTGTTATTGTTTCGAAATTAGATATGGCTTTTGTTTTGCCTAAATTAATTATCGGGTATCCTGATCGTGTTATTCTCATTACCCATTGAGCCAGCCGACTCCGGGGGAACTGATTCGCTAAATTTGTTTTTGCTGTTACTTCCTGCGATTTTCTTTCATCTTTTTTATTCCTTTTCGCCAGAAATTCTCAGATCCGATGGTACAGAGCTCGTCCAGTCAGTTTTTTAATGTACTGTTACAAATTGCATTTGCCAGTGATTGCAATATGTCATGAGGTCTCGAAAATATAGGGTGAAAAAGCTACCCACTGAAGTTCAGGCAGGTAGTCTTCTACTGCCTTTTCAATGTAACGTCTGGCATTCTCGTGGAGAAGCATGATATTGCCTTGTCTATCGGTTCGTTGCTGCTGAATAGTTGCGTTTAGTTGGTGCTATACACTGATCCTTGTGTGTTGTAGGTTCTTCTCAAACATTTGCCAGTGTATATGACCCTTCCCGATTTACCAAATGCAAATCATGGCTTTCTTGGTATAGAATATCTGCTTTAATTCTAGGATGAGCCATATATTCCTAAGTAACCAATTTGTTTCGCAGCTTCAAATTGACGTTAAGATAAAACTAATCATCATTAGTCATTCTTTTTAGAAACCTGTCATTATGCCTACGTGTTGAGCGGTCGGGCGAACTTTGGTTTTCACTTTACAAGCCATCTCACGTTCTTATTGATTTCGGGGGATTGACCTGGGTGAGAAACACTTCATTTCCAAGATTCCATCTGTAAGAGACTTCCCAACCCCCTTCCAGTGGTCTTCTCAGTTATTGAGTCCTCATTATACGTGACACAACTATCTCTGTTTCAATTATCTTTCAACCTTAGAAAGAGACGAAATACAGCAGACGTCGAAAACACCTTCTTTTTTTTATCTAAAACATCGGTCTTTGAAAACTAAATTCGACATAAATTTTGTTATAAGGGTAAAATTCTGTTAACTGCAAAAGAAACTGCAACAGATTTGCAGGACAAAGAGCGCTCTTTTGAAAGGTGTATGGAAGAAAATAAACAATGGAGAGGGAAAAGGAATAGGGACCATAAGATACACCCCTAGTCCTGTTCCAACCTGATATGGAAGTGCTGCATTAAGTATCATGGGCTCACACGCTATTTATTTATTTTATCTTAGTGGCCATACATAAGCTTATAATATGAATTATTGAACTCAATCGCTATCGTTTTGTTATAAACACAATAAGAGCATACTGCACAGCTATTTGTTTTCTCGGGACTTTGGAAAAGGTTAACAGCACAGCCATTGTTAAATTGCTCTGTGTATCTGATGTATTCGGTAAGTAAAAGTTGATGTCAAGCTTTGTTTGTTCTTAGCTGTGGCTGCTACCAGAACGATGATGATAGCTTCCACAAGAAGGCCTAGAGAGCTGCGTAGTTAGCTGATCCGCAAGCAACGATCGACTCATATGTGTTGTAGGTGATCAACATTGCTTTCTTAAACACTTGATTTTTTTAGTTATTTCCTTTATTGTGGAGTGATACTACAGCATCTTGATGCGGCGCGTTTAGGTTCTGCTTCGGGGTCCTGGTTTTTTCAAAGACATTTGCACCAGGTCTAAAAACACACATATAAAGGAAGGGCCAATAAAAGTAGCAGCCGTTACGAATAAAGCCTGTCTTATAGAGCGACTTGATGTTTTTTTGATGTTATTGATTATACAACTTTGATCTCGCCCTAAGGACGCCAGGGTAGATCGCACTAATAAAAGCGCTATTAAGAAACAAGACAGAATGGCAAGCTGTGATTATACATGACGGGGTACCTAAATTGGGGCTTTCTCTCAGTTTCTAAATAAAAATTGAGAACAGCCATTTTTGATGGTTATAATTCAGTATGATCATTCATCAGTAATTGATATTATTACGATTACAGCTTTCCACACTGCTTACAGACTTGCTTTAAATGTTTCCCTTAGAATTCTGTAAACGCTCTCTCGATGATAGCACAAGTCAGTCGAAGTCGTATGTCGAGACTCGATAGATACTCTCATTTAACAACGCTCCATATATAGCGATCCAACTGCTTCGTCTCATTCGTAAAGTATTCCCAAGTAGCTAACTTTGCACTAATCTGCTTGCATGAGGCGGTGCATAATTTTTTTTGACTTCAGATATCTACGCTCGCTAATGGAGTTTGTGGAGCATGCAGATAAACGTCATCAGTGATGCGTTCACCTTTATGGGAGAGCCATGGATGTCTGCTTCACTGGACACAACACTCATAGCATAAGCTTTAATTAAAAATTGTCTCTATCCACAATAATCACATCTTCTAGATCGAGAGCAAACCTGCGATTCATTCTTGCTTGTGACTCATTTTTGCATTGATTCAAAGAAAAATCAAAGACAACCCATCATTTCACTCTCGAGAAAATTGGATAGCGAATAACGTTCGTTAAATCGCTTTGTTTTATTGCTTTCAGAGAGCATCTAACTTTTATGATCCGTAATGTATACCATCGTTTAGTTTTATTTTTTTCAGAGAGCATCTATTTAACTTTTATGATCTATACTATATACTAGAGGCCTTCGTGACGTATTCGCGACGTCGAACGCTCAGTCACATCAAAATCATTCATTAACGCCCTGAGGGAAACAGAAAGATTATTTGGATTCGTCTATATGAGTGGTTAGCTTTGGAGTCCGCACCGCTCTTTCTCGGTCGGGATATTGTTTTGTGCTGCACTGCTCTTCTGGTCACAGCCGCATGTATATTGGCGACGCTCGATTAGGGGTCACCCAAGAAATTTATAATTTTGATAAATGTGTGTCTAGCGCGTAGAGGATGGACGATAAGTGTTCTTCACTTAAATTCCGAAAATGATGCTTTATTGTTGCTTTGTTGTACAAAAAAGTGCTTTTGACATAGTGCCAGGAATAGCGTATGGGTAGTCACTAGGCCAGATAGCCCATCAAAATCTGTCTCAATTTAGGTGTCTATTTTTTCTATAATGCAGTTGCTGTATAAGAAATCCAACAATGTTAGATCAATACGCCCATTAACACGTTACGATAAATAAAGGCGAAAATTAAATACAGCATGAAAACAGGCAGTTTCCTTGGACGATGTTTCTTGGGTAAGATGTTCTCAAACGTTTTGCAAGGCCTAAAAAATGAGAACAAAGATGATAGCGTTTTTTTGCCTTATTGCGTATAAGGAGCTTAGGTGAGCTTAGTCGTTTTCGCCCACAATGCCAATTAGTTTACTTCGACAGGGTTAGTTACGATAGCGAGTTTACCATCACCACGATAGTAGCAATAGGACCAAGATTCTCCAGACAGGTAGAGTGTCTGTACACCGCGAAGAAACTCCCTGTTGCATTTGCATTTTCCTTGTGTTGACGTCTCGTAGAAGCCATTGCATGTGTGGTTAACTTGCTCACAAGCCATTTTGTCAAGCTTGTCAGCTGCTGTGTCAGTTCATTTAATAGGCAGACGAAATATTCAGTAGATAAGAAATTTAGTCGTAAGACAATCTACTATGTGAGATGTGTGATCATTAATTCCGTGTGAGTATCTGTGGCATCATTTTCAGTTAACAGTAGTTTCATCACAATGTAGTGCCTATCGCGGTAGCTCATATAAACGTAGAGCGTTCTCATTGCGTTTTTTGCCTGTTGTTGTGCCGCGTACTGTTATTAGCACTTTTTAGAAATGTGCTCGTTCTAATTCGATAACTCGGTCACTTTACTAGCGAAGGGTTAAGTGCTCCGAAAGGAAACGCGAATGTTCGGCAAAGACCTTCACGGTCTGATTATTTTGAGTTAATATCGGGGTACGACGGGCGTTATATTCTTTTCTTACTACTGCAGTACACCTAAGCAGAGGTCCCGCCTGAGAGGTTTTGGGGAAAGAAGATATCCTGGCTAAGTTTCGAACCCACATGAGCCGAACCGATGCAGAAACTTGTCGCAAATGTCTTTTTCATCTGACGTGTTGTTTCTAATGCCTAATAATCTGCTTATGAAACTAAGGTTATTTGATACTGAATTGAATAAATTTATTAAATTATGAAATTATCATAGAGGCGATATTCATTCTGTGGACTCGATCAACGATTGATGTTAATAGTGCCATTAAACAGAAAGCAGTAGAATAGCATTCATAGTTGATTGGATGTAAGAATAGATACTTACCAAGCACGTGCACAGTCTATTCATGTGTATGGATCTTCGTGTCTGGGTGGATGATTGCGCACATTACTATTATTAGTTGCCAATTAGGGGTACGAAGAAAAAGCCGCTTTGTCAGAATAAAGTACTTATCGCATTGGAAGCACCGCATTTCTTCTTTTAGGTAGAGGTATATTAGTAATGAGTCAAAGGAAAAAAATTGCGGGGAAATAACTGATAAAAACGCTTGACTTTTTAATATTGTACCAATGAAATTAAGCGCTATAGTGAATTCTGTCATATTTTGTGAAGCCGCTGAGGCGTTCACTTTATCAAAGAGGTTAGGTAGATGACGCCAGATTCTCAAATCGCTCTGATGCGCATAGACAATGCAATCGCAGAGCTTGGGCAAACAAAAACCTTACACGATCACCACTGTCGTTTTCCCTTCACGCTGAGGGTTATATACCTCTATAGTAAAAACGTTGTAGATGAGAAAAATATATCTGAAATCTGAAAAACTTTGAGCTTTGGTGTCTAAAGGAAAAGACGATAATGTACTGAATATAATAATAACATAATACTTAATGTGTAGGACAGCGTCTTGACTAGTTTAGATGGTTATGGATCGAAAAGGTTAATTCAGATTTGTAGCAGGACGGTAATGCTGTTATACGTTTGGAATAGGCTCTCATCGGTGAACTGCCCGATGATTTCCTTCGATTAATACCGACTGCTACTTCGGTGACTAGCGATGGCAACGGTACCAGAATTGCTTCAGAACAATATCTCTTTCCGGGAAACACTGAAGCTCGACAGATCGCGTTAAATGAACAAACAGGTGTAGCGATGCAGCGCCAAATCGACCAACTTCTTACTGCAGCTGCTCCCGTTGGCCGACTCACACTTACTGTCGTCGAGGTAGTTCCACAGCTCATATTAAACTTTAAGTTTAGATCGACAGACATAAATTGTGACTATACACATGTCTCTGAAATCAATTAGAACAAAATTATAAAGAGGCATTAACGCACAATTTGACAGTCAATGTTATGTTATTTTATTATTTGAGTGAATGAAGTGTTAATGTACGGCTATTTTCATTGTTTTTTTTCTTATAGGCGCGCTTGGTGAAAAACTACGGCATGACCCGCATGGACCCTTATGTTCGTTTAAGGATTGGGCACAATATTTACGAGACTCACACCCATTATAACGGCGCCAAGAACCCGCGATGGGATAAGGAGTTCCACTGTTTCATTCCCCCACTGGGCTTCACATCATTTCTAATAGAAATATTTGATGAGGTAGGTAAAAATGGCTAGAAAGGCTTAAACCGGCGGTCATGGTTAAAAGTATAATTCATAAGACTACGATTCTTATTTTTATTTCGTCTTCAATTGACCTGTTGGATCATATCAGACATCGGTACTCCACCTATGATGTGCAAGCATTGCAATTAACAAGCTTTCTACTTTTTCGTTTAATCCAAAATCAAATAGTGTGCGTTTACGGCCAGCGAAAAGATTGCATGGGCTCACGTACCCATTCCTGAATCTGTGTGGACATGTGGGGAAACCCAAGAGGAGTGGGTTCCTTTAAATGGCAAACAAGGAGACGCAAAGGAGGGAGCTATTAATATCCTAATGAGTTATACGCTCATACCAAGAGGGCTTATTCTTGCTCCTCAGGTGATGTACCTCAACAGAAACCCACTACCAACGACAGCTTTCGGGTTTGGTTCAACTGTAAGTGACTCCATGGACTATTTTTGCTCTCTGTGTTATGTAACACTGTCTCTCTAATGTGGGTAGCAGATAGAGCAAAAGTTTTTCGTGGACATGCATATGGTAAAAGCTCATCAAGCATTGGTCACTTCGTTTCAAGTAAATTTTAATATTTTAGTCACGTATTCACTAATTGAAAATTAACCACAGCGTCATCCTTATGTCCTACAGGAGAAGCCTTTTCAAAATTATATAGTAGATTCACTAGCCATTGGTAACCTCGGAATATTTTAGGTTCGTCCTGTAGACGCGACACTTACAGCAGGAGTGGACCCGGCACTTATTGGGCCACCAAATACGACGCCAGGACGACCAGTGTCTGTTGGCCAGGTAGGAGGCCAGCAAGTGGTCCAAAGTACACAGGCTCCTCCATCAGTTCCCGTTAAAATCATAGACGCAAACGTTAGACAGGTACCAGATCATTCTATATTTGGATGGAACTTCTAATATTACGTAGTCAGGCACCAAACTATATTGGTTGATAGTACCTTACGTATGTAGGTCTGCCGAGGAATATCGTTCCAAGTCCAAGGATTAAGTTAATCAACGTCCTTTCTAAGAATGTATAGAACAACTGGTTATGATAATAAGAATGGGCATTAACATTTAGTTGCAGGAGATGTTCCCATTCCTAGAGAGGTTTGTGATTGAGAGCGTGTTGGAACTGCACCACAATAATAAGGAACGCGCTATCGAGGACTTGCTTCGTATGGTTGGATAGAATTGTCGGTTACCTGCGATCAATTAACTGATGTTCCTGGATATGATTATCGGACGAAGTAATATTTTTATTAATTTTTCTTTCCAACGTACCGCTTGTGACGTGAGGGATATAGACCATAAGCGAGCAGTAGCTGAACCTCTATATATGTTGTTTAAACTATTGTTTTAGAAGATAAATATGGAGGTACTGGGTGTATTTTCGATTTGCATATTGTGGTCGAATGATGTCACTAATCATGATTCTGATTTAGTAAAGATATTTCACCTTCTTTACTATGGCATTACATAAGTGCTATATTAACAATGTTATGTTATTAAGGCGGCTTCATGGTCACTCGAATAATTTTACTAATAGCGATGATCGGATGAAGTGCTATGCCTCCTTAGATGTTTGTACGATCCGTAGTCTGTGGCATGTGTATTTATGCCAATTATTCTTATTATATACACAGTTTGCCGTATATAACAGACGGAATAACAGAAACAGCAACAACAATTGCTAGTCAGAAAATAAAGACCTACACTGTCTATTATATTTTGCTCGGCAAAACATGCGTATTTCTTTCGGTAGAGAAACAATTATGCACATTTGTTTGCGTCTCTTTTCCAAAATTATGTGGAAATTGAAAGTAACATTTGGTTTTCCGCTGCATGCGAAGGACCCAATAAGTGAAAATGTAGGCACATAACCTTATTTGTTCTGTTGCCAACACTTACGCTCACTAACTTGTGCGTCCCTTCTGATTGCTCAACTCGTTTCAGGTAATCCATTACAGTGCATTGCAATACTCCCATTACTTCGTCATAGCTATCCTTGTTAGGACTCTACCACAGTTTTTCCATTATTGTGCAGATCTGCTGCATTTTCTGATTGCTTACGTTACTTCGTTGTGCTATCGTAAGACCCTATTTTAGCTATTTTTTACCTTGTATTGATCGTTCAGTTACCTCTGGACAGATAATATATATTCTACTGTTACCCTCGAGTCATCCTTTCATTTTATATCAGCTGTTCCATTTTCTTGCCTCAATTTCCACTGCTTAATTTCTCGTTTAACCGTTACCGTACTACCTTTTACCTGTTGCCCCTTTACAGTTATTCTGTTCTATCAAAGTAAAACTGACCTTAATTTTTAGGTTCTCACGTCAATATTAATGTGTTCAGGAAGTCACCAACGTGATATTTTCGAATAAGAAAACCAGTTCTGCCTGAAACAAAGCAATAAACTCCCGTGTCCTGTTCGAAATTCGAGGGAAGAACAGCTATTATGCAATTTTTTCGCACGGGGCAAACCTCTACTAAAATAAAAGGCTTTCCTTTTTCCTGGAGTAGACCGTCTACGTCACATGTTCTTATGCAGCTTCTGAAAAGCCCGACGAAGGTTCCGCTAGGGAAATCCTTAAAAGGGGTAAGACTCTGCAAGGGCGCGAAAATTCATCAAACTGGAGCAGAAAGCCATATCCGATGCACCTGCGTTTTTCGGTACCAACGGTAATTGCCCATTTTGGGTAGAAGCATATCAATTTCCAATCGAGTCGTTTATACACGTTGCAATGATTGGCTCCTTTTTGAGAACTTTTCCAACATTTTTACACCTTTTGGACTTTTCGGCCTTTTTGGGTCCCTGCTTTTTTGGTACTTTAGTGTGCTATCAAGCCAACATTCAGTTCTGCTGGATTTTCCTTGTATCGCACATATTTAAATGGTACTGTACTGAGCGAATACTTAATACCGCGTTGGGCACGCTTACTAAAGAAGTTATTTGCGGGTTAAAGATGAAGTATCAAAGTGACTAGTGCGAGTAGATTACTTAACGTATGTTAACATATATAAGGCAAGATAATAAAATAAAATAGTAACGTAACCGAGCAACTCTACTAATGCAGCGAGTTTGCTAGGATAAGTTGGTAGAAAAGCTACAATGAAAGTACTGCAGTTGGTCAACAAAGATAGTTGCAATGGGTTTATTAAATCCAGCAATAAGGTGATAGGACCGCTGTTCTGGATCTGAGTTCAGAACTATGGTCAAGGTCGAGCAGGTAAATTTGCCTTTGGGTTACATTTGAAGGAGTAGTGTCTATGTGTAGTACGAATCACAAGGAAAAAAATAATGAATAAAGTGGACGAGTGAACCAGCCCAAATGCTTATCGGTAAAAGCGGGCGAATGCTGTACACATAAAATGCTGTTTGTTACCACACTAGTCCACTTTCACCCTAAAGCACTATTCAAAGTCTATTTATTGTCTGATTGCAGACCCAACTAAAGGGCTCAACGAGAAAAATCGCGCCTGTTCCTGCTGTAATTTCTAACTTTGAAAGTAAGATTGCAGAGGGCGCTCTATATTCGATATAATTGATCGTTTTAGTCAATACTAGGCATATACCGGCTTCTATTGAGCATTTTTTGAAACTGCTAACAACGTATTCGAAGCTTTCAGTATGACATAGAATACCATTATTATAGGTGATCGTCGATATGAGACTATAATATAGATGATCATGAGCGACAATGTGCGGGCCCAAGCAATGACTGTGGTTAAAGAACAAACTGAAAATTAAAGGGAAAAAAAGGCCAGAGTTATCGAATGCTCCAGCCAAAAGGAAAACGACTATTTTATACTTAGAAGATCAAACTTAGAAGTACAAAAATGGTCGCGCCTCCAACCCGTTGAAGTGACGTATAGATGGGTTCGATAGGAGTTTGGAAGTAAGGCATATGAATTCAGTAAAACGAGTTTTACACTCCAGGGGGCGACACTTGGTGTAACTTGATGTAATGCATGAGACATTTTATTATAATAGTGCGAAAAACATTACATAAAACATGTTACTATAATCATAGATGCCATGGTACTAAGTCTCCAGCCTTAGCGCAATACTGAAACTGTCGGCGGAGTTTTAATATAGTAAAAGTATAGGACCAAACTGTAATATGTGAAATTTCTTTCCTTATTCGTTTTCTGCTTACCTGAATAAAGGCTTAAGGAAACATAGTTCATGTTATTTGATGCATAAATATTACTAAACTGTTTTTATAATAATTGCCCTGAATGATTCGAAAAGAATGCTAACTCCGCTCTGCCACAACTAAGTTCTCAATATAATGATATTCCAGTGACTGTTTATGTATAAGTAAAACACTGAAGTGAATTGGAAGTCTCGTCCAATATAGAATATTCAGATATTAATTACGAAGGATAATCGATTTTTTTCCAAATAATTATCTATTAGATTGAAAATAAAATTTCCGTTTGAAGCGACATGTGGCGCTAGCCGCAGATTGGCTAATCGTGTCTAACCGAAATTTCCTTTACGTGTTGCGTCTTACGTCCAGCCTCGTCGTTAAGCATTTCATCAAACAGCTGGCTCTTTCCACGAGACAGTGTGTCTATGCCCGAACTGAAATCTATGTCCTAAGATTTAGCATGCAAATACGTTACTCACTAGGCTATAACACGCAACGTGAAATTTCTTAGGCTGATTATCTTGTCCCTGTGATAATTTAATGAGTAACGTATTCGCTAATATTAGGGATACGTTGTGGCCTAAATTAGCACGTGGACAACACGGGGCACACTAACTCGAAAAAAACCTCTTGTAAATAACAATTTAATGGTAAGTTCTTTTGTAGTTCGAATCAATAGCACGTCGGTTACTGGTGCGGCAACGTAAATATCCTTTTTGTGTGTTTTATTCCATTCTCTAATCTCGCTACAGAGAACTGGCACCTAAGGCACGAAAAGTAATGTACGAAGTTGATCGACTACTCATGCGAGACATCTAGGACGCCATTTGTGTGAAGAAAGGATATATTCGACTTTTTCTTCCATTTAGGGGTATGTTCCCTAAGTTCTAAATGTCTTAACCATCAATCTCGATGTGAGATATTAACATTAAGTTAGTCTATTTTTAGATAGATATACTTGACTCGTAAGTAATCGAAGCAATAATGGATACAAATCTGTTCGATAACTGAAAACCTCATTATTTTCATTACAATAGTTTATTGATAGCTGTAACTTAGTAAAACAATCGAAGCTATTCGCCCTAAATACTTTGTGACACTAAGGGGATTGTCTTTCGCTCGTGATCCGCCAAAAATCGCAAAATTTATGACAAATTTACATGGCCACTTTGATCTGTTTATCTCGAACTAGCATCACATAACTTACTCAAACATACATACACAAAGGCAAGCAAAGTCTAGCTCGATAGCCATATTTTCTTAAGTGTACTAGTTACGACCATATGTTAGAATAAATAGTGCTAATTCCAAAGCACAGAGCTCCTGGAGTGTTGCCATATAGCTTATTTTGCAAGCCCTAGTTGTGAAAACGAATATCTATACTTTTGTTAGCGCTTTCTTCTCAAAGCACGCCTTTAATCACACAATTCCCTAGGTGGAGCAACTGATGGCAAACTCTCGAGGGTGAACGTTCGATCGCGAAAAGCAGCCAAATCGCTCTCGGACAATAACTCCATCGGAGTATAAATCGTATCCTTTTGTTGTTTGTTTGATGGGTTTGATACGCCAAGCTGCCCAGGCGTTCCGGTCGCTCCGTAGGGCACTACACTGGGGCTCGCAAAAGGTTTAGAGACAAAAGCAGGAATCTGCATTGAATTTCCTAGATGTCCTACAATAGACCCGAGTAAAACATTGATTGCAATTAAAATCATTATTTCTGTAACTGATTGAGGAAAATGCTACCTATCTTTTGAAATACCGACCTTTACAATATTTGTGGAAATGTATTATCAAAGAGCTTTTAATATACTAGTTCCCCTGCATAGAATATATAGCATGTAGTAATTGTCCCTTACTCATAGTGTAGTTTTGAGTTAGAAAACGACGATTTGATATACAATTGTCAATTTCCAGCCCGAGTTAATTTACTTATGAAACACGTCTTTTTTACGTTTCAGCTAATGGTCGATACAGTGCTACAATTAACACGCTATTTTGTTACGGTTCAATAACTAACCTTGTAAGTACTTGAATTTAGTGCAAAAAAGCAGTATCCGAAAAACAAATTCGCCTAATGTCAGTAAAGCCTTATAGTGGAAACAAATAGACAAAACTAAAAAACAAAATGCCAGTACTATAGTACACCCGTTTTAAAAAATTGTACCCGCCTTGAATTGTGTGCTGTTCGGGGATATGACTTGAAGTTGAGTGTTGGCTGAAAGGATTCCCAGTTTGTGCGAATGGGTTGTTATATTCGAGTCCAGCTCCAAGATCACCAACAGAAGAAGGTCCTTGTGTTTGGGGAACCCCAAACCCTGGCTGAGGAAAAACTGCTGGGCTATTATGAGGCTGAAATAGGGATGATACACTAGACGGCACGCCCTGATTAAGTATAGTGGATGTATTGTGGACAACCGGGCCAGCAATAGGCCTAGCCTGGGATTCCTGAATTAATTGTGGATTAGAGATAAGTTGCCGTAAAATCTGCATCACATGGTTCAAATGTCTCGTCATTTCAGCTTGCTGAAACCAGAGCATGGAAGACAATACCGCAGGTGGGTTTTTTTAACACTGAAAAAATCACAAATTGATTCACTTTTCTGCTCATAAATTATAAACATTACTATGATAATACATTTACAATTGGTAATATTCTTGTATTATCTTGCAATGGAAAATTTTGGCTATCACGACTGTTGAAAACTATTGAGTCATAATTATTGTGGACAGAAAGTAACAAACGTTAGTTTTAACTCACGTATTCTTGAAAGTTATTTGCCGCAAGACTTTCGTAAGCTTTAAGGCGAATTTCTTCAGGGCTTAAATCCGATAGGTGCGCGAAGTTTACAAGATTTGTGGCTCCTTTTAAAAAGAAAAACTATCACAAATTTAAAACGTAGCAGTCCTGTATATATTTAAGAGAAATATAGATTATTTTTTAGATATTCTATGACATGTTTTAAAAATTTTCATAAAGATGAGTATATTACGAAATGTAACTTCCTAAACTTATAAGGTACTAACTAAAAATTTATAGAAAACCTACCAATCACTTACCTGGTATACCTGAAAAAGGGTAAAAGCGCCCCTCGAGCATATCTAGCAGATCCTGCTTGACTTGATTTATTCTGAAGTTACACAAACGTATAAAATCAGCCATATTTATAGCAACATTTAATAAAAAGCCCTAAAACACATTGGTACAAATAAAATCTTCGGTAAAAAAGCCACTCTGTTTTTTTCACTTTTACTTTCCTGTTCATACGAGAAATAATGAGCAAATCTTTAAAACTCCAGAAAGAAGTTTACGTATTCTTTATTCAGAATAATTTTAATAACTTAAAAGGTAGTTAGTTACCTTTAACTGCCTTTAACTCTCAAGACTTTAATCAAATATAATGCAAATCGGGGAGAAAAATACAACTTACTCCTGTGATTTATTGGCAGCGACATCGAGGGCTGCTTGACCAAAATTGAATGAGGATTCTCCCTGATGATATCCACTAGTCCGAGCCGTTGAACTAACGCAGCAAAAAAAAAAAAAAGAATAGAAAAATTATTTGACAGTTGTATTACATAAAGCCAAGGTTTCCAACGAGGATTTTTATTACTTTTTAGTACCATGTGGGCTTTAGGCAGCACACTTTCGTTGTCCAATCTGCCAGTAATCTTAATCGGATCAGTAGTTACCAATTAATAAATGTGATTGATAACTACTGATCCGATTCCATGAGAATGAAAGCAAAGTGCTAGAATTTACTGTGTACAAGTATTTAGCGTGCAAAATTACGCTATTAGGTGCATTATTTCATGGTAAAATCGCAAACTGCGCGCAAAACGTTTACTCGCAATCCTTGTACGCGCTGAAAAATGCGTCTGCGCAGTGCCACTGCTTAGGGATCTTACTATACGAGTACTATCGTTTTAAGATTTCGTTTTATTATTGAAAATACCTTTGGTACTGTGGATTGCTGTAGTGATAACTGGCGTAATTGGTTCCGCCCCCACGATATCTACTTCCTCCGTGATTACTTTCGTAGACATGCTCGAAGCGGCAGTTTTGCCCGTAACGGCAGTTGCCATTCTGGAAGTAGCGGCAAACGGTCATTTTCCCGATGTTTGAAGTTTACGTTCTCTGAAAACACACAATCCGCAACCATTTCATAATTTTTCTGCACTTGCAACATTATGCATTGCAGTCAACGGTAAACGCTCACTAGATCATTACGTGTTAAACTGTTATATAGTTGCATTAGCATTAGTTACACGGTCCCTCTTATCCGCTCTCAAAGAAATGCAAAGGACACGATCAGTATTGAGGAGGATATTATTCTAACCACCGTAAAGTCGTCGATCCTAAAAAAGTCGTCCACTTGCAGCACTACATCAAAATTGTTTTTTATAGTTCTGTTAATCCTATAGAGGGATTACTCAGAGAGGTACCTTTGTTCAAGTGCAGGCGAGTATTGTTTTTTCATTATCACAAGTATCTGTTGCAAATCTATGTTGTTAATGTGATGTGCCATCGAAACTGATCAAAATCATTGAACTTTTGTTGAATACGGTAGAACTAGATGTGTCGTACGTCTATCGCATTGTACGGTATGTTTGTGATTATTCGTGTGCCATATCACTAAGCTGCGCAAACTTCGAACCTCATAACTTCTGTTACTAGTATTTAATGAGTGGCAATAGCTCTTTCGTTAATATTATTATTTAATAATATTATCGTTAATAATATTAATATTAGCAGGTATAGTGCAGAAAAGCATAACCTCTGCGGAATAATATAGACAGTTAAGTATTAAAAGTTTTAGCACACATTTATCGGCGATGTTAAGGAATGCTTAATATAAGAATTATAATCAAAACCACTATTTATTTTTAAGTGTTATGTAGATGTAGGTCTGAGATTTAACTATCCCATTATCATTCGCGTTCACTGTTTGATTAGTAAAATTTATGTACGGCTCTACTCACAAGTGCACAAAAGTATACATCCATAGTAGCGTCTTATCGATGTTCAAGTTTTAACACGTTTTCATTAATTGTCAAGCTCAATGACCGAGAGAATAAGCGTGTGAATATTGTACTTGATAGCAAAACCTTGGCTTAGATGATCTCAGATTCTAGATCGTGAACTGCTTCTTATGATTATGTCTTATTGAACATCTGTTCAGATCGACGAATGGTGCGATTGGGCTTATTTGGATCTTTTGGACTAAGCCGTCAGTGTATTACAAATTGCAGCTGTCATTTCAGTAACACATAGGCAAATGAATGCGAATCACAGTTGCGAGTTGCGGTCGCATACATAGAGATTTCTCCGACCAGAAGGAAGCCTGTTTCTGTCACAATTGCAAAGCCATCCGTCAAGGCTCGTTCACTCAAACACGCGCGTTCGAAATATATTGTTTACGTTGATTGCCTTTCGCGAGCAGACGATGCGTTCATTCGCTATCCTGACGTCATCCGGCCAGTTGGCATCGCTAAAAGTTGTGCGTAAGAAAAGGCACACTTTGCCTAGATCAGGTGCTCCACCGTGCAAGTTTCAAATCGATGCTGACTCCGTGCAACTACGTGACACGAGTGGTTCGGCTAGAACGTGCGAAGCGTGTTTCAACTAGGAAATAACCACAGTTGTCTGGTAAGTAGCAGATGCCGTCGTCTACACATAAAGGGGTCTGTCCCATTAGCAGCGTATGGCTAAGACCACACAGTCATAGCATGCTTCTCCCTTCTATCCATTATCCTCTAGCCACCGCACAGGTGATTGACTGCTTATCCTAAATGGCCATTAATGTGTTTTTCCCATTAGGCGGCCAGACTGAACCACCGGTTCTATGGGCACCCCGTTGGCGACTGATTTAAAATATTCGCAGTGTGCATACGGCAGATGTTTGTACCGAAATACAGGATTTAGGCTATTGTTTGAATCGCCATTACGTAGCAAGCGCTTAAATATGGGTCGACAGTGCTGCCGGGATGTACTTAAATGTGGTATTGGCTTCTGACGGTGTGTTACGTATGTTACACTTTACGTACGAAACACAGATGACTGTCTATGCGACATATTGTCCTGATTGTTTCTGAAAGCCGTCTTTGGTGTTGTGAGCAGATTTTATTCCGCCGCCGAAGAACACTGTTTAATAAAAAATAAAGATACCTTATTCTCTTCTTTTCAAGAAAGTACTTTCCACAGGTCCTTCTTTTGTGTTATAACTATTATCAAGTAAGTGCTAGCACAATTTTGAGTAATACTGTGAACAGTTATCGATGTTGAATAAAGAACCTGGCGTCTCGAGGGTATAAATGAACATAACCAAGCTAATACAAAATGGTCGGGTTAGCGATGACGTGGAAACGACATAAATGCCGAAAAATCTTGATTCCTGCCAAATTCGAACCGGACTTTTAACTGCCGCGTCTGTAAGTAAGACCAGGTGGTGAAACAAAAGTCGCCGTTTGACAGGTAATTGGGTAGTGTAAACGCGTGAACAACTGATAATAACCGCAGTAAACAGTAATGTAAATATAAGTAATAAGAATATAAGGTACTATGAATGGGTCTATATACTATGAATAGCATTGAATTTATAAATAAGCATTCTTCTATTTGCGTTAAGAGTGTTTTAGCGTGTTTATGGGAGAAAATCCGACTAATAAGTTTATCGGAGACATATGATTTTTTATATAATTCTGAAACGAAAAGTATTTTATTTATTATAGACGCACAAACTGAACAGAGTAAAAAAAGTAGGGCAATGATGTTTTGACTGCTGCAAATAGCTGATTGCTTTGCTCCTAGAAGCTCTTTCGATCTTTCGTTGCGACTACTCTGTTGGATATTTGAACGCAACGACTCGAAGAAATTATGGCATCTGTGATAAAGGAGAATACTATTTTCAGGTTGACCCATGTGACTTGGAAGGTAAAACAAAAGACAAAAACCCCCAAAAGTGACATATCGGGTGACGTCAGAATACGTAAACAAGTATTGTACTTTTAGCGAAAGAGGATGGGAATAGGTACAACGAATTGCGAAAACGCTTGATAAGAATGTTGAGTAGAATGCAGGCAAATTGTTATAAAGAGAAAAGAGGACATCATCGTAAACAACAGATAATGGGTATATGATAAATAACCTAGTTCCTAGAACTTGAACCCGGCAACCACCTGAATGTCTCTTTCTTGGTGCGACCGAAAAACGAATTCATTCGATACTGCTGCTTCTGCTACTGCGACGCCTTGTTGTTGCATGGCAAAATGTGTTGGTAAACAGACGAGGTCTGGCCTGTTAGTGGCCGATGAGTCACTGCGACTAGTCGCCCAGGGCCTGCTCACCGGAAGGAGCCACCTGGCCTTTTTGATGTGGCCTTAGCTTTACTCAAGCATATGATCCTTTCATAATTGTAATAACTTATTCCTACTATATAGTTGACACTTCCACCACACAATTCTTGTGTCGTACACTATTGCTCTCTGCCTATTCATCATATCATTATCACTGATTGTACCGTTGGTCTTTCTCGAGAAGTCGCCAGTCATTGTTCGTAGCATGAGAAGTGTCCTTGCTGTGCGAATTAATAGAGTACATACATTATAATAATTATGCCCCTCCTCCTTTTCATTAATTTTGTTGCTACGTAGGTCCTTTTGACAAAATTGCGTGCTTGCAGCTGGTCGCATTGAAATTCACTGGTATCCTAAGCTTGCTCGCTTTGGCGCTTGTTATTTTAATGATTTGGACGGTCACCATAGCTGTCCAGCAATGATCAACCAATCCAACAGCCTACGAGATCCCATTGGTTCCTCCTATTATAGGACCATTACTGTTACTGCACTGCTAAAAGTTCTCTGCATACTACCACGACCCCCCCCCCCCCCCCGCCCGCCTGCCGGTTTCGCGGCGTGGTCGAACGAAATCAGGTCGACAACTATATAGCTGCCTATACGCAGCCGATAGCGACCGCTCGATAATCGGTGCAGGTCTTCCATGACGAGGTCCACTTCGATCTACTGGCATCGGGTTGCAACGGCAGCGCACGCTGTTCCGCATGCTGCGTATACACGGACAGAGGCACACACGAGACGGTCCGGAGCTGTAATAAAGCCACGACTAACCAAGCCAATGGACAACACAGCTGAGCAAGACACAATAACTTTGCCCCTTCACAACGTCGTGCCCTCTCCACTCGTTGTCAATGTTTGTGAAAAAAGACCTGTTTTGTACTGTCGAATACTTCCCTGAAAAAGAAAAATCATAAGATGTGGGACGAGCATTAGTGAGAAAGAAAGAAGGAAAGAGAAAGAGAGAGAATGAGGCCGGTTCACTTTCACATTCTGAGGGAGGGCTGGCACTACTTGATTATTCAACATCCGTGCTCTTGGTCTTAGTATCGCGTATTACGCTGTAGCCGCTAGGGTTTTGCATATTTATAATAGATAAATGTGATTCTCGGAGTTATTGATAATGCATATAGTTTATGCTTACAGGGGTCATACAAACGAGAGTGTGCGCATGTGGGGAACAAAAACAGTGAACGGTCGAGTCGTAAACAATGACACAAGTTCTTTCATGAACTGCTTGGATTAATACTATCTGTTGTGGCTCGCCGTTCTTTCTTGTGAGTGACACCATATTTATGTAATATTATAGCCAAGTGATTGGTCTCGCTCCCGAATCAGAATCACATTATGTAAGGTAAACCGAATTCCATTGGGTGGATGAAGTAGTTTTTATTTAAGTGTAATAAAATCTGATTATTCATGTTTGTTTCAAAAAAAGTTTTTTTTTTTTTTTAAATAAAACACAACAAATATTGGTCTGTATTGCCTGTTATCATCCCGCACTCATACTTGAAAGTTAAGGTTATGACAGCGTGCCAAATGATGACAAATTTAGACATCAATTAAATGTGTTAAGAGGTAGATAAGTTAGTAGCTGTCAGAAGTGTCACACTATAATATTTTTACTCCTGGTTGGAAACTAATTTGGTTTGTTTCTGAAAAGATTTAATAAGTTGTTCTGTAGAAAATTTGGCAAATACTAACTTCAGATTTTAAAGTACCCTTATAGTAGTGCGACATCTTGCCGTTAGAAATTTAACTAATGGAAATGCCATGAGCTGTTGATCTGGAGAGAAAATTTTGAACTTGAAAGTATTTCGTCGAAGATCCTCTGTGAGAGATCAAAGCAACGGTGGAATTGAACATATCCTTCACTGATAGTCAGGTTTGATATATTTAAGAATGCCATATTTGTTTACCTTCGCCATCCTAAAAAGGTAAAATTATGAAAATAGATGCCAAATTATTTGACCGAAAATCAAGAACACAAACATCGAGGCGATTGCTTGTCTTTGCCTTCAGGTTACAATGTGGCTCATTCTATCACCGAATTTATAATGAAAAATTTCTAGAATAGAAACAAGTGATCACATGAATGGATGAGTGCAAATGAATCGGGGGAACGTCAACCTAAAGTAAATGTACAGCTGTAGAACTTCCGATGTCTCTTTGGTGGTTTCATGTATTACAGCTTCATGAGTCCTACTTCGTCGATAAAGGCTGAAGTGTACTGTTAAAAAAGCAATGATAAAAAACAACCCAAATGAGAGCTCTTTGTCACCTACCATATTTACCGCATTTGCTTTCAGAGATCACCATTTTTCAAAAAAAAACCCGATTACATCCTGACAGGAATATTTTGAAATCTTAAGATGGTGCTGAAATTGCATTTTGAGGCATCATACACACTTGCACCCCAGACTTGTACAGCACCGTAACAAATTACCATCCAAAGCAAAGGTTAAAGACAATCATAGTGCATACTTCGTTTGGGAAAAGATTAAAAAAATTACGAGCTCACTGGACGACGATACACAACGATCTGAAATGTCCGATATCTTCATATAGACTCTTGGGGTTATAGGAAATGTTCCGTAGTGTGCTGAGCGCGATAATACAGGAATGACTTAACGTCAATTGCTAGGTTAACAGAACCTGAGCAACTTTTAGTAGATTCTAACAGTTTAGGCAGCCTAGTAAATCACCCAAAAAGCCTTGCCATCGACACGTGCCAACTGGTTCCGTATAGCATCCCAGAAGGAGAACCGATTACATATGCATTCATATTTAAATCGGACGTTCCCTTTATGCTGACGACGTTGTTGGGTAGTAATATCCTTTTATACGCAGAAACACGTATCTCACCTAAATTTCCTCTGAATACTTCCAATAAACTTGTATGTGCATATTGATACCGTGTTCCATGGCAAAACGGCAAAAGGTAAATTGTTGGTTTAAATGAAAAATGTGACAACCACCATTTGCGGCTCCCTTTGACAGGGCGCAGAGGAAAAGTATCGAGACGACAAAATTTACAACGCCTACAGGAAAGGTGGCATTATACGTTCCGCTTCATTGTGAATCCGACACGGGTTTGTGTATTCTTCAAATGTCCTGAAATGTTCTTCGTATTAATTCTTTTCGTTATCTACCCTGTAGCGACTTTTTAAAAATATAATAAACATTTCAGCAAACGTGTAGCTGTAGCAACGATTGGAGTCCATATCACCGGGATAAGAAACAGGTGCAAGAGAGAACTGGTTATCTAACGACAAGGAGAGTGAGTTTTTACCCGTAGCCATGTATTACTAATACTAATCGTTTGCTTTAATAAATCTGCGACGCAGCGCCTTGTATATATGATTATGCGATGAATTTTGGGACTTCTTAGAAAGATTTGACAAAAAGCAGTTACCATGTCGCATTGAATATAACAACAATAATTATAATATCAATATTGGTCTATGCACACAGTTGCGCAATATTAGTATTCTTATTTAAATGTTGCACTCGATAGCAAAGCGGGTAGTCTATATTTATAAAAAGGGAACCTATAATTGAGACAACTGCGATCAGACAAGCCGACTGGTGTAAGGATAATTTATTGCCACTTACATAGTAGTGTTACATGGCAGCATTAGAGAGTTCAGTGTGAAGCATCTCAGCTTTGTTGGAAGGAAAATCTTTGTGTTTAAATGCCAATAGTAAACTATAGGAGATAGTTATCTCCTATAGTTTATCCATTTGTTTCAAAGCAGCAGTTTATCCATTGTGTTCTTCAAGGAAGTAAAATATTCGGGTTGCGCTGTCGTGTAAGCCTCAAAAAATTATAAAAGGACATAGCAGCACTTCATTATTGTATAGCGTACGAGAATCTCATGTGCTTGTATTTTGTATGTATGTTTTTCGTTGAACATAATAGTTGCTTTTAACTCCTCGACACGTGAATAGCCTATATTGTATGTATCGATCTGTAACCGTTGGTCCATTCGCTCAGACTTTCCTCTTTGGCTATAAATACGTCGCGAGCTTTTCTGACGCTGGCTTCTCGTCAGTTTCCTTGTCTCTGATAGATGTCGCGGAGCATCATGTTCTGCTACTTCAAAATGTTTCCGCTATCATTTGATCGTCTGCAGTTGCTAGTTACTTGCTGCAGAGCGTTCATTGATAATTCTTGGCATTGTGTATCAAGGTTGGCTCATTATCGATGTGGGTGATTTTCATCCTTTGTTCACATCAGTTGTTCATGTGTCTTTAAAATATAAGTAGACTGGACAATTCATTTACTGGACTAAAATAATGAGAAAACTAGTTGCGATACTTCCTGCAGTGGTTCCGGAACGCGTCTTGAAGCATGACCTCTTTCAACGAGCATCCTTCATACCCTCCCTTTTGTACAACTTAATCCGATCAAAGATGTCAGGAAGAGAATGGTATTCTAGGATCGATGACTCGATTGTGCTTGGGGCGTTGCCGTTTCGCTCATTGGTTGAGGAGCTCCTGTACGCAGAGGGGGTGACGGCAGTCATCAGCCTTAACCAAGACTTTGAACTCCGCTTTTGCGCAGATGGCGCTTTCTGGCGAAGTCTCGAAGTGGAGTTTCTGCAGATACCGACTGCGGACATCTTTGCTGCGCCAGACGCTGACAAGCTCCGTGAAGGTGTCCTGTTTATTCTAGACCACATGCGTCGCCGGGGTGCACGATGCACCGTATACGTACACTGTAAGGCCGGCAGGACTCGAAGTGCGACCTTAGTTGGGTGCTACTTGATGCAGAGATATGGGTATACACCAGATGAGTGTGTGAAGGTTATGCAGGCTGCCCGGAGCCACATTCTACTCGTGGAAATACAAATGGCTGCTCTCGAAGAGTATTACGAACGCTACGTCAAACCTTTGACGAATAATAAGTCTAGTGTTGGATGACCTTTTGGCGTATGTTTCATGTATTCATTTGTCTGTAAAACATATTTCAATAACTTTTGTGTCATTTTTGTTTGCATAACTTTTTTTTTTATAGTTCATGCTATCTAATGTGATATCTCGCAGCAATGACTAAATTAAAACCGGTAAAAAATACAACAATAACATAAACAATTTATTTTATATAGATAAGAACAGTAGCATGTTTGGAGATCAATGGAAAGTTTCTTTTCGATTATATAATAGCGTTATTTATCATACATATTTGTGGTCACGGTAACGAGAGCAATTACTTGTAAAAAAAAAATACTGAAAATTTAATCTTTTGTAATTGGATGATGGATGAAATGTGCCTAGGAGGCTCTATTTCCTGTAGCAGTCGTGGTGTCGTTGATTTTTTGTTTATTCTGTTAAGGCTACTGCCGATCATTGAACAAACCTCCATGCTACATCGCAGTTTTTATCCAACATTTCTGAATAAGAAGTTTTAGTAAAAAAATGACGCTTTCAAATAATTCGAAGTTTCCCCTTTTATGATAAAAACGTATATTTACTATAACGTTATTTTATGATGCGATTTTTTATTCAATAAAGTATACTGTATAATATGGTGCCATTGTGGAGCATGGCGAACATAAACAGCGAGTCACCACATTTCAGCATTACAGCTTATGGTAGGCAAACGTTGCAGAGAAAAAGCAATATTAAAGAATAGTAATATGAATAAGAATTGATGTAAAAAAAAGTTATTTGAGAACTGTGAGCATTTGCCGTTAAACTACCAAATAACGAGAAGACTCCGAATAGGTGTAGATAAGTCCAAATCTATTTCGATGAGAACAAGTACATTATAGTAAAAAGACGGCTTAGAACGGGAAATAGCCCCCTCTTATTTCAAGAAGTGAGCAAATAAAAAAGGTATTTGAAATAATGATAAAAAGATAAGTAATCTTTTTTAATTATATATGTGCGATCTACATCACTTTAGTTGAATTTCGTAAACGTCCGATTTAATAAAACTAGGCTGATAGCCGACAGAGTATATCGGCATTTTTATGTGCAGCGCAAGATCAGTATGGTACTAAGTAGATGTCACTCAAACTGTACGTTGGTGTTCTGGCAGTAAACGGAGAATCTGACAGAAGAGTCATGAGCCGTCCACTGTATATAGCTGAATTCTAGCTGATACTTGGTGCTTTGACACGCAAAAACAGACCCTTCCTGAACGAATTCTTTATTCCGCGCCGTTAATGCACAAAGCAGTTTTGCTCGACGTGAGTAATAAAAACAAGTTATTGACAACAGTCAAGCGAGCGGCCAAGAGAACTAGCACGGGTTAGTATTATCGACTTAACTGGTCATCACACGGTGTACGTGACGGTGTAATGCAACCAGTTTCGCCTGAGTGTCAGAGGGAACCGTGTCAACCATATCAGAAGCATCAACGAAATGATCTGTTCAAGAAGCTATTCGGGTAGTATCAGCGGTAGCAGTATGTAACCACGTAGTTTTTTATAATGGTTTCTATTTAAACCGTCAGATTTTTGGCCTGTATTGGCGTGACCATTCACTTTTAAATTAGCGGAACCGTATATGCAACGCTTAATGAATTTCTGATACCTACCGTAGCCTTAGGAGAAGCAAAAATTGTATGTAGCAAGATCAGTGAAGCTGGTTACTATACCAGAATAGGATACGCATCTTTATACATATCCTTATTGTTGAAAAAATGCCTGCATTGCGTTCAAAAACAAGCAGTGATAATATTGTTCGTGGTATTGTACTACTGAATTTGTTTCAGCAGTCATTTATGGGACTAATTTTTGCTAAAGCTGTTGTGAAGTGTCGCAAAATGTTTCTTTTCGAAAAACTAATAGTTCTAGCACTTACGTCATTTCAAAACAAATTTGCATATGAATATATTGCACTGTGCTTTTTTTAAATTTCGGTTCAACCTGTTTAAGCCATAAATAATACCAAATATTGTCAGTAACAGAAGGCTTTCTGTACAGTGTCACGTTTTTATCGAAGACATTCATAATTTGCCTTGAACATTTAATGAAATAGTATTTGCGGTGTTAATTTAACCTCCCTTTCTTGCTGATAATTTGGCATAACTAAATTCGCGTGAATATTGTTTTTTTCTTTACGAGCTCGAAAACCGCTAGATATTGTTAGATTGACTGGTTGCCGTGTTTACTTGCTCACGAAACGTTATTACCATTCCGATTACTATTATTACTGTGATTAAATATTATTGTTATTACACTGAGCCTTCTACTTGTTTAATATGCCTAGAAAAAAATAGGTTGGGACGTCGAGCACCCGATAACTACCGGTGAAGGTTATTTGCGACACACGCAAATAATAAACGCGGTACGATAACTAGACTTTCAAGAAACAGTTATCTGCTTGATGTCTCTTGCTTAAATCATCATGGACATAGCTAGATCGCAAAAAAGGAATTACACTTTTTTGGCAAGACGCTCTCTGAAGAATCTCTGAGTGAGCTACATTCGTAGCTCATTACCCCCGGGTTTGACAGCACTCAGAGATGCATCTGTCAATAGCAATACATTTGAGTTAGATAGCTCAGCAAAACAGAACGTCTATGTACACTACGAGTAGTATGTGTGGGGAGTTAAGCACGCACGCAATGGGTGTATTCAATGCAACTCTATAGCAAATATCCGCAATACCCCAATAGGATTGTTTACTGAAACATCTCAAGTTAATTATTGGTGTTTCTATACACTAACCATCGTCCCCTTTCCTAGATAGGTCAATTTATCCTCTATGTTTAGAGTCTTACGTCCAGTGCCGTCATTAATCGTTGCATCGAACAGACGGCTGGCTTCCGGCACGAAACGAATTACGAAGGTGTCCCTAAGGTTAGCCGACAAAAACTTTACCCACTAAGATCACGGCGACAGTTCAATTTATCCCACCATAGTTGATCTTTAAGATACGAGGCCACATGCAAAGTGAAGCAAAATGGCTTTTCTCCTCATCTGAGCTACAAGACCTTTCTTTTTTACTTTTTTTTTATTTGGCATAATGGACACAGTAATTTTTTATTCTATTTTAAAATTGTATTGCGAAAGATAGTAGAGACGCCAACAGCATAGATTCGAAACAATTAAGCGCTATTCGCTAAGCAATTCATTGACTACGGGTGTCCATTCGGTTGGTAGAGGTATTCTACGTGAGGGAAGCAGGTAGATTGGGCTGACCTGGTCTTGCATGAAACATAAATGCTTGCCTCCACTTTGCACCTTAACAGTATAGAGACTTCTGATAGGGTTAAAGGTGGATCTTCTCGTGCGACCATAAACGCGTACGTTGAAATTAATAAACCATATATAATAATTTGTATGGCAAATATAATATGATCGGTTATTGACCGTCTGTTGGTTATTGTGGTCTGCCGGGCAAATGCTGCGGTTTGCTATCAAACGCTGCTGTTGGAAATACTCTCCTTCATCGTCGATTGCAGCTGGAATGGCGGCGTTCCAGTTGTTTGCTCGCTTGCTGGTTTGTGGCTGGTGCCAATCGGCCCGCAAAAGTATAAGTAGGTGTAACGACTGGTCCCCGCTGCAGCGCTTCTCTGCACGGGAGTGAGTGCCTGTGTGGTTGCTAACCTGTTTAGCGTCGCGTTGAGTGAGGAGCCTCGTCGAGAAGTGGTAGCGGCTGCCGCCATGAGCAGGCCAACCGGCCGAAGCGCTGCGTCGGCGACGGCAGCGGGGTACCAGCAGCGTTTAATAGCAATCGTAACTGCAATACTGGTTTAGCTACAGCAGTCTTTCTGCGGGATCAGCAACGGCCAGAGGTGGCAAGCAAGTGGACGGCCCTGCGTCACGACTTCTGCTCTTCCTGCTGACACAGCTTCTGGAACTGTTACAACGATAGTGACCGACTCTTTAGTATTTCTACCAGCTGCCGCTGGCCAGAACTACGCACGAATGGAACAACGGCAAAACATGATAACCGACGAATAGTGATTGCTAGAAGCCCTTTGCTGCAGTTACGAGTACAACTAGTCCAACGTAGATGTTGACGTCGAATGGAGGCAAAGGGACAACGCATAAAAAAGGAGAGGCCAGAGAGACAGCCAGTTCTGCCTGTATTACGGTGACCGGCAGGTAGGTAGCAGTAGCAGCTGACGCTTAGCGGCTGACGCCACGGCATGAGGAAAACCACCACAAGCAACGCAGCCAATGCGGACTGTCGGATTATCGGGCGACTGCTACAGTAATCGGCACTCGGGCCCCAAGAACCATTGAACAGTGGATCAAACACTTACCACTTCTTCGGATCCGCCATCATTTGGAGACTAGTGAACACCACGCTAATGTTAAGCCATTAATCGGCCAGCTAAAGCTGTAAACACACCATAAAGCGGCTACCGCCCCCGAATTTGTGCAAAAAGGAAATTCTATTACTACCTCTTCTACCACGTTCATTCGCTATTGCGGACCACGTGGTGGTTAACGTCAGGCGTTGTTACTTCGTGAATAAAATGGCTGTTTACTAATTGTGGACACTGAATACTTAAATAGTCGTGGCCCTTGCACGTGGTTCTTTGCAGTTTTAGAAGCCGTTAAGATCTGTAGGGTGGCCTTTGAGGACAGAGGCGCAGCCCTATCAGCGAGAAAGCGGAGAGGACCTTCGTAAAGTTAAGAATCACCGGCCTTCTGGCGATCCGTTTAGTCCGCAATAGTTGCTCAATAGACCTATTCAGCTGCCACAAGAGTTAGGCCGGATCTCGTATATTCATTTAGTGGGACAGCAGCTGGACGAGTAACGGGTCAATAACGTCGACCGGCAAACATATGCATTAATGTGAAGGTGCGCCCTGTAAGCATCATGTCATGAATTTATATCGTTAGTCGATCAGAAGCTTCTGTGCGTGTTAAGTGTACAAAATGAAACAAGTGTTAGAAAAACTATTATTTTTGTGTAAATAAAAACAATAAGCAGGACTTTTTCTGATCGACATGACAGAGACGGACTAAAAAAAGAGGTTTTTGCTACGGTTTGAAATCCAGGTGAGAATTATTCGACTTTATTGTGATATTTGGATAGCATAACGTATCCATCACGATACACTTGAATCTGTTCAAGGTTTGGAAACCAGAGAATTACTACAGCTGGCGAAGCACATCGACAAAACTCGTTCTGCGTTGAAGCACCTTTTGTTTGACCTTTAGAGATCATTATCATTCACCAACCAAAGAACGGAAGCTCTTATGCCTTAGATGAAAGCCGTTCGTGTTTATGTTACAAACTAAAACTGTATTATCACGAACTATAATTAAATGCTGCGCAAAATGCAACGATCACAAGCAGGTACCACTAGTACGGAAGAGACGAATTGTTTAAGGAGTTTGCTACTCATCATTATTATCATTTTCAAAATATCTTTATCGAAGCTTCGTTGTTGTTCTTCTCAGAAATCTGATGCACTCATGAGACTCCGCACCACTGCTATTTACGTCCGTCAAACTGCTTTTGTGTGCTGTACTTCGTTAGCTGAGCCCGTGTGTTGCTTCTTTTACTGAAGATGGTCGAACAGCTCCAAAAGGTCGCTGTTGTTGATTCTGCGTTGGTGACTCAATGATAGGCCCCCCCATCGACTGACGGTGGGGCCAGTACTCCATAGATAAGTCAGTTGAAAAGTGGCCCCATTATTTCATTTTTTTTTTTGCCGTCTTGCCCTTAACGAGGCTTTCGCTTCTGCTCCCACATGACACTGCTAGTGAACGTGGCCATATGAAAAAGAACAAACATGCACACACCCACACAATAAGGGCCATGATAGACCACGGCCGTTTCTAAGCCAATTCGCGGTTTTTTCGGATGCCTCGATGCATTTATGTTCTACAAAAACACGATGTATGCTAATGTAGTGGTAAGTGCTATATCGTTTACATAGGTGAGCACTAGCAAAGCAAGCAAATGGCTTGGGCAAACGAAATGTAAAAGGAAAAATTTCCCATTCATTGACAGGTATGTACATTACTATAAGACGTAATTGAATTACGATATGTTTTAGCAATAAATATGTGGACAAAAACTTGCTTCTCAAAATGGCGTGTACTAATATGGCTGACTGAGGCGGATAAAAGCGGAGGATTCGTTTTCAAAACGTTAGGTAACGGTGGTTTTACCTAAATGTAATCGTTACATTAGTCATCGTTTTTATGTTGTGGTGACTTATATGTGCACATAGTAGTTATGCACACGGTCGATACGGTTTACTAAATGGTTGAAAATGCACATTATACACAATATGGTACAGCGAACTGAAGCACGTGGCCGCACTCGGCGAAAGTCTTCCAAAAGACAGCGATGGCTTATGGCCAAGTGGGGCAGAAACGCTGGTGAAACTCCAGACGACGCATACACCGGCAACATTGGGCAGGTCCAGTGTAAAGCATCAACAACTATGACCAACGTTTCTGGTTGGCCTGTGCCACGCTTTGTAGGGGTTTACGTGGTCGGTATAAACGGAACAGGCGTTAAATACTACGCCGGTGGTAAAATTGAGAAGAAAGAAGGTTTGCCACTCATAACCGTTCACATTGTGTTGCGTCTGGCATCAATACAACAGCAATGCGGTATCATGAACTTTATTTGACGCGGCATCGAATGATAATAGTGGTCATGATGACGATAAACCGAATCGGCCGCTTTAATTCAACTGTATCAAGCTGAGGTGAACAATTAAATTCGAATATTGCTGTAGAATAGTCAAATTTATCAGTGTATCTTACTATACACTGTATAAGGTTGTATGATAAAACAGTTTTGTTGTATATCGTCACAAGTTGTTTAAATAATTTCGTAGAAAGGACTAGTTATTATTACTTTTTGTGGAAAACTGGCCTAGGGAAACTTCAAGATGATTTTAGGAGGTTTATCAAAATGGCAGAACACTGTATGCTTATGAAAGCATTGCATAAATGTATTGCTTCAGATTTGAAATATTCATATTGTGAATTAGTATTCTGGCTTATGGTTCACAACACATCAAAAGCACAATCGATTTACGATTTGCATTGCGTCAGTAGCGTCTAGGTTGATCCGTAGGGATTTCTATAAAATCCGTCTATGTTATGTGGATAAGTTTTTGTTGTCGCTATGAAGCATAAGGAGGCGCATGCTGCAGAAGAGGCGGACGGCTTATTTGCTTAATCGGCTAACTGACAAGCTGTTGCCTTTGAAGAATACGTGTAGCAGAGGGAGTATATAAACAGTCAGCATACGTAAGCCTTACGCGCGTTCGGGGTGTGTATGTATGTAGACGGCGCAACGTGCTTTTCGCCTTATGGTAGGGATTAGCTGCATCTTCATTGAGTTTGACGATGCCAAAAATGCTATATATCCAATACGACACGATACAAGGCAGCAACCTAAGCGATTTGCTGTCTTCGATCGAATGGACCTATTGTATCCTATAGTTAGCTCTATAACTAAATGATCGCAGTTCCTATATCGGTAATGATTTTCACTAATAGGACTGATGTGTACAGGGTAAAATTCACTGATAACAAACCTTTTACGACACGAACTAAGTCGGCGAACCGATTAGGTGCTTCAAGGCAAAAGGCTGCGCAACCCGTTACTCTACATAGCCTGTGTCAACTATTACGCGCGATTTTCAGATGAAGATGACGACATGGGACGCTGGCAACACCCGCGTTGTTCCCATTTAAATGAAGTAGCCGCACGATAAACGAGCGGGGAAACCATCATGAACTAAGAACAATAGGAAGTGCAGCTAAGACAAAAATGAAGACTCGGAAGTGGATATGTACTTCATGCCATTATTAGCTACTCTTGTCCATAAGTGGGTTGACATCTCAGCTTTGTTATACTATGCTCAGTGACGCTTGTCGTAGCAACGCTACTGACAATGGCGAAGAAAGGGCTTGTACTGTGTTGCCATCATTTAGAAAAATGCCGCTTACTTTGATCTTCTCCCGGATAGATAAGATGTGGACGATTATCTAAATCGCAGAAGACCGTCGATCAGTCAATGAGTGTCAGGCTTGAAATGCTTTTCCTTAGTAAAGAATATAAAACTATCCTTTAGGGTATGTTTGATAACGGCAGACAGAAGCCATTTCTTAAAGTGCCCCAACGGTTTTTTTTTGGCGCTAAGGGACTGAGCGTTAAATTAATTAATGAATCTCAAGGTTAAAATAAATTTTGTCCTAACAATGTGTGTGAGCCTCAATCTAGGACAGTACTCTTTATGGGGTGACGTGCGGCGTATGTGTGTGTTCAGTGCACGTAATATAGATGTCCATAGATTCATTTCAGTAAATATAATCAAAGCAAGTTTAATATTGCGACAGCGATGAAAAAAGAACATAGTGTGAACGGTAATCCGTATCATCGGCATGAAAAAGTAGCGTCTAGTCATTTTATCGTCGGCGCTATTTCCCGCCATTCTCCTGTGAAATGCTATCCCGTTCATCTGTCACAGTCCTTAAAGTTAAATTCACCAAGTAAAAATTGGCGGCCAGTTGTTTTAAAGCTTTTACCCTTACAAGCACACATCCAAAACGCCTCCAAGCTACCCAACACTCCGCAGATGTTTTTCTTCCGCAAACTTTGCCGACAGCTGTTAGGGCGTCCCTTAGAGGCAGTTAAGCTACGCTCAGCACCAGCAATGGCTGCAGTAGCCATATTAATGTATTGAAAACACGGGAGTCGCAGGTCGGTACTTACGCCACGTAACAGTTTTATCTATTGTCCAACTGCCCCAGCTGCTAGCAACTTTTCGTGAATTTCGTCAGCATATAGTGCAGCAGTGTACTCCCTCTGAGGGCAACAAGGTTATGGAAGTAAGCTTAGAATTCATTATGACTATGATATCAAAATATTTAAAAAAAAAATACATCGTTAGTAATGTAGCTTAACGACAGAGCACTAGATAAGGCTTGGTCGATATGTTTAGGCGAGGGGGAAGGGCAGAGGGGCTAAATACTCAATGCGTGTCAGACCCCCTCTATTGTTTGTAGGGTTGATGTTGCCCTGTGGTGATATGATGTGATATGCTACCGCGAAGGCAAACGCATACAAACTCAATTGAAGCTTTAAATAAGGTGACGGGTTGTTGGATTATGAAATCATTGTAGTAAGGACAAAAGAATCGTAGTAGGTCGTCTAGTGTGTGTATCAGTCAAAGGGCCAGAAACAGATATTTGTCCAAGGACAAGCTACGTCGTATTATTGCGCTGTAAATGCTAAGACGAAGATTCAACTGAATAACCAGCCTGACTAAAATATTGTAACACAGGAAAGACATTGGTCACCGGCCTGATAGATTAATGTTACAAACATAAATAGAAGGCAAAATTCGGTGGACTCCTCTTGTGTGGAAATGTGTTTAAATATATATTTATAATTCTGGTGCGTCTGTTTTGACGATGACAAAAGGTAAAGTGTTACTTGCTTCATGGTAAAGTTAATTGCTACAAACCAAGTTATGCTTCTAGTCGTTTGTTAATCTGTAGGATTCTATTTCATCCCAGATTTGCAATTTGTAGTTCGTCCTGCATTAGCCCTTGGTATGTACCATGTATATTTGTGTAGCACAGCTAAACACCTACTAGCAGTCTTTAATAATCGCAGTAGGACACGTTCATAGGCCAAATTATAAGTTTTTATTTTTGCTGAGGAGTAAAGTCAGGTATTTTCTTACGAGACAGTAGTTATTATAATTTTTCGAAGAATTCCAAGCCTTTGATTTTAACAAGATGGGCAATCGCGTCAATTTCTAGTGTTTTTTTTTTAATTAATATCTTTTTGTTATTATTATTATTGGAGGCCCTTGAAAGGTCCAAAATATTTTAGCATTATTTATGGTATCGTAGCTTCAGCTGTTCAGGAAGTACAGTAATATAACATATGTTTAACGTGCATTATTACTCGCATTTAGAACATATATAAATGCGGTTACAGCATAACCAATTGTGTTCTAGCTTGTATCTACGATGTTCGTTACATTACAGGAACCTTGATTACAAGATGCTACCTTTTAGTCTTAGAAATAATGGAGGTTCAAGTGCTTCGAACTGGCCAAACGATACCACTCATTCATAAGACAAATATCCAAGTATCTCGCTATTGTAAAGATTACATCCGGCGAGGTTTGTACAGATTTGTTCGCCGTAATTAATAGGATAGTCGATAATATATGGATTATAAAAAAAAAAAAAAAAAAAAGTAAAAGTAGCTACAAAGGGGCAAATTAGTTTATTCAGTTTGCTTGAGAGGACAGGGGTCCCATCTCGCTGGATCGAGACAAATTTGTGTCAAATATATACTGTGTAGAATTATAGAATGGACACTTGTGCTATTCTGTGGTACGCAATGATGTTGTTCTCGATTTGTCTTTGTATGTCTTCGTAACGCGACGCGGTCAAGATAACAGCGACGACATGAAAATGGTTATCTCTAGGGGCAGACGAACAGACGGAATATTGACTGCGGGGCCCAGAACGAGAAAGAAAGAAAGAGATGATGATCGCGCTGACAACGCAAGCCGTTGTTGTAATGTAGCAATCGCAGTAATCACCCATCGGCAGTGATGTGATATGGGCTTTAGTACCGATCATGTGCCTCAGTTTACGTGTTCAACAGGCGTGGATCTGTGAAGTGACATAGGTGCACAACGTTCACGGTGTATTAGGGTTTCTAAAAAATCGACCATCTATCGTGTGATAAAGTTCATAAAATCTAACAAGTCTCAAAAATATATATATACATATATATGAATTATATATCGTTTTGTCGGCACTGTAGTTATGTTTTCCACGTGCTACAATTACGCGACCGGGCGTCGACTATAATGTCAAGCCGTGTATATTGCTCTGTTTTGTACAAATTTATTTGCTTTTTATTAATACGGACAGCTGCCTATGAAAGCATAGTAGCGCCTATCAACGAGCAGAGAGAAAATTGAGCAAGTTTGTGTCAATTACTGCCTGTTAGACGCAATAACCAAAAAAAAATAGTCGTAGTATCTAGCTCTTTATTTTAACCGGTTGGCTCCTAGGCTTAAGCTATGGCGTATTACTTGTCTTAGATTTTATCAATGGCGTTGTAGTATCTGATTGATTGCGGTAGAATGGTTACGGATCGGACTGGTTTCCAATAATTGAATGTGATCTGTGCCGTTGATCAAATACAGTCGGCAACGGTTGACCATCAATTTTGCCGGAAACACTGGGATGATAAACACCGGTAGGCTTACATCGAGTAACTGTGGTTTAGGTGTAAAATACTACAAATCTATTTTCACATGACTGGGACCTCTATGAGCCGTAGCATTTTTGCTGAACGTTTAGCTGCTATGTCCTACTGTCGCATAGTATTATTTCTCGATTAAACTAAGTGAGTAAATGGTTGACAAGCGTTTAAGTGAGCGGTTACACCTAGGTCGCATGGGTAGTGTCAACGGCTCCGGTGAAGCTTTCCCTATAATAATACCATAATGTAATAAAAATATGCAGCGCTATTTTGCTGACTGTGATCGATTGGATGAAGATCGTCCTTTCATTTCAGTCCGATGCACCAACATTTTGACTGAAAGTAATTTACATACTTTATATATATATTTATATAAATGAATTTTTTATCTTAACGAGACGAAAATTAATTGAATAACTCTTTACTTGTCTAGTTGTTACCCCTTGCTAATGTAAGGTAGGCAATTTACTTTTCGGCAAGCAAATAACCTCACTTTAAAAAAAGACGGAGGCGCCCGACGTAAATTAAATTGACAACTACGGAAAAAGTGTCCATTACAAAATACTTTTACTTGATATAGGCCATGTTAAGTAAAAGGTCGAGTAGGTTGAGGGGATGGGCGGGAAACAATTTGGTGGTATGTTCTAAATGTATTATCTGTGTACAATAATTATAATAATATTTTCGCCGTACTAAATCAAAATTGTAACAATGAGACGGAAGGAGAGTACTTCACTTGATCATCTCTGATCAAGTGAGGTATCGCACAGTTTCTAACCGGAACTACGAACTTTTGTTTCTGACTGCCAATAGTCATTGTTTTAGTGCTGATTGGTGCTGTTGGGTTAGTGGCACGCAAAATTCTATTTTCAGCTAAAATTAAGTAAATGGGGACAAATTTACAAAGTTAATTTGTGTTCAGTTCTGTGTATCTTTACCAATTGCAATGAACATCCTATCCTGAATTGTAGCACTTAGCTTTTTCACGTTTGTCGTGTATCTGAATTGAACTGTGAAGCTGAAAAAAATGAAACACACTTTTCGCCTTTGTATTGATCATTTGGTTTGTTTATGAAGCCCATCGCCCGCGTCAACAATGACTTCTCTTGACACCCTGAACTTCTTCGACTTTTTGGATCGAGATCCGATAGACTCCATCTTCGATAAGGAACCGTCTCTTCTGTCGGATTTCCCCTCAGAATTAGAGAACGACTACATTCCTAATGAGGATTCGTCCGTTGAATTTTGGACAAAATATCTTACTAATGGTACGTATGTATATGTAGTTAACAGTAGTGGCAGGTTGTATCTTAATGGACATTGTAAACGTTGTGTCTCCCATTTGGTAATGGTTTTTCTCTATTTTTTTTTCACACCCTTTGTATTATCGCCGTCTCTATAACTTGAGTCGTGCACCAATGGAGCTTCTTCACCAATCCGTGAGTAACATCAAGATTTTTTTAATTTAGAAATCTGAACTCCCACACAATACATGCAAGCGCTCTTATTCTTCCATTCGACAGGAGACACGGCCGGATCTCAACTCTGCATTCCCGACATTGAAGAAGTTGACATTAAAAAGGAGTCAATCGACCCCCTAGCTATGTGCGAGCACTCTTACTGTTCACAGGCCGTGCAACCTAAAGAGCAACAGGCGACACCCAACGATCACAGCCATACGAAGGGTGGTTTTGTCAATGGCTCCTACCCCAGTAGCACAATGAAGCAGGAACCACCAAATTCACCCCATTTCTCAACGTCATCGGGGGTTTCGTCATGCGGTGGCGAAGAGGAGGACACTGGTGATGAAGACATTGAACTGGACGTGACCTCATCGCCTGTATACGAGGAGGAGCTATGCGATGTTGAGGAGGTGGAGGAGATTGATGAGGAGGATGTACTGCAAACGGACATTGCTGCCGATATCATTATCACCTCAAGTGACGCCCCAGCCAGATCACTGACCGGCATCGGTGGGCGCGAACGTCCCCACAAGATCATTACGACGACAGCCATCAAAACGCTGAAGCGTGGACGAGGACAACATGAAGGTCGCACAATTACTGGGCCAGGAGGTACACTCGTGCTTACCGACGAAGAGGTTCGGCTCATGAAAAAGGAAGGAGTCAGTATTCCTTCACAACTTCCGCTTACTAAACACGAGGAGCGTGAGCTGAAGAAGATTCGCCGCAAGATCCGTAACAAACAGAGCGCACAGGATAGTCGAAAACGAAAAAAAGAGTATGTGGATGGGCTAGAGAGCAAAGTGAAAGCTTGCAGTCAGCAGAATGTACAGTTACAGCGCAAGGTCGAAAGCCTTGAGCGGCAAAATAACTCGCTGCTGATGCAGTTACGCCGCCTTCAGAACCAGATCAGCGGACAACAGCATCAACAGCACGGAAGCGTTTCTGGCACAACCAATAATGGCGCGCAGACTTCGACGTGCGTAATGGTGCTCCTCCTGTCGTTCTCCTTGCTGCTCCTGCCCAACCTCAAGAACTCGTTCTACCATCAGTCGAAGGGCTCAAATAATCAACAGCGAGAGCTGGAAAAACTCAACGGCAAGTGCTTTCCATTCTTTTGTCTCTTTCGTTGCCTTGTGGTGTGTTTAATTGAGTTTTAGTAGAAAAGAATAGATAGTAGATCAGGATCCATTGGCAGTCTGCTGATAGTTACGTTCTCCTAATTGTTTTCAGGAGAATTACTTGCTCGCTTGGGTGAACAAGCGTCAGGCGAATCCGCTGACATGCCTGCTACGATCAAAAGCCGATCATTGCTCTTTTCGAAGGAGGACCTTGTCATGAAGTGCCCTGCTCAACTAGGCTACAGGGAAGAACCAGTTAGTGATGACGATGATGAGGACAACGTCTCTAATGGCGGCAGTAAGGTCACACGCGCCTGGAAGGTAAAATTCAAAAATATCTTTTTGTGTTAGAAAGCTAGAAATGAATGCTAGCTTCTACAACTTATTTTTTTTATCATTTTTATTATAATGGCTTATCCCTGTAGTAGTTTTCTACGACTGTCTGTTCATGTACCGAATTCGTAATACTATGATGAAGCCGCGTCACTTTTTGGATTCATTTTAGAGTAACAACGTTTCCTCTGAGGAGTTGCGGTTAAGCCTGAAACGGCTACCTTCGCCTCCACTGATACCACCTATGGCAAGTGATGAAGAATCTGATGACGGATCCAGCAATGCCACCAAACGGGGACGCTTCATGAACATGTAAACAGCAGAAACATGTCAGAAATAATCTCAAGGGCTGAACTGGCAATATGTTTAGTTGCCTACCACGTAGATATTCGAGGACCATCATCCGGAGCTCCGCGATATTCGCCGCGAAAGGCTCCGTTGTAGATGTGTCCTAATATCCCGCCGGCGACTTCTTTGTGGCGCCTTAAGGGGAGTTGATCATCCGGATAGGTGGATTATTAGTGGATTCAGTTTGTTCAATCTGTTACCGTCTGGGACTCACACAAAAAAGGACGTGCTGTCCTGTTATTCGGTGGCCACATGTGTGCTGGTAAACTGGTGATACAAATTGCCCTTTGCCTTCTAGAAAGTCTGTGTGTAACTTCTGCTGCGGTTATCCACTGCCGCAGTCGGGAATCACGGAAAGCTGATTGCTTCAACTCACAACTACTGGTAAGTCAGCCCCAGCTGTCCGTGTCTAACTTCGTCAACGCTGAAGCGACACATTGGGTGGACTTGTTCACCTTATGTCGGTCACGGGTAGTGAAAACAAATGCCGGGAAATAATACGGCAATCAAAGACGACTGACTATCTAACATGAAAATCTCATATAATAATATCACACGTATAGTAAACAGTTGCAAGAAACAAGGCTAAGGAATAGTTTAACCTAAAAAAAATTATCATAATATTGACAAAATACATAAATAAAAAAAAAAGAAAACAAACCAATAAAAACTATAAACGCGGTCTGTGCAAATCGGAACATGATCTCATCCTGCTTAAATAATCGACGATTTACATAATAACGTTTCGACGGGAAATTCGAGCCAAGTGAATTAATAAATGAAGAAGTTTTCAGAAAGTAAAAAGAAAAAAGGCCCTCTAGATAATGCTAAATTAGAAAATAAAGCGAAAGGAGTTAGTGAAAAGGACGAGTGACACGATAGTAATAGCTAGAACTAAAAATTCACAAACAACACAAAGGCATCTATTACGAACTGGACGATAGGATCAAAGAAGAAGTCCAGTTACTGTTCCGGTTATTCCAACGCATTGTTCTATACAAGAAGCATACTTGGAACCTCAGATTCTACCTGGTATGTCCACAAATCACTATTGTCATACCGGGCAAAAATACAGGCGATGATGTAGGTAACGAGGGACCCGTGCGATGGTATTGAAAGGTAACCATGTTTAGAGTAATGGTATCAACGGAGTAAAAAGCAACATCGCACGATGCTGGTAAAGTTAGCTTATCAGCTCGACAACCTATCGAGTCAGCTACAAGAAAATATATATTCTTATAAGATTATAGGCATAGAAGAAAAGAAAGAAAAAGATAGACGTCCCATTTTTTACACCGATCGAAAAAACGTATATGTATATCAAACAATGCTTCTACCTACAGTAGGTACAAGACGAAAATAGGCAAAGTAATATAAACAGCAATTGTTTCACTTCGCTGTTATAACACATTCTAGTAAAAAAAAAAATATATATATATATATATATATATATATATATATATATATATACATACATACATATATCACAGGCATTTTACTTCATGTTGTGTGCACCTTCTCCATACAAGTCTCCTTACCCTCCTTAGCTGGTAGCTGGTGGTAGTGCTGTTAATATAATTATTCTACTTACATTAATCTAGCATATCATAATAGGCACCACGGTCTTGAGGCAGTTCGATAGGAAGCATCAATATTTAGGAAAGGAAGCTATATACACCATGCTAAAAATTATTATGATTGATAAAGAGAGCACTGTAAATTAGTAAACGTCTTATGCAGCTTTGTTAAATATACCGTTGTGCTAGCTCAAACGAAAGAAAGTGCATTTGGGCAGAACGTACAACCCATGACCTGAACATCGTCGGAGATAAGAAAGCGATATACTGTTGAGTGCAATGGTTCTCCTGAAGTGATTCCATCACGTCATCTGAGTTATGACGCTACTCTTGGCTCGGCTAGCGATTAAAAGCAGTTTGTAAACGGGGCTTAAGAGGGTGATCTATAACGGTTAGCAAGAGACAGGAGCTGATTCAAAAGGCTAAGCTGCATTCTAGCTCCGAGTTGGTTTAAATGAGAACTTTACTTCACCCGTTCGCGTCGCAGACACCTCTGTATACGAGGTCATTTGAGCCATCGCGACCTCCTCATCAAGCCCAAAGTAAAGAAATATATATACTATATTGTTTAAGACGAAGAAAAAGTTCATTAGAAGTTGCTCATAAATTAGCTCTCGGTGACAAAGAATATATATATATAGACTGCTAACAATGGTGAAAGTAATGATTACGGAGGATACAAAAAAAAATGCTGAGGGTAATAAAAATTGGCCAGTTTTACCGTGATGCTGATGACTCTTTATTCTATTATGATGTTTAAGAAAGCATTAAGCATTGCGCCAAAACTATCTATCTATCTATAACCTAGCTACGCATAATAATATGAAGAAAGATAATCCAGTGTGATCACTGATTTTGTTAAAAACAGAAGCATATCAAAGAATTTGTTTAAAAGGGGAGGTTTGAATTCAAATAGTCAGCTACAAAGCTTATACTATTAGGAAACAATTTTTCTTGAAGACATGTACTGCGCGGCTTTCTGCTCAATAAAATTTACATTTATGATAAGTAATTGTGTTGAAATTTTGAGCGTTGGGTTATTTACTTATATAACAACTAAAGACAAAGGCTAAATCTGTAGCTGATGAAATCATGTATTGCTAGTTAAAGCGCAGCCATGATACAGTAGTCAATATCAATGGTGAACCATACAACGTAGCAGATAAATGGATGATACATATCATCTCTACAAGCGATACCCTGCACATCCTTAATTTTTCCACAGTCCTTTCCTAAAAAGGATTCCCAAGCTATCATCAGTCGAAATGAGGTTTAAGAAGCACATGCGAATTAATGCGTTCTTCCCTGGAGGAGGTAGATAGGGATGTGTAGTTTGGTTGTTAGGTTGTTGTAACATTGATAATACAGGTTTGAAAATTACTATTTACTTAGGTCAACAATCCATTGTCAAACACGTACTCCTACAAAGTTAAAGACATGCGTTCAGCAGCACGATATCACGGATCAGCATTGATTTACTGATGTTGAAAGGAACCCGTCGATCTACGTACCGATATATTAATTGTATTCATTATTTACTTCCCTTTTAGCGTGAAATGGCATTTCTAAATTTAGCATGCGCTTTGACTATAGCGTAAAGGGTGTATACATACATTTTATGCACATATATATGTAGCTTATGTTTTTCTGGTTGAGGATGTGACAACGCAAGATGTTTCAGCTTTTGCTGCGCAACGATAAAAAGTAGATATGTAGACTCTTCTAAAGTATATACCATTTGTTCATTTTTTCGATATTTAAATTTCGCGCCTTTTTATCTTCATTGACTATTCTCTCCCCTGACAAAACGTTATCACCTTTCCCATCCCATACAACTGCATATAAGACACGCACTGTTTTGAAATCGAGCGCCTTTACCTCAAGTCAGTTGTAGTTTTGGCAAGTCTGAATAGCCCATTGATCCTACTGTGTTGTGTTGTGACTCAATTTCTATTATTAATTCTACAGAATTATTTTTTTTACGCGTTTTGTTTGTGGAACTTCTAATCTGTGGTGAATACTTAGGATATCATCGACATATAGGTGATTAGTTTTCTTTTGGCACGCCGCTTATTTGCCACTTGATTCAACTATGTGCAATTATTGGCAGAGTATTGTGCAAAAAACAAATTGAAAACAATCGATAATCAAGGTTCTTTTTAAACATTTACGTCAATTTATTTATTTCGGAACACATACACATATATATACATATATATATATATATATATATATATATATATACATCCTTTAGTAGTTGTCAAGAATTTTACTTGTTGAGATAGCGGTATGGTTCGTCAATATTAACGAATCAAACGAACTGTACATTTTGTTCTTACCTCATTTGTAATGTAGTGTTAAAAGTCGCCAGTTTTTATAGACCTTCCAATTGTCCTTCCAGTATGTGCTTATTCTTAGTCTTCGTTAAATACCGACCCGCATAAAGTTTCATGAGTAATTCTAAAAAAATCTTATTTAGATAAGAAAAAAAGCTTATTAAGGTAATACCGTTTAGTGCGTTAGTTGACGTGAGTCAATTAACGCACTTGAAGTTGATATAAGGCTAAAAGAAAAAAGGATGTGAAGTTTATGTAG